GAATTTACATTTAGAACAAAGCATGCCAGTTTTCCTCAGCATGAACTTATAATGGAAAAGATAGAAGAACTGAGATGAATTGTAAGTTCCAACAACACAAGAGTGAAACATGAGATTTCAGCTTCTGTATAATTTTGGGCAGATTTTGCAGATTTGCAGCCATTGAGTCTGTGAAAAACAGTGCAACAGAAATTAAGGTACATGTGGATTTTACACACTTAAATTTTACTGTCAAAATTTACCAATAAGTGTTTGCAAGGTACATGTTGTGTACGTATGCATTCCTCGCAATGGTTTATGATACACTGGACCTGAATTTCCACAGCAGCACTTGGTAATTAGGTCAATTTCCCTGATTCCTCCAAATTCAAATCAGGACTATACATGACGAGCCAGCTAGTGCATTGACAAGTTCCCTGTATGTTACAAACACATGTATATGTAAGTGTACATTATACATGTGTTCATAAAACAAATGTTGTGGCATCATCCCTGATTCAAGGTTACCAGTGTAACCAAACCAACAGTCATATTCTCATTCTAATTAGCCTTACGTAGTCATTCACGTACATGTAGCTAGATGTACATGTAGAATGGGTCTAATGCCATATTGATGTCAATAACAAGTGGTATCAGTTTGTTTGACTAATTGGTGATGATACATCTTATCAGCAATCATGGATCTGTTTACCTTTAAAGGAAAAGAGAAAAGACCAAGTACCAGGCAGACTAAAAGATACATGTGGCAATACAATGATTCCGAATATTTGCTTCATACCGTAAGCAAAGTCTGATATGTATGGAGTGATACATGCTCATGTCTAGGTTACTGGCATGGCATGTATTGATCTCATACATGTAACTCTCAATAATACATGTAGTTCTGAGATTCTTGTTTTTTTAAATGGATGGATCGAGCATGGCAATCCATCAACTCTTCAGACACATTTGGAATCTGGATCTCCCATGAAGACTTTAAACACTTGCTTTCAACAATTTGAATGGATCTACATGGACATCAATGCAATAAAATCTGTTGGGTTTGCTTCGGTACACAACATCACAGGGGTCAGTCCACCAGACGTCAGAGGCCAGTTGTTCGTCAATATTCTAAACAGCTAAAAAAAGCTGATTTATATTTTCAAAGTGTCCAACCTAATAATATCAAAACTATGAACATAAATGAGTGGAAAGCAAAATATGTGTTACGAAAATAAATATGCCTGACGTTACTCAGTATACCTCATATCTAGTATCAACAACAGACGTGACAGGGCTCAGATTTCAGAAAGCGGCCCTGGTGATCACAAGAGAAACAAAACAACTGCAAACTCTAAAATATCTTCATTATTTAGATATAATGCTCCACTCAATTCAAGTAAAAAAGAGATCTGTGGAAGGAAAAGGTTAATGAATGGTTTCTGTAAATTACCTACGGAAAAGAAATGTTATATACAAACGACCTGCCTTTCTGATGTTGTGGGTTCCCTCTGTAAATAAAACAAATTCAAACATATATGCAAAGGAAGACACTGAAGGATTTCCCGCACTCCTGGCATCTTAAAATACACAACAATTTTGGAAACTGTCACAAGTTGAGAAAAAATAACTTTTCAACTCACTGTTCGGTCCAGCTCCATCGTCTTTCTTCTTTCGTCTGCTCCTGACGCGCTTCAAAACTTGACCCACTGAGGACCAGAAACATTAAAAAAAAAATATTACACCCAGAAATGGCCAATTGCGTGTCCAGAAGCTATTAAATAAGAGGTAAAACAAATACTTACTCATTCCACAGATTGCGTTTGAGATACGTTATTCCTGCAGACGACAACTCGACGTTGCAAACGTACGAGCTGCGAAAGTGCCGTTTATTATTGATTTTTGACAGCAACGTAAATCCACATGCGGAACGTGTGCTCGGGTCCCTGTCAATGTCTCCTGTGATGACCATGCTATCTTTACATGAGAGTTTATGTGGGATGTGGATACCAGACCAAAGGAGACCAGTTTTGAAGAAGGCCCTCTTGTGGCCTTGTGATACAACGAACAAAATCATCTTGAAAGCTCAAAACTCAATGAAAAAAATAAACACATTTTTCTAATCAAGAGACAGAAAAATGATCCTTTGTTTTCAGTTAGATCATTCATTGAAAAGGAACATCTCTCTCAAATTAATTGAATTATAACAACTATTATCTTGTGTTATTTATGTTAAAAACAATCTTAAGTTTACTGTTATATCATTATTGCAAATCCGATCACAATCGCCACGTCATATGACTATCACCAAATCTGCCAACATTATTTTTGCCCTTTCAAATAGTCTTTCAACAAGAAATACAGTTCAGAGATAAAGCGTACGATACTCATGCCAGAAGCCCTCGGTTCGAGTCCCAGCATTCCCATTTTTCTCTTTGAACTCCATCAAAAGCAATTAGTTATCGTTTGAGGAGCGATATTCGTGTAACAGAAACTTTATACATTCAAGTAGGAAATTAATTGCCCAACTAATTTTTAGTTAGAGCAAATATGGCCCCAGGTAATTTTCTGTAATTATTCTGTGATGCCATGAATATAACGGCTGCTAAATGGACACTGTTTTTGTATGTAGGCCTACGTTTGTCTTTATGTGCACCCTGCGAAACAATATGTGAAATGAAATATGTGAATCGATCACTTACTGGGAGTTGATGAGGTCACCCTGATGCCTGCAGTGGCCATTAGGCCCTATGTTCCAAATTCAGTCAAAGAAGTAAAATAATAACTCCGGTTCGCACTTCATCAGAGAGATTCCCGTGAAACTTTCACAACACGTAGTGCCCAAAAAGAAACATTTTAGCTGAATGATTCCTGATTGGAATCGGATGCCAACTGGCATGTCGTTCAGATGAGCACCCCAACCATTGTGTTTGATGATAGAATACCGATTATTTTCTCTTCTGATTATAATAATTATTGATACAATATGGCCCCACAGCGACCTTCGGGAGACCTGGCATATACTACCGTGAACCAATTCCTACTCGCGGGCTATTGTTTGGAAGGAACAAATGGACACCTGTCCATACTAATTGGCCTATTATGTGAGCAGGCTCGGAGATGGGAAATCTATTTTTTTTTTTACTTTTGTTGATTTATATTTTGGTGGGTTTATTTGTATGCCATTTTCATCGAAATATTGTGCCCATCGATGATATTGTTCATGTATACGATGAAAACAACCTGTGGTTGTTTGAACAATCCCCCTTTTGGCATAGATGGTTTCAAAAATTAACCGACCGACACACCCATCAAGCCTAATTAAGAAAATTTTTAGCATTTAGTGTCACGCTCTACCACACATAATTCTTCAATTCCACTTTACGCGATCTAAACGATGGCAGTGACACGCGAGGTTTTACCTCATCAGCTGTAACTGATGTCTATTGCTCCATCCTCGCTCCTAATAGGTTGAGAACGGAGGATGACTTTCCCCCGAGAGACGAACTAATCGATCATCCAAAGAGACGCGATACAAATATTGATGTCTCATTGTCAGAGGGTCATGGTGTAAAATATCCATTGGGTACTGCGCGAAGAAAAAAAAAAGATCGCTTGCATGTTCAAAGTCAACTGAGTCATTTACATTGCTTGCCAATTACAAATAATACACGATAGGTCCCACGAATTGACATGGGTTGGGGGCAAATAAATGTTGTATTTTCTGAAAGTGAAAGTGGCAAATCCAGGAAGTTTTTTTTGGGGGGGGGTTAGAGCCGTTAGATTTCCATGTCTGATTGTTGCGGCCTGGCGGACACATGACCCCCTAACCCACCCCTTCAAACAGAGACTGAAGAGACTTGTTTGTACTGGGCATTGCCAGAGAGGTTTGAGAAATTCCAGTCGTTCATTGCATATTCTGAAAAGACCAACTCTGATAACACTTTATCCAAAAAAGACCCGTTTTGCCATGATTGTGTTTTTTCCTTCTATAAGCCCAGAGTCAACTGATGGAAATGATAACGTGGTATGCTGGTGTGCAGTAGCTGGAACATGCGCGAAATCTTGTTCACTCGAGTATCAAGGCGGATCTAGGAGGGCACTTGTCTTGTTTGGAAATTAACTGCAGAAGATGAAAAATATTTTTTTCGAGCTGGGGTTCTTCACCGTGTACTGAGGGGATATAGCTCAGAGGTAGAGCGCTCGCTTCGCATGCGAGAAGCCCCGGGTTCGAATCCCGGTATCTCCATAAACATTATTTTGTTCACCCAATAATTTGAACAATGGCTGTATTTTTCGGAGCATCTTGGAGATAATAAATTAATTCCTAAACAGTTTTCAATGAAACTGGGGATGATAAAAATTGTTTTGAACATACGAAACATCATTGGACACATTGATATAATATATATGAGGCTTTCAGATTCGGTCTAAACGAAACATAAATTCAAATGGAAGACAAGACTTATTGCCCTGTGTTTGTTGTGGGGGGTAAATAAATCAAACTAGATGCAGTTTCAGTCTTACATTGATTTCTCAATCACAGTGAAAGGATGACTACTGGCTGAAGCCGACGTTAAGTTAATCGTCTCAAAAATCAATGAAATTCCATCCTCCACGACAAACGGAGCCGATCGAAAATCTCCCAAGTCCCGCGTGATTTTGAGACTCAAGGGCCGGGATCCGGCTGCAAATATTATCATTGACAAACTGCCCCAGGTTGTCAACTCAAATATGCTGATTTTAGGACTGGATATAAATGAACATTTAGTGTGCGTGTGGGGGGGGGCTCACAACCTTTGTGAACCCATTCCTCCTGAATGGAACGACGTTTTCCAAGATTTCTGTAACTTAAGCAAAACTCACGATATTCCCGAACCCAAACGTTTTCTGTAAATGCGGCCCTTAGGCCTAAATGTTAACGTTGGTTCCCAAGGTCTTCTGCGAGTGAGAAGCATTCCACTAAAGGGGGAAGATAATTGATTTGACATGCAAAGGAAGAGGACCAATGAAATCACACGAATGTTGTTTTCTGTTTTATTGCAACCAAAGGAATAATGTGAACAACGGTGTGCATAGAACCTTCCAAATACCAGTTTACAGAACTCTTGATTTCTTGAAATGGGTTTGTGATACTTGCGTGGTCTTCTTCGAAATGAAATCTCTGCATTATGGCTGTAACATCTTGAAGCGGTTTGCATACAACACAAGCAGTGGAATCGATAAATTACATATTAAAAAGCACAATGATACAAGATTCTGAAAGGGATTTCTTCGTATGGCTGCATTACTGGTCTTTATATAACGATTCTAGTAATCCTCATAAATACGACAGCCATGCACTAATTTCAATTTGTTATTTAATTAATATTCATGCCACATCGCATCCTGCATGATTAAAAAGCAGACACTATTGCTAGAAAAAAGCTCAACACATAAGAAACTTAAGGCTTTTGAAACCTGCAGGCAAAATTAATTTTTTATGCAATCTGTACAAAAATGCGAAATATTTCTGAGCTGAGGGAAACAGTATTTTTAAAACACCCAAAATCGATTTAACCTGATTTCAAAATAAGCCTTGAAAATCTGATTTTCTTAAATAAAAAAGAAAATAAATCAAAATTTGTCATCAACTGTACAGTGTTTACATTTATAGTCAGCACAACAGTTTTGCCCAAAGATTTCCAAAGAAATAGTTTTACTGTTTGCGTTATTAACCTCCCTTTGCCCACTTCAAACTTTATGTAACAAGTAAATATAAGTTCACATATTCTCTAACAGGTAATTCTGAAGTGGCACCCCCCTGGTTACTTGCTTAGACAAGCAAAAAAATTCACTTAGCTCTTAATTTTACACCTGTACATTATCTATTTTTTAGTTCCACTTTATACTGACCAACACGAATGCACAAGTATAACCAATCCATCTCAAAAGAAAATTCCCCCCCCAACCAAAAAAATATACTCCATCTCCTCCTTCACTGGCCTAGTTTTCCACAATTTCTTTCACCTAAGTTATTAATACGGTTTTCTCACTCTCAAGATTTTTCTTCTGTGATTGCTGAGGTACACTCTAGAGAAATATGACCTTTGAAGAAGTACAGGTGATATACCATTACACGAGTCCGTTCTTACCTATACTTGTCATGAAAGCTCTTAGTGTGTCTCAGCACTACAGCCTGGAGTGTGTCACTATGATAAAACCTAGCAATTGAGATGTCTTCAAGGATGCGAGTTAGGCGTCTACTGGCTACAATATGCTCCTTCAGTGAGTTTTAAGGAGTTGTGAAGGGCCTTCTTGAAGCTGCAGACATCTGTCTTGTTCCCCGAGGGCACACAGTGGAGACCTTTACCAAGTGGACATGTATACAATGCGCACCAGACCAAATGAGGGTTCCTGGCATGGTTCCATGAGGTAACTGTCTGAGACACAGTTCTTTTAAAAAGTACATTCCTTTTAGGAGCTAACTTGTTCCCAAGGATTTTTGTACTGGGTCCAGCAATCTCTGCCCAAATTCTGGTTCCCTCAATAACTCCCATTCCATGACCCAGTAACTCCCATTCCATGACCCAGTAACTCCCATTCCATGATCCAGTAACTCCCATTCCATGATCCAGTAACTCCCATTCCATGATCCAGTAACTCCCATTCCATGACCCAGTTGTACTGAGGACTCTGAGGAGTAATACTTCCAATCCTTATGTTGCTCATACACTGAATAAAATGTTCAGATAATTTATGGGACAAAGAGTGTTGGAAAGCTCCTCCCTAAAGGCTCTTAAACCTCACCGGTGCAGAAAACTTCAATCATTGTGTAGGAGCAACTATCAATTATAACTCTGATAAGTAATTTGTTCCTCTCCTGAATCCAATTTTGTAATGAGAGTTTAATGAGCTGATCTGTGATAAGACTTGAAAGATCTTAATTGTCTCCTTATTTGGGTTGTAAAAGGAAGGCAAATGACAATGTGACATCAAAATTAACACCAAGATAGAAGGTATATTCCTCAAGACAGACATGTTAGGCTTAAGAAAGTGAGATAGAGCAATAATGTTATGATAAATGAACTGAGTTGCAATATGCAAATCTCTGCAAGGGCCAGTTGATTTACAAGCTGAGATTTTACAACTTGCTAAGCAAAACACTTGCCTGAGGAGAAAAATCAGCTTCCGAACCTGCACCCAAGCAAGCAGTGCATTTTCTGAATCTCGCTGGTCCATTTGTTTGTTTACAGAACTCCAGACACATGGATTTAAAAAATAACAGCTGGAAGGCTTTTCAATCACAATGATTGCCCACATGCTGCAGCTACAATATGAAATTGGATAGCAGGTAATTTCTTAAGCAACCCTCACATTACACGCCAAAGGTGCAATGTGATTTGTACAAGCAAACTGCCTACGGGTTGTAAGACAATAGCAGACCATGAGATTCACTGGGGCTTTCATTAGCAGAGATTGGACCTATTGAAGCACAAGTAACTGGGGGGGGGCAGGGGATAAGTACTTTCCTCCTGAAAGCAGATACACATCCAGTACGAAGTCATCAGTTTCTTAGTTTCCTGAAATCATCCGATTAAATAGCTGAAGAAACCTTCAGGCTGACCACTTGTCATCTGTGTCATCAGGGTTAAGGTGAATTATTATCAATGGTCTCAAGTACTTGGAGAAAATGTCCTGCAAAGATTCCTCCCATATTCAATTCCTTCCCTTACCATTCCATCTTGGCAGTGGTTTTCCAATTACCTGTACTTTCAACAGAACACTACTCTGATTATAAATGACTAATTACTTGTTGTGGAGATTTCTGAGGTTGACAGGAGTCAGGTTACTCAAGGAGGTAAAGATACCTGTGCGATGGTTGACTTTGAGTTCATTCTCAGTGGCGAGTCAGTAATGGAGTCACATGACCATATTTGTACATGGCCAGTCGAGGACAATCACGAACTTGACGGTGTGGCCAATTTTGCCATGGGAGATTTTCTCTTAAGAGGACAAATTGCATACAGATGTTGTTGACAGATCTTGCCAAGGGTCATGCCCCCGTGGTCATGAGGTCACAAGGTCACAGGCAGAGTCAGCTGCTACTTTTCTTACCATCCATTTCCTCGACCAAGGTCAAATTCCATTCTGGCAAAAAAGTGGCAGTGCAATGTGTTGTTTCCCATCATCTCCTAAATTGTACATTTCTGCATCATCTTCAACCTTTTCTTCAGACTTATGATTAACAGTGTTGGAGATGGAGAAAACTGTCATGAGAGACGTCCTTCACTTAGTGACATCAAGAACAGAGGATGCAGACTAAACCTGACTCAATGCAGCAACTTAGGGTAAAAAAAACCATCAATGAACTTGCATTCTTCGCCATGTTCATGGTATGAGATATACTCAACTTTCTGATATTAACACAGCAGATTGGAGGCAAATCACATTTCTCGTTGGAGCCTTAATCTGACCGTGCTCTCTCGTTACGATGGATAACCATAATCATGTCCACCATTTACGTCCTTTCAGACAATTCCTTGCTCCCGGAGCCTGTTGGATGCGATCAATAGGAAGGAACGCCCTCTACAGTTGACTGTCAAGAAGTCATTCCTGCTCGCAGTGTGTTTTCAATGTATGGTGGAGAACTCTTGCAGGACGCTCTGCTGCTCCAGATTGGAGATGACGACGTTCTTGCGGAAATCGTGAACGATGGCTCGAACCTGAAAAAGTTAGGGAAAAACAAGTTCATGATTTGATCTTTTGAAAGGGGATAAAAACTCGGTACAGGAAAGGGGTGTGACGAGAAAATGGCAAGGACATTACACCTGCTAAAGGTAAACTCTCAATGTTGTTTAAGTACGAATAAACAAGTTGTAGGTGAGACATTTCGGCGCAATTACAGGATAGCAGACGGTAAATGTCGACACTTGAAGATACTCACGCAATAGCCCAGGGCATTCAGCGAGTTGGAAGCATCATTAGCCTAGATACAACTCCGGCACCCAACCCATTACATATACTCGACAACACTTTGGATGCATTCATTATGGCAGCAGGCACATTATTGGCACTTAGAAAGGTTTGATACTGGGAAGGTAACATTTGAGTACTTATTGCTTGATAAATTGGTACCATTTTTAAGGGAATGTCAACCTGAATGGAGCACGGGGGGCCTCATATCATGGGTTTGAAGGCCTTTCAGTTACATGCCTTAAGCTCTTGGGGAATCAAAAATTAGAATTAAGATTCTGAAAGGTTTGTGATATTTACAGCCATACTGCTTGGTGTTGATGGCAACACACTTGATTGCACTGTGATTATTTTCATGAAACAATTACCACTTGGTGTCAGTCGATGATAAAACATTCAATACAGGACCAAACAACTTCACCTTTTGAAGCTGAAAAAAATATAGGGCTGGATTGCTGCCACAAAGGATATTTTATTTCCAGAATACTCTGCATTACAAGGAAACAAAAACTTTAACAATCCTGAGCTACCAAGGCAATTTATTAAAAAAGTTTTAATTAAAACAATCACAATGACCCGGACATTTTGACAACACACACAAAATAAGACTAAACGAGGCAAATGAACTTGTAATCCTTCTTTTTATCACAGGAGTTCTTTTTTTTATGAGATCTGCTCTTTCTTACCAGTAAAGTGAAGAAGGCAGTTTCTTTAGGTTTCTCGGCGTATCTCTCATATTGATCTAAGCTGTCTTGCAGTTTGAGCGTCAGTGTGTCGTAGTTTGTCCGCACCACTTCCAGGACCTATCAAAACAGATAAAGGGCACCATCAACATGGCTTACGTTTTACTGTGTGCAACTTCAACGGTTGATATTCATGGCTACGATTTGTTTCCTTCTCATTTTGATTGCTTGAGCTCCCATTTTAGATGCAAAATGATTAGCCTGTTCATACAGGGGTGGTTATTTCCCTCGCAGGGTCATTAAGGCCAAAACCAACTGAACGAGGTCTGATACGACATCCAAGTTGAAATCTAGGACAGAGTAAGTGACTGGGTCACATCCTTACCTGCTCTTCAGTCAAAGCTGTTTGTTTATTGGATGTTGACCAGGAATCAATCTTGGGTGTGAAATGATTGATGATTGCTCTGTGCAGGAGCAGAAAAATTAGTTGTCATTGAGAGGAAAGTTCAATGCATTATGTAAGAAATTTCCTAAATTGTGATGCCTTAACCCTATAAACCCCCCAAGGGTTGCTGGCCCTAACCTTCCCCATTCACACAAAGTTAAACAGCCATATGGGACTTTGTGCACAGAGGTTGTTGGACTTTGTTTTTCTGAGGTATGCCAAACCCAATGCAAAAGCCAGCTGTTATGGGCCTTACCAGACCTATCCCCACAGAATTAAACACTTTAATAATTCTGTGTGGTTGGGGAAGGTTAGGGTTAAAGGCGGTAGATACCAGAAACCTGCAAGGTTTGTTTGAAAATTGAGCAAAGCAAAAGATTATTTCTTGATACCTGATGTTGACCAAGCTGCTTGTCAACTTGTTTGCCGTGTTCTTGTATTCCCCATTGTTGGTTGAATGGCGCAATGCTACCAAGGGTGGAAAACAAAGTGTACACAAAAATGCCATTGTGAAAAATAGGAACTAACGTCCTGTCTTTTTCCATCTTCAGAGCTTAGGGCCAATTACGTGAAGAAATCCTTTTTTTAACAACAATACATAACACATGCGGTGTTATAGTCAGCCATATTCTAGTGCAGGACAATTTAGTAATGGCGACCAGAGTCTCGCCGGTCACAGCCGGCATCCATGAGCCTGCTTAAGGGGGCTCTAGATTGATTTTTCAGTAATTTTTTTTCTTTTCAAACTGATTAAGAGTTCAAATTTTTAAAATTCTTCCAGGTAAAAGTAGAAATTGTCATAGTGACACATGTTTTTCTGGGATTTGTGAGGATTTTTGTGCCGGTTGGTGGGCTGTTTCATCAAGCTTAGTGCCGGACGGTAGAGCGCTGTGGTGGAGATCCCCGACCAGGGCCGACCGGCGTAGCTATAACCCTGAACATATCTATTACAGTCTTAAGTCATTCAGATTATCCTGATGAAACTGTTTTACACATTCACTGGTTCTCACCCATGGAGTAGAGATTATCAAATACTTGGTGCATCCGAATCAGTTCATAATACAATTCATCATAACTTCCTGGTGTTGGGAGAAACGTGTCACCGTAGGTTATGAACAGGTTAAATAAATTCACCACCTGTAGAAAGAGATAAAAAGTAAACCCTCAAATTACACGAAACATTATTTGCCGAGTCTTGAGTCAAACATGGCACATACTCTTCATGTCTGTAAGTGGAGGTTATGTCTGACTCAAAGAATTTTGAAAGCTGAAATGGAAAGGAAACACCTCGTAAAACTTTATAAGAAATAAAAAGTGGTTGCAGTGGGAAAATTACAGAGCATTCTCACCTGACAAGCCAGCTCAAAGATGTTGTAGCTCGAGACAAGTACTGACTCATTACCCAAAAGAAACTTCAAGAGGCTGATGAGAGCTGGGAACAAAATGAAAATGTGATAGGTAATGGCACTGAAAATATGGATAAATTTCAAGTTGTTTAACATGTTGTCTCAAATCCCCAAACATTTTGAATGACAGACAGATAGACAGACAGACAGCCCAATTGACAGACCGACAGATTGACCTACCTGTCCACACCTCCTTCCATGGATACTGTAACCTGACACGACACTTCTTCTGATAACATAGTATTCGATGGATCACACCTGTACATCTCCTGGTGACATCACAACAAACCTTCTGGTGAATCTCAACAAGCAGTCAAATTAGTTGCCATGGAAACCAGACGGAATGGTCCACTCAAAACTGAATTCCTTTACTAGTTTGCAAAAATGGGGAATTGTTGTCTTTCAACTTTTTACATCAAAAGGGAAAATCCTACTCACTCCAACTGAAATGTTTCTTTCACATGAAACACAAATTGTTTGTCCTTGAGAAAAACTGAGAAGTGCCTCATGGCAAACTCCAATCAAAGTCTTGGAACATCTTAAGTTCCATCAAATCCAGTGCTCATGATTTTCAAAAATTTGCCTTGAAAATTATTTTTACAAAACCTCTGCAAAGAGTCCAACTTACAGGTAGAGTTCTAATGGTAGACACTTCATCATGTGACTCATGACAAACTCCACCATCAAATCTAAATAAAAAAGAAATAACAGAAACGATAAAGCAGTGAGTAATTAGAATTGGATCAGGCAAGTGTATTTTCCAGAGCGCATTAAATCCAGCAGGCAAAAGGCCTTCCGTAATCCTCCAACCAAATTGTCTACAATTTTCTCAGCTTACCTAAGAGTGCACAAGCCAATGGTCTTGAGGCCCAGACTGTTTCTGTGGTAGCTTTGCGGTGTCTCATAGGCTAGAAATGGGATACAACAGATAAATACAAGATTGAGACTATTACCAAGAAACAATTACATTTCCTGAATGTATGTACTTTCTTAACAAGCTTGATAAAGAGTTGTTCATATTTACTCCTTTCACGAGTCCAAATCTTTAGAAGTTTGTACTATTAAGGGTGCAGAGTTGACAGAAAACTGCAACAGGAAGTCATGTGATCAGGATAGGATCCAAGTTTACAAAACTTACCGCTCGGAATAGAGGAACCCGGAAGGACAAGTTGGCATCGTGAAGAAATGAGTTGGCATACTGGTCCTGTGGAAATTAAGTAATAGGGTGATCTCCTGTTTGGCTGTCTCATGACAACAGATTCTGGTATCCAAACCTTAGTTTTTCAATATTTCATCTTTTGGCATTATTTTATCGTGTCGACAAAGACTTTATATCCTAATCTAAGACTTCAGGTATGGCAATTAAGTTTTTGTTGAAATCAAATTTAAACAGGATTTTAATAGACGGATTTAGGTTTTGAAGAAGCCTTTCACTGGCCAGCAGATATTTAACTCAGACAGACCCTTACATTGCAGATGCATTATTCCAACCTGACAGCCAACATTTCCATTAATGAAGGTTTCAACTCACCTCAGCTATGCATGTGAGGATAATCAAGCACAGTTTGGTGTTGTTCTGTCTCTGTTCATCTAAAAAACAAAACAAAATGGCGGTCTTTGTACATCTCATCCTTACATCAACCTGGTGGCAGATCATGATGAAGTAAGGTTTTTCAGATTGTCGTTGGATTGATTGACTCAAATTACCTTTGAGATCTTGCATGACCATGGAACAATAGGACAGGAACGTGACTAGGATGTTGGTTGGTGTCTCACTGACAGCTGTAGGAGAAGAGGGCTCACCATGCAAACCTGAGACCAAAAATCACAGAGAGTCTTGATTCAAAAATGGGTCCCAAATGTGGACGACGTTTCTCACAAGAGAGAGACCTTTCATGCAAGGTAAGATATTATAAGAAACACTAGTAGGTTGTAAGAGAAGTAACAGATTTGTAACTTGCGACTGTGAACTGCAACAGTTGTTGACATTTTCATAGCAAGTGCTTAGTAAGTTAGAAATGAGGGATGCCATCAAGTTAAGAATAAATGACTCTAGTGACTTACTTTGAGCGGCACTTGGTACTGCAGGGGGTGATGATGGACAGGTGGTTGAAGGGAGAGATTGCACTGGATGAGCATGGTTCTACACACATCAATACAAAACAGGATAAACAAAATACAGGATCGCTGTAAACTGTTGTCAAGATTTAGAGTGATTCTCTGATACAACACTCAAACAGTAAAGTCCTTTGGATTTACAGAGAAGTAAAAATGGAAAATTTGTTAAAATCTGAGGTAGTTTCCAAGTAGTAAGAGTAGATTAAGATGGGAGGCTATTACTCACATGGGATAAAACGGTGAGGAAATTCCTATTGAGATGTACAGCTTCATACAAAGACAGTAAGATGCAGTTATCTGGATCAATGCTGTATTGATGAAAAGAAAAGCAGGAGGAGTTGAAGGCCTAGATAACTACGACAGCATTGTCCAGACTTGGATGCTTTGATGCTAACACAAGAATGACTTGAGAGCTCTGGTACATGACAGGAATAAGGTCGGTTCTGAGTTCAACTCAACTTGCAAGTGAAGAATTGCGACAGCAACGTGAATGAAATAAAAAGTCCAGACGGTCCTGCTGCAATAACTGATTCAGGGGAAGGGGGAGGGGCATGGAGGGGGGGGTTATGACCATGAGGCCATTAATGTGCAACCTCTTAACTTCAACAATTTGAACAGTAAAAACTCACCTTGGTTGGATGTGCTCACTGTTTTCTGCAACAAACATGTTTCCAACCTGAAGTCAAACATTGCCAAAATTAACAGCAATATCAACATTAATTTTGCAATTATCTTAATCAATAATGCATCCCAAAATGAATACAGGAAGAAGTTGGATTGTACAGAATAACTGAAGCATGACAGGACTACAAAACTGTATGACCAATTTGAAAACATTATATACTTCTCATAAACAGGCATGGCTATTTACAATGTGACAAGTGCCTTAATGACCTGAGGTCATATTTAAATCATCTCATTAATATTCATAAAAACTTCCACTGCCAATTTTGTCTTATCAAAAGCCAAAGCACCAAAATTTCTTTTAGGAGCTGGAAAGCAAAAATTCAGAGCATGTCCAGGAATGATTTGGACAGGCTGGCAACTAAAAACAAAGACACTTGAAATGAAATATGCAAATGAGGAACCACCGTGACAAGAAAGGCAACAGATTTTGATAGATTCATTTTTTATAATATTTTCATTTGATCCTTCTAAGGTCAATTGGGAGGTGATGATTGGTTTATCATGTCCTGTACATGAAACGTGTGCCCATGGTTACGCACTGACACGTTAGCCATCTGATCCCAACATGAAAACAGAAACAAGCCTTCCGAATACCAGACACTTGAAACTACATTACCAATAAAAAGCATGCATAAATACCTCAGTCGCCCTATTGAACAGTTTCAAACTTGACTGTGTATTAACATTTGATAATGCCCACTGGGAAGTGATAATGTCCACTGTATAATCATGCACTGGTACCTGAATACAACAGAGTTTAGTTGATTTTGATTGGTCAAGAGTCTGTGTGCACGCAGCTCACCATGCGCACGCCAATTGGACAATTTGCATGAGGAATGTTCCATCAAATGGACAGGGGTGTTCAGGAAAATGAAAGCAAAATTCTTGAACCAAAACCATTGGAGGTCCATCCAATATTGACTTCTTTTGACTCTCCGACTAAAAAGGCATTTATGAATAGGAATAAACACGTGCTTGGCCGCTCTTAAACTCGGGCATTCGTCGCATCCGGTCTCCTAAGCCAGTCTTAAACACACGTTTAAGACCGGCCAGTTCCATACTGTATGGTAAGGGAGAATTATCTATTCTACTGACCATGTTGGTTATGGCAGAAAACCATCCTGTGTAGGCTACATCATCCTGGCCTAACTTGAACTGACTGCAAAACAAAACCAAATAATCCACGATTTAACAAATTTATCAGCAACGAGACACGCAATTTCATGGTTTTTCTGGACTTTTTCACTTCAATCTTTCGTGTTCCTAACCGTTCCTCCATAGCTGGAGTAGAACATACCTGTTGTATCTCGCTAATGTGGACGAGATGACAGCACCCAGACCCTGTACACACAAAAAAAACCCAAAACTCAAACCTGACAAGAGTGTTCTATCAGAATGGTGGATCAAAATAGTGACAATGTTTCGTGTCAAGTTTGCCATGCACGAAGTCATAATCAGCCAAAAACAAACCACCTGCTACTTTGACACAAAATGAGCAGGGTTACATAATGCTATTCACATTAAGGATTAGTCCAAATTAAGACTGACACAGGAGATGATTTTCAGATTTCACGCAATTTTTTAATATATCATAAAATTAATCCAACAGCCCTCAATTTTTTCAGATTTCCGAGAGTGATTGTACTTACAGTAAGAGCCAGTTCATCATCCATTATTGACAGCTTGACTATGTACGGATTGGCAGACTGTAGGGGAAAATAAACACAACGTTTATTTATTAATTTCAACACATGAAATTTTTCCTTAATTCCTGTGGGTTGGCAATAACCGGTCTTAAATTTGTTTGCGGGCTAGATACATTCTGTACACCCTTCTACAGAATGGAGTCACATCCATCATGAAATCTACAATTGTGAATGGAAAACGCAGATAGACAGACAGAGAGACAAACAGACTGCTAGCTACCTCATATTTTCTGTAGTTAACCAGCAGTGTAAGTAATAACACTGCCTCATATCCATGGTCCTGCCTTGAGGTAGGATTAGCCAAGATCTGAAACCAAAGATAAACCAGGTTAAGTAGTTCAACTACTTGTCTTCAAGTATGGAGGGTCGGGTTCGAACCCCATCCTCTTTCAGGGAACCTCCATTTTTCTGGAGACTGCACAGCACTCATAAAGTTCCCTACATTTTGTGTGCATCGCATACTTAATCCACTGTCAAACACATCAGACTTTCTGTTAATTAAATTTTATTTTGTGTTGTATTTCTTGCCTTTATACAACGAGTTTGCTTACCTGAATGATGGATTCAAAGACACTGTTGATCATCAGGTATTCCAAAATGGTGTTCTGGCTGACATTATCTGTCACCTATAAGTTAGGAAAAACTGCTGCAACTTCAGCAATTTAAGATGGCCTTCAGTACTACAAAGAGAAATTTATCAAAGACACCCATGGTGTTTGGCGGTGACAGAGTTACGAACCTACTCAGATATTATAACACTATGAAAATGAACAAACACCAGTCAGAGATAGTTAATTGGAAAAATGAGAATGCTATTAGATACCTCTTTTGGCCTGGTTAGCAGGTGTAAGAGTGTACATGAATATGAGGTTTGGATAACGATGGTTGTATGTGACACCTGTGACATCCATACTATTCACAAGTTAGCATTTAACAACTGCCTTCATCTGATGGAAATCCTTGCAGCTGTCTTATTGTAATAAAGGAGTCAGTGGTTTTTACAGGCAATGAAAAAACACCAGGTCCAGTGGAGGTTAGGGGAGTAGTCTAATGTTGAATTTGGAAGGGTGACTGACCGTTGCAAGGATGAGGAAAAGTCTCAGGGCAAGGTTCTTTAAACTGACAGAGTAGACTCCAACTAGGATAGAGTTTAACCTCTCCACCAAATTCTGGGGGAAAAATTATAAAATTCTGGATTATTTCCACCAAATATAGGAGCTCAAAGTAAAACTAACAACCCTGACATTAAATCAAAGCAATCCCAAGTGATATTTTGGCAAACTCTTTCATTTGACAATTTTTTGGCCAGGAATGTCTGGCTCTTGACTTGTGTAATATTTTTTCAGCTACATACATGTATATATGACCTATATATAAACTTACTGTCATCAGCATTTCAGCCGAGTCAAATCCAATGAGGATATCAATGACCTCAAATCCATGGTCTGACAATGTCCGCTTGTGAACCCCTCGCACAAGAGCACACAGTGTCTAGAAAAAATAAGGTTAGACAAACAGAAATAAATTGGGAGAGGGAATATCCGACTTACATTTCAACTAACAATGAAGCTTTTCATTTTCCTTCACTGTGAGGATGTGTCAAGCTCAAATTTTCAAAATCATATGGAAATCTGACAGATTTAGCATTGTAGAGATAAACATATCAAAGACATGTGACCAGGAGGTTGATAGGGAGTGGAATGGGGGGTGGAGGTGTCAAGGTGTGTCAAGGGGGCGTGGCAGTGTACCGTTTCACTCACCTGAAGTGCATTGACAACTCTAATTGGATGATCCTGCTTCAAAGTAGCCACACTGTGGTAGAAGAGTGAATTGACGTGTTCCTGAAAAGAAAACCAAAACATTTGTCATTGTCAACTCCAATCGCAGCTCTTGGGATACCTGTGATATGTTTTTCTTGGAGAATAACTCGAAAGAAAGTTTCACCTTTATTTTGAGGAGTTGCTGTGGTTCGAGGGAGCCAAGTTCACTCTCAATGTACTTGACATTAGCCTGGAAAATGGGCCAAGAAACAAGAGAAATAAACATTATTCAAACTTCAGCCTCAAAAACCCACAAAAATTCAGCTTTTCCAATAGCACATTTTTTGGACTTATTGGGATGTCTCTCCCAAAAATAAACCAATGGTGCCTGGGACGTGTTGTCTAAAAAACATCAAAATCAGTGAAAATCAGATACTGGGTATCTTGCTGCTTTGGAAAGATTAATACTGATTGGGATTTCTTCTATATTTAAACATGGCACTGGCACGAAGTCTAACTGGATAATGATGCCTAGCGACGATGTCCAGTCAAGATTGTGAGAATCTGTGAAAATTGATTTTGGGGACAATACAAATTTGATTATTATTTCATATTTCTGTACACAGGTAACCAGCAGTTCTTTCTACCTTGAGAAGGAACAATTCATCCCAGAAATTAGGGTTGCCTCTAGATGGATCTTGACCCTGGAGAAAAGAAAAGAAAAAAATTCACCTTTACTGTACAAGAACAGTTTCACCAGAAATTGACTTTTTAATAAATTTTTTAAAAGGAAGATAAAACAGCAGAACCAAGCAGGGTTTACCTTAAAAAATGCATCATAGATGTCGAGAATCTTCTCCTTAAGAGCAATTTTTTGGTCAGACCCTGGCCGTAATAATGTAGGTCCCTTCAGTCGAGGCATGTCCAATGCACAATGAATGGTGGACAGGTGGACAATCTGACAGATCTGAAGGTGAAAGAATGTTTCTTGCCTGCTGTGCTGATCTTCTGGGTTGAATCGTTGTGCAGCACTTACCACTTGAAACAAACGCAAAATTTAATGCAGTTAGTCAACAATGCCCTGAATAAGGTCATGAAGGTGAAATTTTTTATTGTTGGATCAAACCTTAACCCAGCATATCAAGTCGTTAACACAGCCTAATAAACAATAGTCTGCACTTATTTTGCCACTTAGACTTGACAATGTGGTAGCAAACTTAGGGACCTGTACGGTCACGGACATTAGACCATGCACTCATTTGGGTCAGTTAATACTTATCTGGTGTCAACACAATGTCGGCTGTATAATAAAGTGCGACAAGTTCACAGTAAAATATATGAATAAACTTTGTAAGACAATCCCCAAGCTGACTCTGTCATGCTGAACATACTTACTAAATAAATCAGCAATCAATTTCGTGCTGGTTTACTGCCTCATTTAGCCTAGTAAATAACTGCGTTATTAACACTCAAACTAGGTTAAAAATTACAGGAAATTAATTGTAATTTTCTTACTCTATCTGCCACCTCAATAGTGAAACAAATTACCTTAGAAATGAGAGATTTTAGAAACAAAGTAAAGATACAGAACATTACTACTCTCCGAATGATATTGAAGTCGTAACAAAATGCACCCTAAATATATACACATGTCGAAAAACAATAATTCGTCAGGGTACCAGATATTTTGGTTGTAATTTTTCCGACTATAGATGGCGCTATATTCATACTTCGATCAATTTTCAGAAACGAATGAGGGCGTCGTTAAACAGGATCGTAATAATTTGTTTACATGGCAAGACTGCACTGGATCTGGAGTTCCACGGATATGCTGTAAAGAAGTGTAAGTTATCTGAATTGTTCCCCTGTGATTGAGCAAGAAAAGCGTATCATAATCATCACATTGCGTCATAGGACATGCAAGGTGGGCTTAAGGATTAAAGTTTGCTTCGTTTCGTCTCATCAGCAGGGTGCTAGCTGGCAAAATGGTCGAGTAACGGGGCATTAAGCGTAAGCCTTGGGCTTACGTACCTTAGCTCTACTGTACTGACATGACTGAGTATAGCGTCAGAGTAGGCCTATTTCTCTTTTTATGATTTAGGACGGGGTCGTCATACTAACGCTCCACGCCTGTACATATAGTAAGGTGACAACAGTTCTCAAAAATTCCCAAGACTCACCAAAAATACCTGTATCACCACCTACTACTTAGAAAAGTACTGGCTTCCGTAAATGCCAATGTCAAACAGTTGGGGCTTCAATGATATTTCTAATTCTGACTTCAAAATCTGACTGTTTTTTCTCGACACACGCACAGCACTTAAAATTTTCCCCGCCTTCTCCCATTCAAATACGGGCGATTTTCTGACCCAGTAAGTCTATGGACAAACATGGTCCTCCAAGACGTACGCATGAGTCGAGTGGGCTTTACTCCTTTGACCTTGAAGTTGTGACTACACCAAGCTATACACTCCTCACAATGTTGATGTCTAAATGCATAGTTCACTTGACAAATGTTTCTCCTCTTACAGATTCTGACAAACTGTTCTCCAAGCCCAAACTTCCCCAGGATGAGAGTCTGTGACTCCTGAAGGTATGACAATGGCTAATTGTCAGAGTAGTGTCAAGAATCCTGACACAATGGCAACTGGAAACCAATCTACAACTCTCACTGCCACACCCGGGCCACGCCTATCTCAGTACAGTGTCAGTAATCTTGTTGAGAGTGTCCATAGGTTGGAGAGGTTGTGTTGGTATGTTATGGTTCTCTGGAGGATCATTGTCTTTCTATTCAGGTAAAGGAATACTTTTTCTTCAAGGAATTTGTGTTGTAAAACCTTAAGAGATTGTCTAAAAATGGAGGAAATTTCCATTTTTGACTCCGGTTTATTTTCTTTTTGTTTAGATGGGAATCGCCTTTTGTCACATTGTCATTTTGGATCACATCACTTCTCATCTGCTACTTTATGGAGTCTGGTATGTTCTCTAAAATGATAAACAAATTGTTAATCTGAAACTCTGATTTTGCATCTCATATTCTCGGCAACTATGAAAGATCCAAGACCTGTTTCAAGTTGATAATGAAGACTATTCCTATTTTTCTTGGCAGGTCAGATAATGGCTAGTAGTCTGGTGCTCCTCTTCCTGCTGGCAGGATCTGGAGGTGTTGTGAATTTCAAACTCCAAGAGCATGGTCCTTCAAGGTCCAAGACCCAACCGTCATCCAACTCACCAGCAAGCTTTACAAATCCCCAACAGGGGGTGGAGCAGAGTCCCGCCTGCATCGAGCAGCAACAGAAGAAAGGACGAGAAGTTCTGGCTGAGTATCGCCAACTGATGCTTCAAGCTCAGGACTGGCTGAACTCAGCGTGCAACATGTTGGAAAGACTGCATGGCATACTTGGCTGGCAAGATGCCACCTGGTCATCAGTGTAAGTAAAATCGATAGCAAAAAGTGGCTGATAATTACCGGTAGGTGCAGAAGAGAAGACAAGAGAAACTTGTTGATGTGGTTTCTCCCAGATGGTTTTCCTCCAGTCTCCAAAGATAATGATAGAATGTTATCGTGCTTAGGTACAGTGATCACGTCACAGCCATGGTAACACAGTTTTGTACTCAATTGCTTGGATATAAATATTATTGAAAGCTTTGTTGGAGATGTAGAAAAGGGACTCACTTGTTAGCTGGCTGTGTTGTACAGGTTGAAGAATTTTGTAAGTGGCTGCTATAAAAATTGGATTGCGCTGAGTATTTCTTGGATTCTGTTGTACTTGTTATGTAGATTTTATGGGGGAAGCAGCGTCATCATTATATTGGTTTGTTTATTGCCATTGAGATGGTTTGTCATGGCAACCATTAGCAGCATCCTCTGCATCAATCGAGACTTTGTAGTGCTCCTCAAGCAGGTGTATGAGTCTGCACATTGTGACCACTTGTCGGATGGCAACGATAAGAAGAAAGAAGAAAAGATTATCAGACATGATGGGGTAAGCAACAAAGTCAGAAGAACTCTCTTCTTTCTCAAGAAATTCATTGTGGTTTCTCAGGAAACTATTTCAGAATCGCACAAAATCCCAGGATTTTCTTTTGCTTGAAAATATTCAAATGCTATTGTTTCCAACATTGGCAGCAGGGGATTCACTTTTCTGTTCTTCATGTAAGCATTGCTCCTTGCGCATACTTGACTGGAAGTCATTAAATGCAGCTTTTTGTCTTAATAAAGAAGAAACTACACCCCAGGCATTTCTCAGATGCTCCTTGTCGTCAGCCTGCATCAATGAATGGCCAATCCAAGGTGTGTCTTGTCTCCCTGGAATCTCTGAGCAGAATTCATTGCTCCATTTGACCTCTGTCTTCATCACATTCCCTTCATTTTAGCTTGAGCAGGAACCCAAGGACAAACCATCCACAAAGGTCGAGCCGGCCATTCGTCATGACATCCAACATCGCCCACTTCACCTCTGCGTAGGTTTCACAGCCATTTCTCATTACGTGTCTGGCGTAAATGACATTTCCAACCTACTACCTTTACTTGGGGGAGTGATATTTGGCTGGGACATTTAAGACATTTCACGTGCCATGATCTCCATATAAACAGCTAGTAGCTTTACCTTTCTATAATCAGCACAAATTTTTCTGTTTATGACATTGGCCTCAGCTTATTAACAATTATTATCTCATTCACTCATTTTTCACTGCTCATCAAATTAGAGAAAATATAAATGTACTCAATAAATCTCTTATCTGCAAGTTGGTGCTGTTATATTGGAATAACTCATTGTAGCATTTTTGTAGGGAATTTCCTTCATGAATAAACCTTTCCAGTTTATGTTCTTGCATAAATGATGATTTTGTTCCTTTCTCATTTCATCAGCAAAAGAGCAAATCTCTGGACGAAGCTGGGCCGAATTATTCCAAAGTAGCAGCGGCCAATCGGAATCGTTCATCAACAGCTCCAGAACTCCCGACCCTTAAACTGAATTCAGCAGGCATGCCAGTTGAAGTCTGCTTCTTGTGTGGAACAATGTTCACCTCTGTTTTGAAACGAAGGGTGAGTATGTGACACGTCCTCTGTTCAAAAGAAATAAAGTGTTGGCCATTTTCTGCAGAGGTTGTCCATTTTAGAGTAAATAGCTACACAGTTGAACTGCACATGAACAACAAATCAATGAGCAAATCACTGAGATAAATCTGTCTAATCACGTCTCTGGAGCATAGAAATCAATGAGATCTCCTTTTTATCTCAACTTTCACAGAGATACTGTCGTTCTTGCGGTTATCAGTTCTGTCAGAGATGCTGCTTCAGAAAACTTCCCAGATGTGTCTTCGGAGCCACTTGTAAGTTGGCAATCAAAGATTTCATGTTTGTAACACCAACATACATGTAAATTGTTCAGGAACTTTTTCAAGGTCGATTATGTGGTTATTCGACACCGCTTGGTTTTACCTGACCATTAAGTCTGTGATAAAGGAAGTGGTGTGATAAAACATCTTGCTTGGGGACAAATTCAAGCATTTAATTCATTTCAAAGCTGCTTCTAACAAGGAAGCAGCCTTTCTTATGTTTCGGTTTGGTTCTATTTTCATGTCTGAGATTCAGTTTGTCATCTTTTGATATCTCAGCTCCAGCTGCTCAGACCGAGAAGGAACTCGTTTGTAATACTTGTTACGCTACCATGAAAGCAGAGGATTCCACCCAAGTGTCTGGTGGCACGACAATGGAAGAACGCTGAAAAGAACAAACGTCTCAGGTTTTGAAATGAGGTCTTTGAGAAATTTCAAGACAGTGTGCGCAATGTGATTTGCTCAGTTGTAAATGGGTGTCGTATTTGCCTTTCACCACTGTGACCTCGTCTGCGACTGTGGTTTTTTTTCTTTATTAGCAAAGATTGGAATTAAATGCATAAAACGATGTCACACAGTATTAAACAAAATAACAAGAAAATTAAAATGCCTCTTCGATAACTGTAAGCATTATTTATTATAATTGAATTTGACGAATTGATCCTTTTACAACTTTCTCCAAAAATCATTAGTTTCTGTGGAACTAGAAAATAGCTTCCATGTATTTTGATCAAACTATTTAATGAAAGAGGACATTAGATAAGGAAGTCATTGTAATTTTCTATTTGTCTCCATGGGGCAACTCGAAATCAAACTGCTAACTTTGTATGCGTTTTATTGCAAATCAAATTTGGTAAAATGCTAGTAGATGTATCTGCTTCAGACTGGGCATTTTCAACAATCTGAAAAATCTTTTTTGCACTTTCTATGTAAAAAGCCATGATCTGATCTGATCAGGAAAAAGTTTATGAAAGATGGAAACTGCTCATTAGCATCTTAATGTTGATTTCAATTTGAACGTTCTTTTAAAATGCAGATTTACTACTATTCTAGTTTAAAGGTGTCCAATTGGCCGGTTTTTGTGATCCAGAAATTGGAAGATGTCAAGTTTTTATGAATCCTTTGATGGCCCTTGAACCGGTGCTGAAATTAGAAAGTGAAGATGAAGTGCATTATGGGAGATTTAAATCTATATATTTTTTCATTGTATTAATGATTGATATGTTATTGTCCTATGGTCATGAGTTGTTCGTGTAAGGTTTGTGTAATACCATCTTTTATGGTTTGGACGTGGTATCTTCACAATATTTTTGTGTAAATTCACCATTTTAGGGTGTTGTTTGTTTTTGTACGGAAAATGATGACGTCCTGTGATGTGCCGTTTAGTAAGTGTGTACTAATGAAGAGGATTATCTCGCCGAGGCTGCATGTTTTAATTGATTGGACAACTGTGATTAAAGTGGCATGTTTTTTTGGGGGGGGCAGACGTCTTAGTGGACGATCCCATCACCAATCAGACTGGACTACTGAGTTGCACACTGCAGGGTGACTGAAGTCATTTCATTTAGTCTGATTGAAAGTGTCCAACTGATGGTGGTTGAAAAAGGACGAAATGAATACAAAACCTTACTGAAAACCTTTCTGTGAATCTTGAAAGCTTCAACATCTTTCATGAGACACAGGTGATGTATTCCTACTCGTTGCTACATATACTATTACTGTGTTTGAGTAGTATTAGGACCTACTGGCTTAAGCTGCTGTCTAGTACTTTTGTTAGGATATAATTTTCTTTTATACTCTTCAAGGAACAAACTATCCAGTGTTAACTAAATTTCCAATATGACGTACGCTATTCGGAATTGTACTTCGGTGTAATTTTTGCAACGAATCCGTCGTAACTGAGGTTTATCAGTTAATAATAAAAGCTGTAAATTTTGTTGGCTGTGACGACAGTTCTAAGTGTAATATTGGATATCAAAGTTAACGTAAATATATTTATGTATTTGCTGAGTAGCTCTTTGTTGATGGCGTTCGTGTAAACTGAAAAAATGCCGTGCTGATCTGTGAGTTCACAAATTTTTCGAAATACCTATCAACTCAATTGTAATATTTAATAGTGAAATAATATGCTGTCTATTACATGTACAACGAATAAAGAAATGAACTTTGATTAACCAGTCAATGTCCTTGGTCAATTTGTCGTCCTCCTTTGTTTAATTACCTTTTTATGAATTCCGCTCTAATGCCGTGAACATTTTGCATCGTCACGATGAAGGTAGAAAAATAGAAACATTTCAATTTGGTTATAAAACGTATTTGAAATCATTTTGTGCAAATAACTACTGTACAACAAATTTAAAGGATTCATTGTCTTGTCGAAATACGGACCACTGGGGTACCGAATGAAAAATTTGTTTCTCGAAAAAAGGTTGCAACTTCCTTGCCTCGAGAAAGAGGGATATTACATGTAAACGTGTACATGTATACAAAAATGATCAGGGAAGGGTTTCATTCTAATTATCCGAAATTATACATGTTTACGATGGACTTGCTCTTTGGGGTCTTCGCATTGTTTGGATGGATCCCTAAAGTCTTTCCATGTTTTCTTCATGACCGAAGTGTTTTTGAAGCCATGAAGATTGAAGGCCTCTCGTAGGTAACAAGCGTCTCTGAGACTCCCAGTCGTAATAAACTGTTTGGAGGAAGCGTCGCTCAAGTCAATACGCTTCTTGCTGCGAAATGCTAGGATTCCAGCGTAAGCATCATCGATGGGAATGAGTTTGGTTGTTAGTGTCATTTTATTCATGTCTCTTACGGCAGCTGCAGACATGATGTAGCCCCCTCCGGAGAAATAAGGTAAGAAGTATTTGAAAGGATACTGAGAGCGAAGGACTTGGTATTTGGACTCCTTTCTGACGACGGGACTGTTCTCCATCATGTGACCAAGAAACAGGCGCTCTGATTGGTTGCTAGGGAGGGATCTGAGATGCCCTGTGATTCGCTGGAAGTTGACCAGCATGTCGTCGTCCCCTTTGTATATGAAGGTGGCTTGTTTGCAATTGTTTGACACCCATTTAAGACCGAGGATGACTTTGAGAGTGAGGTTGTGGAAGGATTCCAAAAAGTCAGCCTGGAGGATGTCGTGGTTTAGGCGAGCCTCCTGATCCACGGCCCGTTGTGTGGCAACTGGCATACCACGTGATTTACCGAGGATGAAGAGGGTTTTGGAGTTGGTTTCTTTCATGTAATCTGGCGCCGCCCAGGTTTGACGAATCGCCGCGCGCAGTTCAAAGTTCCGTGGCATAGAACTCACTAAACCGAGGAGAAAGGGCGCTCGACTTGTCTGAGGGTTTTTCCAACACGCTTTCTTGGGATTATGTAACAGCTTAAAGACAGTGTCAAAGTACTGTTTGTTGTTTATCTTGCCAGTCCATATTTCTATTTCTGTGGCATTAGGGAGTGCATTTGGACAATTCGACACAACCTTGCTGTGATTGCTCCAAACAGACTTCATGAGATAATCTGAATCAAATCCCCCAAGAGTGATGGTATCTCGTAGGTCACAGTAGTCCGCGTCTCCGCCGAGTTTCAGGAAGGAATCTTTGTACTTGGGCCAGACCTTCAAATTTAGAGCCAGCATCCCAAGGTAGACGTCACCGAGGTGGAAAACTTTTGCCTTGGTTGCCATGACAACACTTTTAAGATAGGCATTGAGCACAAACTTGGCAGAGACCACGAAACCAGCTCCCCCTACACAATATTTTGGGTAACTTTCTGGCTGATAGGCGTCGAAACCAATGTAGTCTGCCATCTTTGGGTCTCGCTGGGGTTTGCCGTTCTTACGCACCCTGCCCAGGTAGAGATTTTTGGGCTCTTTTAGATCTTTTAAATGTTTCACCATTTTCACAAGGTCCACAAAAAGATCGTCTGGCCCTATAAAGATATATTTCACAAGAGGGCAGTTCAGCAGGACCCACTTAAATTCAGCCAGGATTCTCATGGTTGAAACTGTGGTAAGCATCTTAGGCTCGATGACGTCAGCACCGATGACGTCACTGTACCTGGCATCTTCCTCCTGAATCTTCGTTTTCAGCGACTCTGCTGTTCCTTTGGAAGTTTGGTGTCCGACCACGAAAACTGACTTGATATTTTCCCTGTCTGCTGACCTCAGTGCGCCCCAGGTCGCACGGATGGCGTCACGTTGCTTTACTCTCAAAGGTTCAGTGTTTACAATCGACAAAAGATACAAATCCTGTCCGAAATTCGGGCACGTTTCACTGGAAGCCTTCGTCCAAAACTTTAATTCGTTGTGCAACTCGGTACTTTTCAACCTGGACAATCGCGTTTGGAATTCTGAAATCTTCATAGCAGCTGAATGGTTTAGGAATTTGCCAGATTTTTGCTCGTTATTCTGGAGTTGTAAGTCGATCTCTTTTATCGGGGGAGCAACACCTTCATCCTTATTGAATTTCTGTCGTAGCTCGTTGAGGGCGCGTTCATTATCCTCGTTAGATTCTGATTGGTCGGATTCAAGGGCTGTTCGCTTTTCATCCTCGTGCCTTTTCACCAGCGGTGATTTTGTCGGAAAAGTGTATGGCTCCTGTACAGAAGTTAGTAACCGTTCATCTAGATAGACGAGCGAGAGTAACACGCGGGATGCTCCGAGAATCAAGATGATTGTCATGAAGGCGCCGAGATCGTGTGGAAATGCCATCTCGATTGGGGCACCCTCAACGGTGGGATTCGTTTCAATCCTGGCTCAGTTGTTTCATGCAAAGTTGCTGTTTATACATCACATCATTAACTGCAAGATCTATTATGTGTGAAAAGAAGAATAGACTGGTAAACTGCACGAAAGGATTAAACCATGTTCCAAACCACCGTGTTTTTTTTTTTACTGTTTTTTACATCTGTCCTGAACATTTTTAAATATGGCAACATAAGAATTATACTCCGAGGATAGAGTCTCCCATTCTCTTAATTGTTTTCAACATCAACTGCCTCGTCCCTATATTCTAAAATGCTTCGCAGAGACCAGGGCGTTGGACCTCCCACAAAAGATCCGCCACTTTAAGATAACAGAGGGATAAGAGATGTCGCATAGCTGTGAGAAAAAGCTGAATCCACAGTCCACTCATTAAGTTTCAGCGTCAAGAAATATTAAGCTTTAAGGAGCAGGCTTGGATGGAAGTCTATTCTCACTTATTCCACCAATAGAGCTGTGTTCCTAGCTCTATGCTCCACCGTAAAGTTCATAAAATATCTTCATCCTCAACAAGGCCTACTAAGGTAGCCATCCAGCACACTGTACCTTGCACATCATATATTATGCGTGAGATCTTTTTCATTCTCTCGTCTATGTTTTTGCCAAGACCCAGAGGGCAGTCTGAATCCCCACAAAATGAAAAACTGAGCACTCAGTCATTATCAGAACAACTAGACTATCTGACAATCGACTTGCATGTAACTGAACGGTGCAAGGACCTCGGTGAAACACAAGATGTCGGTTATGGAGAGCATGGAGGTAGAATCAGATTCTACCTCCACGTGGAGAGCTTACCTGGCTTGATTTAATTAAATATTCAACGTGGTCCGTAATTCTTCAACAAGACACCATCCTTACTCCGTCACCTATTCATTCTGATTGGATTGAAAGACACTTGCCTAAAGTCTGTTAGCAAAAATACGTTGCAGTTTTGGCAAGAAGCAGTGGTTTCAATGTCGTCGTCGTCGTATGGACGATTTGCACTTTGACTGCATGCCTGATATGACCCTTTAGAAGAGAGCTACACAATAAAGATTACACAATCAACAATGGACCCTATTTACACATGTAAATAGACGGGCACACCTTGTGTGAAGATGACCTCCATTGAATGTCGAGCGGCTTAATGTGGCCATGTGGGCAAGATACGCACACAAAATAGGGTTAATGATTATGTACACTGAAGATGCAAGCAGAAGTGATGGGCGTGAATGTGGATGACGAAGGGGGGGGGTGTTTCTGGGTATGAAATAGCAATAATGCCCAGTTCTGATTTACTTCACGGCAAGCGTACAGTGTAAACACGTCCAAGAGATATCTCAAAAACTAGTTTTTAAACATTATCGAAATAGCCATGGTCTGATTTTAAGCTCGGTTTAAAGCTATGGACAACCAAAATCCTATCTTACCAATTTCTAGTGTCAAACTTGGTTTCCAACTACAAGTACTGTCCTGCTTAAGCAGGTGAGACGGTATGCCCACATATGCTCTAGCTAAAATTAGTAAGTTTTTACTTTAAATTGGCCTTGTGATGTGCTGCAGTACATATGTTGTACATCACGAGACCCCCCCCTTACACCTGAAGTGTCCTTTTCTGTCCTTCGAATTTAGTGTGGAAACTCGCATTCGTGGAAGCTTCCTTCACATTCCTCCTTTATGCTGGCCTACAAATAATTTTCCAAAATGATGATCTCGAAACTGGAATTCATATGACCTTGTCCGCATATTATGAAATTAAACCTTAGCATTTTGTAGAGGAAGGGAATTGCTCTCTTATATTGTGGATGTTCAGGTCACAACTACCCTGGTGTGGTTTGTCCAAGTCTCCATGCCAGACCGCATCGCACATGCATGCACGTCCATTACGGGAAGCCTTGCATCTATCTGAAGACGCCATCCTGCGGTCTCATGGCGACGCCATATACGGTATGGCATGCATGATGCAAATACGCCCTAAGGAGGAGCGTTGCTATGACGACGCTCGCTCAGCTCACGTGACCATTGCTGCTTGGAAATATTGATGATTAATAAGAATGCAATTATAGGCAACACGTGATTGCTCCACGGGGACAATTATTTTTGTATCTGGCTAGACCCAGAGAGATGAGATATGAACATGTACACGAAATATATATCCATGTACGTAGTCTAGTAAAGTTTGATAGTCAACAACACACTTTTTTCTTAACTGTTTTTGGCCCTGACATGTACCTTCTGTGTTCCAGATAAAATCAGACTGAAACGTCACGGCGTCGCACCATCACAGCAATGGCAAAATGTTGCCTATTAGAGATCACATACGAGATTTTTCCAAGACATTTTGTAAGCATGCATCATACTTTGCCTGCTTGCGCTGTCACTCTGCTTTTCAACCAGTATACAGAGTGAAGGGCTTTTCAACCAGGATTTATTCGGAATTCACCATTATTAATTGTCTTGAACTTCGAAAAACAGCATGGAGTTTGCCTTCCTACGAAAGACGCCTTGTGGCAAGGTCAATGTGATTAATATTATTTTTAACCCTCGAAGTTCAGAGTAAAATCTCATAGAATCCTGTTGGGTTTGGCATAGTTAGGGTTAGCTTAGTTTATACATGTACATTTAGTGTTATGCATTAAAATATCATTTCAGATATAAATGAAATAAAGTGAAGTGCAAAGATGTATGTCTGCTGAATGAACTTTACGTGTCGATAATGAATATGCAACAAGTTCAAATAACTATCGCAGTCATTTCCAAGTTGCTCCGCCCAGTTTTGTCTAATAAGGTAATCCAATGACTTTACAAACTTCCCAGGTGTCCTTCACTCATCAGAGTGGTTAGGTGAACAAAAATGGCTTAGCTGTCAACTGGTAACCTGACACTCATCAGAGAGGTTAGGTGTACAAAAATGGCTTAGCTGTCAACTGGTAACCTGACAAGAGAGCGGGAATGTGCAAAACGCTAGACCTGCCATTGCTCAAAAATGTGTGGTCATTATCAATTACAGTATGTTATTTTAATGACTTAATATATATAGCTAAAGTTTTTGGTATCATAATGTATGACTTATGGGATTGATAGCAAAGATTCAGTAATTTCATAATTCATCCTTTACAGGTATGTTAGTGTCAAGGCTGGGGATGTTGAAAATATGGTCAGAAAAACGATCGACTTAAGATGTTTGGTGAATATTCACTTTGAAAGAACAAATAAATTTACCAAGAATTATTCAGACCAATTATTATTCCACCACCCCCCCAAAAAGGCAAATCAACTTATAAGAGTATTAGTTAAAAGAACGTCTCGAGTTGCAAGGAAACGGATAGCAGAAAATCGTTAATCAACGTTTTGAACCTATTTTGAGCCAAATAGAACTCAGTTTTCTTGTTTGACCGTGGACACCTTCGTGACATTATCTCTCCGCAATTATGGGTCACAGCTGCACAATTAGGTTCACCACAGCCCTGGACAGTGAAATGGGAGTTGCCGCGAATCGACGGCTAAGTGCATGGGTCTGCAAAGTGAAATTCCTCGGGCCACCAACTCCCGGCGACACGCTCCACGCGTGTATCATTAACATATGGACGGACCACAGTGCCATATTTGGCGGGGCTGGCTCTGCGCGCTGGCGCGCTACCTTACATAGTAGGGTTTCATTCCCCGTGCGCTGCACCGACTTTCCAAACGGTATGAAAACCATAAAAAAATGGGCGTCAAAGTTTTACATTAATTTGAATATTGATAGATCATATTCCTGGTGGCCAATCAGACTGACTGTATGCAAATCAGTGCATATTATTTCGTCGAAGAGGACCGATTTTCTTACCTTATAAAGTTATCAATGGAGATTTCTAAAGAGTAATTTTGGATCTCCAAGCCAGTATAAAGACGAGGTGTGTGAAGGAGGTACACTCACTCCTACGTGGGATACAGTACTAGAGCTGTCCACTTGATCGGTAAGTTTCACAAAATTTTTCTTGTATTTCACACAGAAACTTAGCCTTTAGTGACAGAGGGAATTTATGTAGGCTTAGGCCATTGAATTTCCAACAGCGGTATTCATGTCTTGATTGCTGTGTATAGCGTTATGTAATTATTCGGATGGATGTTTCGCCATCCGGCATGTGAATTGCCTAGCCGGCATCATCATCTGTACTAGTTTATTGGACGTCGATGCTTTGCCACTGAAGTGTCATCGCTTTGTACTTTGACATTTTGAATTCGTGTAGGAAGCGATGAGTTCTTATCGATATTGTAGCCATAGATGGACTTGTTCCAACGGTTGAAAGCAAGACTTTATAACCCATAATGATGTTCTGGTACATTCACCGCTAACCCGGTAATCTTTGATTGATGTTTATCGATCGTCACTCTTAGATTTATTCTCATTCATACTTATTACACCCTACTCAAGTTGCCACTCGACTCCGGTCAACAATCATTTAATAATCCCGGACTTCAATGCAAATACAATAGTCTGGACCACTGAGGAAATTAACCGAAAGTGTTGTTGTACAGTAGTCAGTAGAAATTCACAGCGATAGAAGTGTAATTTCATCAACAATTTGTTGAGAAAGCAAACAGCCTGTAGCGAAAATGAGTTGATATTTTAGTGATTTGTAGTTGAATGCTTTAACTTATCTGACCATTTGACCCTCATTTTGACCGGTTCCTCTGCTCGTCTCTATCATTCAAACTGCAAACTATACCATCTTAAATCCTCTGATACGGGCTGCACATAGACGTAGGAGTAGATCTGAATATAAAGTCCAAACATTACAGCAATGAAAGGTACTATACGAAAACATTGAACATGTCTAAGCCGTCGACCTTTGTTAAATTTAGTCTCCTATATCGGTTGTGTGCGACGAACTCGAACGCCCAACAAGCTACATGACAGATTATAAATTACTGGCGACCGATGTCGTAGTCGAATTCCTGAAACTAAAACCAAGGAAAGACGGTGTGCCTTGCACGAGGCAACAACTTCAACACTCAAACCGAAGTCAAAAAAGAACTGGCCAAAATCATCCTGCAGTTTTTAACTGCATCAGTCTTGCCGTTCCTCTTTGCAGACATTCGCCTTTTGGCGACGGTTTATTTTTAAACTTTTATGTTCTCCTGGGCGGCCTGCTGTGTCTTGTGATTGTCTTGTTGTATGTTCAATTGCCCCAAATAAATAAATATTATTATTATTATTAATTAAAATCAACCCTCGCTTCCTGTTAATGCTGCATGGTTGAGGACTTGTCGCCAAAGATGAACATCGTACATGTAAAGATGACAAATGTAATTCATATTCATGAGCTATTTTATCCGTTGCCAGAGACGGGATAATGTAAAAAGTGCTAGTCATAACACCGCTTGCATTCCTGGAATAGTTGACTGAATTTCGCGTGCAAAGCTTACAACTTAGAAAACAGAGACAAAATGAGAGGGAAGTGCGCATGCGTATGAACGCACTGAGAAACAGCCATCAGTTAATGGGACAAAATTTTACCAAATTCTAATTTTTTTCCCACTGAAAAAAAATGATTTACACCAACAACGGAAATTATTCCCAAAAGAATGTGATTGCAAATATTAACATTCCAGCCGTTTTATATTTTACCTCAATCTATATAAGGGAGTACCAAACCAAAGTTGTTGTTTTTACCGTTGATTTACACGTACACATGCCGCACCAGCCATCCTACTCGCCGCCAATGTGAGGTAATATGCAAATTAGCGATGAAAACTTCCACCAATGAGTAGCATCGACACTCCGTCACTGACCACCAATGAGGGAGCGCGTCCTTTCGGTAGTTTTGGCCGTATCCTTCCACATACCAAAAATGGCCATCAGGACCGTGCGTGGAATGCGATGGTTTTGGTCGGCGCGGAATGGGATGAATTCCCCCATTAAGGAGATGTATTAGCGGTGGAGAAACAAGGCTTCTTGCTGTGTTGTATTTTGGTAGCGACATGAATCTCCGGGGAGTAATTGCATGGCCTTATTAAGATGACACAATTTTGCCAGTGCCGTTTAGATTTGACACACAACGGAGGGAAATACTTGTGGATCCAAGAAGATCTGGTGGAATATGTGAACTGTAATTTCGGGGTACTTGTCAGACTGACATTTCATTGTTCATGGTCGATTCCGATCACCAACCAAACAGAAAAAGGGACAGCTGGAAAAATGCCTTCGTTGCTTTCTCCAACGGGGGACTGTCTGATTCTGTGCTTGTCCTCTAACAAAAGGCGCATGTGTCAATAAATTTGGACGGAAAAGCTTCTTTTAAAAATGGAGCACAACAGACTTATATAAAAAGCCTTATTTAAGAAGTCTGCCGTAGAACCCAGTTCGAAACCCGCCACAAAGTCGCGCGCCCAAAGGAACTGAATTGAGAATCCTTACTTGCTGTAGGAATTCCACATCATTTTACCAATGACAGAATTCATAATCCACGATTTTGACGTAAGCAGTTTTGTGTTATTACGCAGGTTTTGTGTGACGTGAAGAGAAAACCAGCCAATCATTCATCATGTGCGATGAGGATGTTGCCGCTTTGGTTGTTGACAATGGCTCCGGTATGTGCAAGGCCGGATTCGCCGGAGACGATGCCCCAAGGGCTGTCTTCCCTTCCATTGTAGGAAGACCACGCCACCAGGTAAACTTGAATTTCCCTAAGAATCAACATTTCGATTTACACTCTGGCCTTCTTCAGATGGCAATTAACCCGTACGTTTGAAGCTGTTTTCACTTACTCGTTCCTCTAACTATACTCCAAATCCCCCCAAAAAATCCCACATCAAAATTTAATCGCATTGGTGTAACATCGGAGACGCTGTTACATAGATGCGGGCTTGTTGCTTGGAAACTGATGATGTTGATGAACCTGATGGTTATTCATTCGACCAGCAACTATGTTTGTTTCATCTGAAGAACCATTATGTTGTTATTTACGAATATATAAGTATGAAAAAGTACTGATTTTTACTTGAATGTCTGACTGCAGGGTGTCATGGTGGGTATGGGTCAGAAGGACAGCTACGTAGGAGATGAGGCTCAGAGCAAGAGAGGTATCCTGACCCTCAAGTATCCCATCGAGCACGGTATCGTCACTAACTGGGACGACATGGAGAAGATCTGGCATCACACCTTCTACAACGAGCTGCGTGTGGCACCAGAGGAGCATCCTGTGCTGCTGACTGAAGCTCCCCTGAACCCCAAGGCCAACAGGGAGAAGATGACACAGGTGAACAAGCGAACCTGTCACTGATTTGAAAACAAAAGCCACGGGGGACGTTTAGGAGCCAAATACATGAAAACGCTCAAAAAGCTTTATGGAGTTTTACCCACGAATATGACAAAGAGTTTATGCCATATTCAAAAATTCTGGAATGTAAAAGTCATTTCAAAATAGAGCTTCTGCTCAATAAAAGTGTGCACAAGAAGCACAACTAGTGTCTATCAATTTGATTGAGATTCAGTGGGACGTTTTCTGTTGTTTTTCCCATAGATCATGTTCGAGACTTTCAACTCTCCCGCTATGTACGTCGCTATTCAGGCTGTGCTGTCCCTTTACGCCTCTGGTCGTACTACCGGTAACTAAGCAATTTTCATATTCTGTCAAAATTATTCATTTTTCTATTTAGAAACCGCATTTAAAGAAACTCTGTGTTTTACAGCACTGAGTCCATTTTTTTTAAAAAAAATTTGTTTCTTCTTTTCGCAGGTATTGTCTTCGACACCGGTGACGGTGTGTCCCACACTGTGCCCATCTACGAGGGTTATGCCCTGCCCCACGCCATCCTCCGTCTGGACTTGGCCGGCCGTGACTTGACCGACTACCTGATGAAGATCCTCACGGAGCGTGGTTACTCATTCACCACCACGGGTAGGTCTACTGAGAAAAACTGATCGCACCGAAATGATTGATTTACATAGGCAAGTCTAACAGCAAGGGTGTCATATTTCTGCCGACTAGAAGGCCACATTCTTGATTCTTTACTTTACAGCCGAGCGTGAAATCGTCCGTGACATCAAGGAGAAGCTGTGCTACTGTGCCTTGGACTTCGAGCAGGAGATGCAGACCGCTTCATCCAGCTCCTCCCTGGAGAAGAGCTACGAGTTGCCCGATGGTCAGGTCATCACCATCGGCAACGAGCGTTTCAGATGCCCAGAGACCCTCTTCCAGCCTGCTTTCATTGGTAAGGGGACAATTTTTGAAATGCAGTTGTTTCTGTCGTTCTGTTGGTTGTTGTTCCTAATGTCGTTGGCCTGGTTGGCTGGTTGCTTGTGATGTTGTCGACCTTGTCCATGACGTGTCTGTACTCTGTACTATTTATCGACTTCACTACTCCTATCCCCTAGGAATGGAATCTGCCGGCATCCATGAGACTACCTACAATAGCATCATGAAGTGTGACATCGATATCCGTAAGGATCTGTACGCCAACACCGTGCTGTCTGGCGGAACCAGCATGTACCCAGGTATTGCCGACCGCATGCAGAAGGAAATCCAGGCCCTGGCTCCACCCACCATGAAGATCAAGATCATCGCTCCCCCAGAGAGGAAGTACTCTGTATGGATCGGTGGCTCCATCCTTGCCTCTCTGTCCACCTTCCAACAGATGTGGATCAGCAAGCAGGAGTACGATGAGTCTGGCCCCAGCATCGTGCACCGCAAGTGCTTCTAAACTCTTTACGCTCACGGTAGCAGTTTTGTTCACCAGACTATACAGTAATTGACGTGTACGCATATCCATCACCGTTGTCATGGACACCAGTGACGCCATCTTGGATTCTCTCAGAGTCCTTTTGAAAAATTCAAAATCAGTGCAATTGTGGTCAAACGATAGAAAGTTGTCACAGCAGGCCAAACATGTGCAAAAAAGTCGCCAGCCTCATATCTTATTTGAATAAATAAAATTTTGGATTAAAAAAATCGCTTGTGGCGGAAGTACTGACTTAATTTGGTCTAATAATCAAATGTTCGAGGCGAATTAATAAAGTCAGAATACAGACCAGGCTAGGACAGACTTACCGTTAGAATATTTGTTCATTTTTATGTCGAAGAAATCATGACCTTTTATTGTGAAACCAAATCAGCAAGCTTAAGAACTGTCGTAGAAAATAGAACTAGATGTGTCGATAAGATTAGAGACAAGCAGCGAATGTTGAATGAACGGGTCAAAGGCAAAGGACTTTTATTTCTGGTCCGTGAGACTGACAAATTGTTGACTGTAGAGGGCGGGACATAAGTTGCAATATCAAGATCTGTAGTGGCATTAGCGTTTATCGTAGCTTTGTCAGTTCAGAAGAATGAAAGAAATGGTTTATTTATTGAATTTTGACAAGTTGATGGGTGCTAATGGGGAAAAAACGAAAAACAAAAACTGTGTTTTTTTCTGAGCAAAATAAAACCAGGTATTTTGTAGTGCAGACAATGTGTTTCAACGTATTCTTTGGAGAGTGCAACTTTAAAATTAATCTCGATAACTTTGAAAATAAAAACAAAAGTGATTTTGGGGTTATGATTTGCAATGGTCTTAAACAAACTAGCAAAACTTTCGATATAAGTTTTAACAACACCCCTAGCAACTCAAACGTAAATAACAGCATTAATATATACTCTTCAAATCAACCGAAAATAAAAATCCTCGCCTTAAGAAAAGCAAGTGAGATGTAAGATAAACTCAGTCTCTTTTCGTGGAAAGACAATTCTGAAAGGAAATGCGACAAGAATGGAGTGATAGACCGTCATTGAGAAAACGAAAATGTCACAAATAAATCCTGTGTTTAAATTACACACAAACTGTTCGAATTCTTTTATTAAATCTTTCATTATACATAGACACAGAGAACAGTCATTTGGGGAGCGGGATGCCGTCGTCTTCCACGATCCACAGTTCAAAAGCACGTATTTAAGAAAGTTATGTACGGCTTCTTTTATAAAACGCCTTTCACCTTATCTGAACTGATCGAAAAATGTGGAGCAAAACTCCTTTCCTATGCCAAGGGCTTTCAATTATGCCCAAGCTGTTCTCCTTTGCCAAATAGAAATGTTATTAATCACCAATTATCAATGTCATTACATTTATTTCTTCATCTTCTTTCTTTGACTTGAAGTAACTTAAACCCTCAAACAACGCTTTTAATTTTTAAACGCAAAATAATTACTGAACTGAGCTTATTTCTTTATAAAAGTATGAAAAACGATTTCAAAGTATAGAATCTCTTTACAGTTTCAAAATTTTTATTCAAAGAATTACTTCACAGACTTTTTCATTGGCTTATATCATTTGCAAATGACGTCACGATGCGTCATTGGTGCAATCCTCTACTGGCGTGGTGTAGTTCTTCCAGACAGTATGCAGAGCATCCGGGTCCTTGAATCCGTGCACCACCATGATATCACGCAGCGAACAGCCGTCAGTCTTAGCTCCCCAGTTTTTAAATCCTTTGTGGGCTGTGGGCGTCATCCCTATCTTGCTGGCGAGTATGCCCTGGTAGGCATCGTCGATGGGAATGAAGGCAGTCTCCAAAGATTGCTGGTACATCTCTGGGATGACATCGGTGGAGATGACATATCCTCCCCCTGAGCAATAAGGCGGGAAGTACCGCCCACTGTAGAGTCTATCTGGCACATAGTACTTGGAGCTGGTGCGAGTAACTCGAACGCTTCTGTATAACACACTTCCCAGGAAGAATCTCGTCATGGCCGATCCTTTGATTCGATTCTCTCGCAAGTAAGAGATGATATTCTTGAAGTTGACGAACATGTCGTCGTCGCCTTTATACATGTAGCTGGCATGGCGGCAGTTTTGTGTCACCCACTTCAGGCCCAGGACAACTTTGAGTGTCAAGTTGTGGAACGACTCGGTAAAGTCAGCTTGAATGATGTCACCGAATTCATCATCCTCTTGCTTGACCTGTTTTTGAATGAGGTCAATGTCTGTCTGAGTGTGGCCCATGAGGAATAACAACCTCAAATTCTGGCCCAGTATCTCTCTCTCTCCGCCCCAGGTCTCTCTGATTGCGCGACGCAGTGCGAAATGCCTTGGAAGGGAACTAATGAGAACGAGAAGAAAGATGTTATCCTCGTTCCCATCGCTGTCGTAACAGGCGTCTGGGTGATCTAATCGCAATTTTAGTGTTTGTTCCACGTATGGCAGGTTGTTTGTATGACTCCCGAGAACGAGGCTCAGGTCGGGATTCGGGCAGTTCCTCCGGAACTCTGGATTGGTCACATTCCTCCAGATTGCTGTGAGATGATCAACTGATTGCAAACCTCGGGTTGTTGTGACTTTAGTCAGCTCGCAGACATCCTTGGCCAAATTACTAAAGGTGAAAGATTTATCGTCGGTTATCAGAATACCAGCTTTTTTTGCCAACACACCGGTGTAGACATCTGGCAAAGGGAGAATCGGTTCGTCCCATGAGAAGGATAAGATTTTCTTAGCAACATCCATACTGAACACGTACCCAGCTTCCAATGTACAGAAATCTGGGTATCGCTTGCCCGGATATTGCCTCTCGGAAACGTAGTATCGACTCTTACGGTCTCGCACGGGTCTTGATCCAGGCGAAATTCGTCCTCTCCACATTTGTATCGATTCCTTGCTATTCAAAACTCGTAACTGTTTGATTAGACGCCCGTAAATGACGAACATGTGATCGTCGCCGGCAAAGACGAATTTTGCCGAAGGGCACGATAAGATCACCCAGTTCAATCCCATCAACATCTTGAGAGTCGAGTTCTTGAAATCCTCTCTAAAATTCCCCATCAGGATGTCGTCATGGCGCTCATTTTCCTGGAAAACGCTCGATTTCAGAGAATCGTCATTTGGGGAACCGAGAACAAACATCGTCAATACACCAAACTGATGAGCCATAGCCGTGTCAGCCCATGTCTCTCGGATAGCCATCCTATAGTCTTGATCTTGAGGTTTCGAGTGAATGAGGGCCACCATGAACACATCTCGACATTTCTCGTTGCTGTGGTCAAACTTTGACATGAGCACTTCCTCAAAAAAGGCACTATTTACTCCCTTCTTGTGTTTGCTGGATGGAGGTTTTACTGGAACCACTTCATTGTTACTATTATGTGTCTGCTTGACCGGACCAAGTTTAACTTCAGCGGTGTTTGGTACAGATTTACCCCCATCACCGTCCATCTTGGATTTCAGACCGCCATATTGTTGTTCGCTCTCTTTCTGTTTAGATTTCTCGGCGATTAGAGATTTTTCCTGCTCGTTTTTGGTGTTCTCATGCCGCCTTAAGCGTTCGAGGTTGAGGTTCAACCTCGATCTCGTCGCATCTGGTTTGTAAACTTGTCCATTTAAAGCATTCCCTGTCGGTACAGCGTCACCCATGTACATAAATACTAAAAATACCTTAGCACCATAGATGCACACAGTCAACAGCAAGACCACTTCCAGTTTCGTGCAAGATGGGGCCATATTTGGAATTGGACAGTTCTACAGTGCGAATCAAATCCTCAGAAAGAGTAGCTCCCGCTTGGCGTCTCAGTTAGAAATCTTGTACATTTGTGTCAGTTCGTCATTAGCTTTCTTAATTAGTCCTGCAGACAAATTTCGACAAGAAATCGTTAAACAAATTCATATGTTATATATCAGAATACATGTAGTATGGCAAAGTGGCAGATATGGTTTGCGCACATTCACCGTAATTGTAAACCACGTAACAATAGTTTCATGTGCAATACGAGGCTTCACCCTTTAAAGATAACACTACCTGATTAAAATGTCTCTTCAAACAATTATCAAATTGAAAAGTCAGTTCCGCCCATGCAAACATTTTCAAATATGTGATGAGAACAGATGGAGGGCAAGGCAGGAATTGTTACATCTGGCGCAGAAAGATGAACAATTTATCTCGTTACCTCTTTAAAACTCCACGTTATCAGCTCAGCTAGTGATTTCAGCAGTGCAGAAATCATTTGATTGAACATTTATGTGAATATTTTCAAGAATGCATCGTACGTCAACCAGATGACGTCATCGATACGCCACCTCGTGAGACAGGATATAGTGCATTAAGATTTAGAACTTAAAACAGTTCTAAAGACAAAAAAATGCTGTTAACATTATTGCCGTAAATGGGAATGTATTTGCGTGTGTCGGGTTGTCGTTCCAATTTCGTTGCGGAATGCAGTCATGGCTGGTGCCATTAAGTTCAACTCACCTCAAGTATACATTCAGCATGGATATCCTACAACATGGCACTCGTTCTGTCTGTCCTTGTTCTACTTTCCCGTCGGTTTCGCCTACATTGCTCATCAGCCATCTACATTCGACCATACACGCAGCGTTGTGGAAGATTTTCATAACACATGAGATTTCACGGATAAAACCCAAAGATAAGACTTGAACGGTTCAGCTGCAGATTCACATGTCCTTTTTATCTAAGCGGTGAAACCAGTATACACGTTTGCGTGAAACTCGGTTTAAGCATGTGTCTGATAGCTCCATGGTTTAAGCAACTTCGGTGAATAACCTCTTTGCGTCTTCCGTGGCTCTCAGACGATCGCTATTGTTATGTTAATTTTCTTGAGGCCTCCGTTCGATCACAGTGACAACACCCTGTGACCCCTTTGGCCACCATTGGCACCAATGCTTCGATGAATTGTCATGTTGATAAAATTACATAACATGCTTGCGTGCACACCCGTCGTCTTGAAGATTGGGCTGTGTTGAATTAACTGACTACGACCGGAAAAGGTATGCGTGCTTATGAGAGCCAAAGGCTTACGGCTGCAGCCAATTTCATACCCTTGTGTGTTACTGCTGGCCGTAACCAAGTAAATCGAGCAGTGGCTCATTAGTCTCTCATTCGTTTTAAATACGGCAGAGGGCGCACGTGCGATTCGTGGATGGCCAACCAGCCTTGGTTCCAACGTACGTGCCCATAGAAGACAACACAAAATCGGAGAGAAATAGTGTCGCCTAATACCCAGGAACACGTTGGCCATATGTATTTTACTTGAAATTCCAGAAAGTGATCGCTTGAACAATTTTAGCCTTGTCATTTTTAATGACCTGATAAAGTATTGAAGGAACACTGAACGGGCTTTCTTTGTGTCGCCAGCCAAGTTCTGGAAATGCTAATAAATTTTGTTTTTAGCGCAAAACGTCCCATTTCAAAAGCTGGAGAACAACGTACATTGGAAGATTTTGCTATAATTTTACCGTAAAATACATCAAGGGCATAACATGGTATATTTTATTGCCATTTAAAATCCGCTTTCGATTTTGAAAATGTTATTCCCTTTATGGTAACAATTTTTTTAAGAACGTTTGGAACAAAAACGTACGGTGCTCCATTAGTGCCGTCCACTTATTTACATACTGCCACGATTTATCATGTCATGTTTATTTTACAGTGTACATGTATATAAGTAAGTGAATGCCACTCATGGAGCGCAATAGAAACGAGTTGGTGAATACTTTATCTAAAAACAACACTTGAGTGGAGTTGATTTGGTCTAAAGTGCATGGGTTGTCCTTTCAGGCATTGTGCGTGAAGTACATGTTTTATTCCAACCACTAACGTTCATGCACTGTAACCGTGTGTTCATTTCCTGTCATCGCTAGATGATAGTTTGTTGATGTGATATGATACCAATTCAACGTATCTATGTACATGTAGGCCTACACGCATGCCACGTATACTCTAGTGCCGCACCTTCATGGTTCAGTATTTGCCTAACCCCCAAATCGAAAATACATTCGCAGAAAATAGGGTAAGTGTATCGGTCTGCGTAATTAAATTCTTCATGAAATGAAAAGAAGGGTTTCAACACACTAGCGAGCAGAAAAATCATGCCTTCAACATCAGAATTTTGGGCTTTAGCGCCACTGTGATTCTTACAGAAACACAAACCAAATACATGTATTCATCGGCCTATTCAATAGTCCACAGACTACATGGAAGAGTCATGTCATGCGCACAGCCTACCACCCTGTTTCCATGTTCACCCTTGCTATGCATGGTCTCGTATAAAGAAAAGGAAAGACCACTTGAACTCGGCTCAGATGTTGTTTTTACAATAAAGACGAAGAATTATTTCAAACATTTCTGAATAAAAACTAGCTCCTGTAGATAGGAAAATAGCACCCGTTATTCATAATGGAAATAAAAATAGTATCTCCACAATTCTGGAGTGATGGATCGCCCAAAAAGTACGTTGGCACTGAAGTAATAATGGAATAAAAGCCGTCACCCTTCATTGACATGTAAGAACGGGTAAACTCCGTGTTGGCCTTCACACACAATGTTGTGTGCATGATCGATACATGTGTTTAGATTATAAGCCGAATAGCCCTCATATCTGTAGCCAAGGAAATTGTATCGTGCACAATGTGGACGCCATTTACCTCTACGGCACAGCCAGGGTGTTCTTATTAATTGTATTTTTTCTATGGTGTTTTGTTTATGGTATATGTTGTATCAATAAAAGATTTTCTAATGCTTTAGTTAATTACATGGCACATTTTTATATCTGTGAAAAATTTCAATAAGTGGAAAATGGATCAAATTTGAATTCTTTGTACAATAACTTCCGCCTTCACGATGTCACCGTTTTAAAAGTTATTGGTACCGTGATGAAGTTTTCATCTCTTATTTTGTGTGTGGCACATCACTCCTGACATTTTAGTCATCAAGTTAGTTGTACACAAATGTTCCAATTTTTTTTGGGGGGGGGGGTTGGGGGATGATATCCAAACAATGCACTTTCTAGTTCATGTCACAAACACGCGAACTTCTGAACATAAACGCTGCTACTATTCTTGAATTACAATCCAATATCATTGTACTTCCGTTACCTTGAAGGTTGAGGTCACGCAACTTTACTTTAAAACCAATAATGTGTTCTCAAGCATGTCATTAATTATTCATGCCAGTTTTTTTAATTGTATGAGAGCATTTGGTTCATTGATTAAATGACGCATAACTCAGATTTTTAGGACGTGGACTCGGGCTCGAACTCAAGACTCAGACTCAGCTGTGTCTGACTCGACTACAACATGAAAACGCAGTCATTATCATCATCCCCATCGTAACCACCCCCCTTCATTGTCATCCTCCAATCTCATTCTCATTCCTGCTCGACCTTAAAATCCTCATCCCTACCAAAATTCCACCCCAGGTTTCTCCCCATCAGCGATCAGCTTCTAATATTTAGAAATTAAATTAAGCTCCATTGGCGCCATAAAAAAACCTTCCTGCATTCCAGCATCAAAATCCAAGCTCCTCATCATCGGTGTGCAGGAACTCGCATCAATTTGCAGACTTTTACACTCGACTGCACAGAACCCCCTCCGTTAATGGATGCGTCAAGACATAGCCGCCCAGCCGACCATTTTCATTAGGCTAAAAACCCCGGCTGTCACCTGTACTTGGACTCGGTTGATTAGTGTGAGCGTGTCGACTGACCTCCGATGATTCCCAAAGTTCATCTCGTTGATTTGTGCCTCTCGGTCCAAAATTGCTTCCAGTCGGATTTGCTAATGGAAGACTTGGCTAGCTGCGGATGCATGCTCTGCAGTTAAAGGGCCGCGACACATTTTTCTCCTGCCCATTTTTGTTTATCAACAAAATAAGACACGCCCACGACTAAAACTAACAGGATATATAGAAGGACCCACCCGCTCTAGCCATTCACAAGATGCACGATTTTACACCTAGTACATGTTTCATTTTCTCGCACAAGGATTTCCAGTCAGTTGAGATCGTCCTACGAGTTGCTGGTTGAATTGACGCTACTAGTGAATGTTGATGCTTTCGATATTCATGTTGTCATGTCGGTACCCACGGGGGAGGGGGCGTATTCCGCCCCAAAGAGCAGGGCTATCATATATCCGATCCTTTCTAAACATGTTATGCCCATCACGAGTACATCAGCCATTCAATCTGACATTTTTACGGTCATATTACGGTCACTTGAAGTTTATGGCCCGCGTGCATGGAGCACGTCAATGGAAAAGTAAACATTTATTTGGATGTCTCGGAAAGATTGGCGTTTCGTGAGAATGTCACGTCCAGCATACACGTATTCACAGAATTCGCGTCAAAATGATCACAAAACGTCAAAACGCCCGAACGCTCAGAGCTGGAAAAAATACTTTGCTTTGATGTCGGAGAAAATGTCGGGGGTTGGTCCCCCAGCTCTTTTAATGTTTAAGATATATCATGGCATTCATGTAAATGTCAAGAAGGCTAGAAATCGTATCTTGAATCATGTTACATATGTAAACTGATCGGCTCGATCCGTCCACACCTTTAATGACAGTATGCGTTGTACATGTATGTATATGCATTCAAGAATTTAAAAGACTAGGGTATTAATCCTCATACGTTTTTAATCCTGTCCTTCATAGATTCGTTCCGCCGTTTCTTGTGTGCACACCGTACCAGAGGGCAACTCGTGCGTATCAGGCGATTGAGTGTTTCCGTCCAGCCTTTAATAACACCTACAGCAGTTTCACACAAGTCAACTTCACGGGCGGAATAAGTCACAGTCCATTTAGAGTCCTTGATGAACAACTCATGTAGCGATACTAGGCTGGCTTCCATCCATTGTGAGAGAGTAAACGCCCGGGCAAATCAACTAGCATAGGTAGGGCAAAGGTATTACCAACAACGAGTCCGTTGACAGACAGCACCCTCGACGTCCTTGTCGTTGAACGCGCAGGTCTGGGCTTGTTTGACGGGCCAGGGCCATTGCCCATTTCAGACGGGACGCTCCGGGGAGGAAGGATGGCGAAGACACGGTCTAACTTCGGTCTTGTTGGTTTGATAGTCGCTGGGACGGTCTTATTAGTACTAAGCATTATCGGGCTGGTGATTATAGTCAAATCGAAGGAATTTTATTGCAGCATTGAGAGGGTAAGTTCAAGGCTTATAACATTGGGTCTTATGAATAAAGATTAGCATTTGCTTTTGCTAACAATGTAAACATTTACTTGCGCTCGTACATGAGAAGCGAAGCAAATTTTTCTACAGAAAAGTATATTTGCGAATGAAACATATAAACTGTTCACTTTTTTGCTTTTTTCGTCAGTGTGCGAAATCAAGCAACCGTACCAATTTGAGGATCGTGACCTCGTCAGAACACCTGATGCTATTTCACAATTTCTGTAGAATATCAATTCTTTCGCGCAGTGGCATAGAAATTTCCTCCATAAAAAAACGGTTTTCTGAATAAAAAGACTTCTAAAGGTGGCCACTCACAAGAGCTATTCTGCTGAGCATGAAGTCATCTGTGGCTTTTTATTAAGCACGTATCTCACCTTAAGCTAAATCACCTTAAGCTAATTTCATCAAAATCGAAGAGCTATTTGCCTCATGGCTCCTTGAGGCAGAGAACGCAGCAGACAGACACAATGTGAGCTACGTGCTAAGCAAAGCGGCGACTGCTGTAACGTTTTGCTCAACAGATGCCTGTCGTGTAAGCAATGAGCTTTAACGTGTACACGATGCACCATTAGCTCCAGGTTGCTTTCTGAGCTATACCCACAGACCATGCCGACAGTAGAGCTGAACAGTCAGCCCCAAACATTAAGCAATCGCCACCATTTGTACTTTAACTTTTCTGCACAGTGAAAGAAGATAATATTATTCGAATTCAAACATTAGCTCAAGATTCTAAACGTGTAGTCGTAAATATTTCTGTTAATTTGGCTTTCTGTCTGAGCAATGGCATTTGCTAGCGTAGTTTGTGTACATACACATACGACTTTATTGCAAAGTGCCATTTTGATTTCAAAAAATGCATTTACTACAAATAGTGACAGATGTTACATAGACTTTTCGGGTTACTAACGTCCATGAAATGCCTTTAATTATCATAGTCCAATACGGAAACTGTAATTAACTCTTTAATTATTTGTAACCTGGTTATAAAAGGCACAATGAGTTTTGTCAGAATCGGTACCAGATGAAATGAGGTTCATTCCTAACCTTATCAATTTTTGATGTAAACGTCACATTCTCTACCATTTAAATGTTACAGAGGATCCTGTCTGGTATAAAAAATATGCAAATACGATAACATTTGCACAAATAAAGCCATCCAGTGTATCATGCCACCCCCGGGATATGTACCCCAGACAGGACAAAATATATAGTTTGAGCCAATGTTCCATACGATGAAAACGTTTGAAAACATTTTGGGTAATTATTTATTGTCAAGGGTAGGCAATCCGTAAACAATCCCTTGTTTCATACTGAGCTCTTTGACCTGATGACTTGTCAAGACTCCTTAAATTAATGACAGCAGAGCTTGTCTTGACACTGTAGTCAAGGCTGAGACGCTTAAGGCCACAAGATCAAGCACATGGGACTGGTGTTTCCTCCAGTAGTTCCGGTATTGTCGTTGGGTTAACTCGTCATGCATCAATCTTCAGCCTCAATTAAACCAATCCTTCATTTGTGGCTTTGCCTTTCAATCTCACTCGCTGTTTTCTGATAAAACAATTACCATAGCAATGTGCAGCTGACACAGCCAAACATGCATTGTAATTAATGAAATTTTGTTGATCGTACATACATTGACTAAATTCAAGCACTTATGCAATGAGAACTGTACGTACAGAAAGCATCGAAAACCTGAAGTTTATTTTACCAGTAACATTTTGATGGATTTTCCCAGGCTGTGGAAATTAACACCGCTATTCTGCATTCCGAACAATTACTGCAAAGTTTACTTGATATAATCTCAAGTGTACGGAAAGAATATACCGGAAAGGAGTCCTTCTAAATACAAAATTTGCTCTCACAAATTTCCTCGGGCATTTCAGCTTTGTTCGCAGGAGGGTAAAAAAAACCTCGTCTGCTATTTACTTTATGTTCGTGTGAACTAGTCTGTTCGTTCACGAACTCTGGTTTCAAACAGCAACATTGTTCGCGGGTTAGTTGACACCGATAACCTTGTACAGAAGCAGACTGTACAGGTGTTGATAGAAAATTTACCGTGGGGTGTAAAAATAGCTACGCTGTGTGCCAACTAGGGTTCAGCTTGCACGATTAAAGAAGTAATCTCATCGGCACTTGGCTAAACGTTCATACGTGCATGTCCAGGAAGAGATTCCATCTTTTTATCATTTTCAGACATGACGTCATACTTAGACAACTCATAAATGTAATTTTGGCGTGGCATGCGCATACCAGTCATGGAAATGGATGCCTTCATTTCTGAGGGGCATAGTATACACGTTATAATGAAACATTTTAACTCACTGCAATATTTGAAAACTCTGTAATTTGGGAAATTGGAAAATACCCAGGACAAACGAAATACTTTTATTATTTTCAAATTTGGTTTGTCCACATACCTATTTATTTAGTATGGAGTCGTCTTCGATGCCGGTTCTTCGCACACATCAATGGCTGTGTATCAATGGCTAGACGAAACCACTAATGGAACAGGTGTGGTGTCACAACTGGCTTACGTAAGGGATTGCACGGAAGAAGGTATGTTTGTCGTTGTGAAGGTGTTGACTACATTAACACGGCATGTTATCATAGCGACGATGCATGTGTGAACCTAAAAAAATTTACAGCAAATGGTTCGATGAACCCACGATGCATGGATGCGATAAATAGATGCACGACCATTTCTATGTTTCATAATGGCTCTCATATGTACTTAGCCGTACGTTTTTATGGGACATTTGTAATTGACGTCATAAACGATTTGGTATTCGTCGCCGTATTGAAGGTCCCAATAGTCACATCCTACTCAAAATCGATCTCATGGGTATACAATCTTGCTCCACCATGTCAGTTCCCATCGGTCCAAGGGAACGAAGTTGCACTCTACTCGGTGTGACTAATGCCGGAAGTGTATGCTAACGTTATTTTCTTTGAGGAGTTCAAATTGTCGCTCCCTTGCAATTTCGAAAAAATAGCTACGATTCAAGGCTGGAATCTAGTTACATAAGTCTAATCCTATTGGCGGTGAATGGTCATGAGCGAGCACAGTGGAATTCGAGGCCCTCAAACAAGTAGTTTTGTAACCATAATGCAAAAGATTGGATGACTGTGTATGAAAACGTGATAAATTTGGGGTGTATAAATAGCAAAAGCGTTTGTAAAGATATTTGCCTCTTGTTCGTTAAAGGCATAGGTTTTTACGCTGATAACCCGGAGGAGATTGTGCCTGGCCTGGAGAAGTGTCTTGATAGCGCTGAGTTTGTCCTTCCGGAGTTCGGCCATTGGGACACGCCTGTCTATTTGGCAGCAACAGCAGGCATGAGACTATTGACGTAAGGAGTGGTATCTATGGTGATGAGGAGGTTGGGTGGGCATTGGTTAGGTAGGTAGGTGGTCAATGGGGCATAGGGGGGAGATGATTGACATGAGGATGAGGTTTGGTTGAAGTAAGACAATGACATGAAGTAAGACAATGGCACACGACACCCGTGAGACAATGATAAGAAAAGAGTTACTGACAGACGTTTATCAAAAAGAAGAACGTGTTCATGATATTTCCATTCCATGTACCACTTTATATTCACCTTTGTAGAAACACAAGACCTTTTTGAGTGTACATAAATCAACGGGACACCTACGTGCATACGCTGAAGAAAACATACTGACAACCTAGGCTAGGATATTGTCTCTCTTTTGCTAAATCTTGCCAAATCAATACACAAATCGTGAATCGTTGAGTGCAGCTAGATGTTTATTGGAAATCAATTATCGAACTTCCAGTCGGAGGAAAATCTGACGTTCTTTATTATATGCATTCATTAAATTGAGCATGCTGCAGTTTCCAAGGCGTTTTCGACATCTTTGATATTTAATGATTATCATTAGCCTGTTTCCAGTTTCATTATCTTCGCTTGTCTTCAGTGAGACTAACCCAGATGGCAGTGATGCTATTATGAAGACTGTTCGAAGCACTCTCGCCAGCTCGCCGTTCGCCTTCGAGGATCAGGCGAGACAAGCGGCCATACTGTCCGGAGAAACCGAGGCCACATTGGGCTGGATATCATCCAACTATCTTGCAGGAAATCTGGGCGTGGTAAATAATTTGTTTTGGGTCTGGGACAATCCGTGGATCAAATTAAAGCCCTAAATGTCTATACCAATGTACGTATGTGACTTCTTTTTTTAAAGTGCAGAGCATGATGCGAAATTCTTAATCTTATAATTTGCAGGGAGAAGAAAACGTGAAAAGGTAACTTGAGACAGAGTTAAACTGAAACAGTTGGCTCTTTCACTTTCACCTGAGAACTTTTTCTGTTGATTTCATGTGCAATACCTTATTTTTATTGCAAATTCAATCAAGTGACTGCCGAGTTTAAGGCCATTACTTTCTGTCAAGCCTGTTTTATTTTATCAAAGGAACCGGCTACAGGTGACTCCATCAATGATCTGACAGGAAGCAAAACAATTCCAACCAAGCCGACCGTCGGTGCTCTGGACCTTGGCGGGGCGTCCACGCAGATTACATTCATACCGGAGGATCCCCGTAAGATACCCGTCGAAAACCGCGCCAATCTCCGCTTATACGGAAAGGACTACGTTGTTTACACACACAGTTTCTCATGCTATGGTGCCAATGAAGCACGCAGACGCGTTCAGGCTTCTCTTGTAAAAGTAAGTGTCATGACTGTCATACAAGTCAACAAACAACATCAAAATAAAATAATCACTCCTCAGGACGACCAGAACACACTGGTCGAAACATCGAGTTCATACTCAACTGCTCTTATCAGAACCATGTACCTTGTCCAAAAGACATCTATCCACATGGTGTTACCGAAAGCCCTCTCTTTAGTCTATCTCCACCATGCAAAGCTTCAAGTCATATCTATCAAACAAAATAACTAGGACAAAGAACCACATGTTTTCATTAAATGAAATAAATGCCTTAAATATTGCATATCGTAGGGCTCTGGATTCGCTGATGTCACCAGTAATCCATGTGCACCTTTGGGATACAACTACACCTTAACAAGCGCAAACCTGTGGAAGGCACCATGCAGCGCAAGACCGAATGTGCCGGGAGTTTCAGATGAACTTATGGATAAAACAGAATACCAGTTAACAGGTACAGGTGACCCCGAGGAATGCTATAGGATTATCAAGACATTGTTTGACTTTGACGCCGAATGTGCCGTACCGCCTTGCACTTTCGACGGAGTTCACTTGCCTCCTCCATTCGGGGCCTACAAGGCGTTCACTGGCTACGCCTACACCTGGAGTGGCATTGGATTGGAACCATCACCTACGATAGAAGAGTATATTGAGAAAGCAGAGGAATTTTGTAGACTAACATACAGTGAGGTAGGCACAAAATTGTAAAACCTTGGTAACACCTCCATGTCCACAGCTGAAACTTAAGATTGAGAACAGAATTTTGACAAGTGAACTGTTTTTGATTTCACAGAATTTTACATGATACTAATTGTTAAAAAATACGAAAAATAGAATGATGAAAAGTACAATTCTAAGCAAAATCTTTTCTGAGGCCAACCTTTGACCTCAAATTATCGTAAACTTATTCTGTTTTTGATTTGCCAGCTTGTACTTCTGGGAAAGATTGACAAATACAACCTAAGATACTGCTTTCAAAGTATGTACGTCCGAGCGCTTCTTTTAGACGCGTTTAAGTTCAACCAAGAAAATTGGAACATAGAATTTACACTCGAGGTAAGTTAGAGATAATTACATCGGTCGAGCTTTGTTTCAGGGGTACTTTTTGTGGGAATGAAACTAAAATGGATGAAGTACAGTGTACTCGTGCTGGTTTCATTTATCCGCGATCTTTAATATTTTTCAAATCTAGGTGAATGGTGTCACACTAGGCTGGGATCTGGGTTACATGGTAGACGCCACAAACCGCATCCCCGAAGAGGCTGCATGCGTTGGTCTGACTCCCTCCATCTTCGCTGGGCTGGTCGTCATCTTCATCGTGATCTGTATTCTGGGCATTGTTATTCTTGGTCTGAGTATCACGAATTATACCAAGAAATCCGGGTCCTCAAAGGAGCAATCTTACCAGCCGGCTCCTCAGAATGTTGACGCCTGACTTGACCAAGCTTCAGTTTCGCCTGCAATATTCTTTAGTTATTTCAACATGCATAATAATTATTACCTTTACTTGAGGTTAATTTTGCCAAGCACTTTGTCTCTGGTCTCGAAACTTTGTAATGTACACAAAAGCCGTATGAAATTGACCTGTGGTTTAATCCTAAAATGAAGACATTCGATCAAAACATGACTGATGGCAGGCAAGGACCAATGATGTATCTTGTGTGTGCTTGTGGGGGATGTCCGGACCAGAATTTACCCTCATGATGAGTTCATGATGCTCAAGCCCTTCCCTAAGGTTGCGTCACGGGAGACTGGGATATAGATCTACATCAGAACTAGTATTTTAAGAGTAATCTCCCTTTTCAGAGAGTACTTTTTAATGAAGAACTAGGGAACAAGCCCCCAAGCTATCTTCCCCTTTGGTTGCGCCAATCATGGTGAGGATTTCCCAGCTTTAGAGATTTCATTGGTCGATACGTAGGCATGACAACCCTTCTTTGTCTGATTGGCCAATAGACCTTTATCATGATGCTCCCATTTTTGTCTTGCCTCTGTACACCAAATAACAAAGCTAGTACAACTTTACATATTGATAAAAGGAAACAGACTATTTTTCTTTCGGCCTGAGTTTGGTTACAAACTTTACCGCTTCCCATATATCACGTATCTTTTCATTTCATAATCAAATCGAACGTTCTTTCATGTTGATTTTTATTTCAACATAGGCCTACTGGTGTTAGATAAAGTTCTCAAAATGGATGGCTTTTTAGCTACAGTTACTGTTAACTTCAATTTTATGAATGGAAATAAAAACTGAATTTTTTTTATCTCTATTTTCTCCTGAAAGCTATAAGGTACTAAAAGCGTTTCTCCGATCTCAGAAACCTTCATTTTAACAAATTCAAATTATAATTGTTAACAAGAGCATAATTGTACATTGAAATATTCTATTTCAGATTTTAAGAAAATCATGTAAATCGTACCTTTGGTCGTTGTTGACACAAAAAACTTGAAATATGTGAGTATGTTAATAAAAATTAATAATGATTAACCATTAGTTAAACTTTTTGTAGCATATCCAAAATAAAATAGTTTGATAAAACGAATCTTAATGATGCAATAGTCAGTCTGTATTTAGGTTCCACTCCACGAAATACCCATCTTTTTAATTTTCGAATGAAAGGCAAGAATGCCTGCCCGAAATTCCAAAATCGTTTGCCAATGAATTTCAGTTCAAAGCATGGCCGTGACACTGGTAGTTCTCGAAGTGGCAGATGTTCCTGCAAATCGGTATTTTTCGTCTGTATGTCATCGGAAATAGTTCCCAGAGCAGCAGCCTTTTTCTTAGGGTAGTTCGCCAAATTTCCATTGTCATGTTGGTATAAAGTAAACTTTGTGATTCAAGTCCACGTTAGATGGAATGGAAAATCTCAAGGCGAGCCTTCCATTGAAATACAAAAAAATATTCTGTTGAATTCACTTTAACTTACCCAGCAAGACGCCCAGGTGCCTGTATTTTGTCATCCAATCATAAAAGCTGGCTATAAATCATTTACGTTGGGAATCGCCGAAGCGGGGCATCCAACTTGATCTTTGCTACGGGGTGCATTCGTTTGTGGGTCATTGTACCACCAACGCCTAGCGGAGAAGCAGTGGTTGCTGGCTGGCTGTCTGGGTGTAGGCCTATGTGTCGTTAAAGATGAAAACTCCAAAGAAAAGTATCGGTAACTGGGAGTGGATGATACTGGGCGTGGTCTTGTTGATCTTAAGTATCATAGGCGTGGTGGTTGTGGCAAAGTCGAAGGAATACTACTGTAGTCCAGTGGAGGTAGGTTGAGTGTTATTTTTGTACAGTGTGAGTGAAAACTGACCCCAGCTATCCGTATGGGCGTCGCTTTTTCATTTTACAAGTATTCCTTCACTGAACATTTGCTACATGCTTTCAGCTAACAGATTGTGCGATTTTTAGGTAGTTACCAACAGATTTATTCAATTCTCCTTATTAGTACATTATAAAGAAAAAGGGAAAGTATACTTGGAAAGCAACGTATCACCTCTGTTTTTCTAGTTTGAAATAGTCTTCGATGCAGGATCGTCACACACATCAATGGCCGTCTATCAGTGGCTGGCAGATACCACAAAAGGGACGGGGGTGGTCGGTCAGCTTGCATTTGCAAGAGAATGTGGTGATGCTGGTATGTTTCCCCACTGGGATTTTATTGTGCCAGTTTCAGAAATGTTACTATAACAGAACATTCTTGTGATTTGTTCTTTTGTCATTATTCAATAACGTTAAAATAGTAAATTCTGGAAGATTTGTGTTGATGGAATGTTTCCTAATTAACAGGTTTATCAAGCTATGCTAATGACCCTGAAGGAGTTGTTCCAGGTCTTCAGGATTGCCTGGACCTCGCCGAGCTAGTCCTCCCGGAGTACACTCGTAAAGATGTACCACTATTTCTTGCAGCGACAGCTGGCATGAGACTTCTGAAGTGAGTGAGGGTTGGGTGTGGTTTTTGAAATGCCAGTTGCCCTGATTTATGCTGTGGTACGGTGGTCATGAAAGGACCCCAATTTTATTTTTTGGGGGGTGGTGGTTTCCTTTGGGTTGGGTTGGGTTTGGGTTGGTTTGGTTTGGTTTGGGTTGGTTTGGTTTGGTTTGGTTTGGTTTGGTTACTTGTACCAGCCTGTTGAGTTAATTTTAACATTTCGAATCTTCTGATGAATAGTGCAACTGATCCAGGCAAAAGTGATGCTGTGTTTGAGGTGGTTAGGCGAACATTTGCAGACACACCCTTTTACTTTGAGAACGAGAAGAGCCAGGTGAGGATACTGAGCGGTAACAAGGAGGGTACGTCCTCTTGGATATCTGCCAACTATCTTGGGGAAAACTTGGGGGTGGTAAGTGACCTTAGAAATTTGAGTAAATTCGCATGTTAGGCCTACCTAAAATGATGTTCTGTTTATCTAGTATTCTTGAGTTTCGTTTTGAAATAGTTCTGGAGCAGTTAGATTATTATGTCTAAAAAGTCCTTTGTGCAGTCCCGTTTTTATCCTTTTCCATTGTGACAGTTTTCAACGAACCTGTTTGGCATTCCGATAGCGCATGTCCAATATGAAATGCGTCATGGGTCATTTGGACGCAACTTAACTGTGACGTTTGCCCTGTCACCACACCTCTACGTGAACTCGGACGCGTGCTTTGTTCCCGAATAACCTTGCTCCTTTGAAATACCCAACTGGCTCATTCTACTTAACTTGACACTCTAATATAGGAGCCAGTAACCGGCGGCATTGTCGACGTTCTAACACCGCGCGAGCCAATCCCAACCCGACCGACCCTCGGTGCACTGGACCTGGGCGGGGCATCCACGCAGATCACCTTCATACCGGAGGATCCGAGCCAAATCCCCGCAGAGTACCGCTCTAAACTCCGGCTGTACGGCACGGACTACGAGCTGTACACGCACAGCTTCTTGTGCTACGGCGCCGATGAGGGCACGAGGCGCCTTGAGGCGAACCTGGTCAAGGTGAAGGGTTTAAGGTGCAAGTACATGTAGCACTTGCCATAGCCCCATGGTTTCGAAGAGTACACGCGAAGTGGTGGGGTTAAGGTATAATTGTGGGAACCTTGTTGGCTTAAGTTAAGGTGAAGTGGCACTGGTTTTGAAGTGTATATCAAGCGAAGTCACGGCTTAAAGTGGCCTCTCAAATTTAGGCTGCATTGACACAAAGAAGGTAATTAAATATGGACCTGTTGTTCTTTTAAATTTTCATTGTGCGTCATTGTTAAAACTTCGGATTTTAAAACACAGGAATCTGGCTTTGCGGAGGTGACACTCAACCCCTGTTCACCTGTGGGGTATTCCTACGTAGTCACTGGTGAATACTTATGGAAGGCGCCCTGCAGCAAGGGACCAAAGGCCATGGAAGGCTGGGGTTCAGAGGTTACACCTGCACCTGGGGTCACAGAGGACGTAATGGCCAGCATAGAATACCGACTGAATGGTACAGGCAACCCAGATGAGTGCTACAGAGTCACTAAATCCTTGTTTGATTTTAACGCCACCTGTGCCGTGGCACCGTGCTCCTTCAATGGTGTGTATACACCTTTACCACGGGGATCCTTCAAGGTACGTCTAAGACCTACATCAAAGTCACATTTGCGATGCTTTTCACACTCTAAATGTACTTTTCTCAAAGTCCGGAGTTTTAAACATGCTGGCCTTTTTTCAAAGACAATACACTTTTTTATCCTGAAATTTATGCTAGGGTATAAGCAACTACGCCTATACCACGGCCGGGATAGGTTTGACGACCACGCCCACTATTGATGAGTTTATTTCTGCAGCCGACGACTACTGTAGGAAGACGTATGAAGAGGTGAGAAGTCCCTGACAGACCATACCAATTCTGGAAATTGTAACTATAGGCCTTATATTTTAGATTCGCGTAAAGCTAAGTAGTTTAATTTGTTTTTAACCTTTCGATTGGTGATGTTCTTTCTTTTCTTTTCTATTTCAAATTTTGGGTCATTCCGGCAGTAAATTTAGCCCCTATTCTAGTTTTGCTAAAATGAAATTGAATAGACGTATAAAATGTCTGTACTTCGCTTTGATTTGCCAACAGTTGAAGGTTCTACCCGAAAAGATGAAGTACAAGATATTGTACTGTTTCCGTTCCATGTTCATTCGAGCCCTTCTCTTCGACGCCTACAAATTTGACGAGAAGACCTGGGACATTGAATTTACTTCTGAGGTAGGCCATTAATCGGACAAATAATTGACCCTGTCATTGTAAACATAATTATTACAAATTAAAGACTAGTTGAGCAAGTTTTCGCCAAAAAGATCACATTCAAACTTTAAAGTTACCCAAATCAAGTCAATTTGAGGCTACTTCTCTTCTTATTTTATCCGTAGGTGAACGGCATCGACTTTGGTTGGGCTCTGGGCTTTGCTATAAACGCCACTGGCTGGATCCCAGAGGAGCCGGCATGTGTTGGTCTGGCTCCTGCTACCTTCATCGGTTTCGTCGTTATCTTCACCATTGTGATGATGATCGGGTTTGCCCTCTTTGCTCATGGAGTCCGCCGTGGAATTTTCGGGAAGCGATCACCAAGATGCTCAGTGGATAAATCATACCACCCTCAACCTCAAAGTGCTTGAGAAAGAGCGTTTGGATGGGAAGGTTGGCCTGGTGAAAGTTTAGATGAAATTATCCGTTTTTTAATTCTTTCTTGGTATTTCTTTCTTTATCAGTATTAGTTTTAGTACTTCTCTTGACACTATCTGTAGAATATAACTTGTATTGATACTACGCATGGTAAAAATACGCAGAAATTTTACACGCTTTCTTATGATAGTTTACAATACTAAAACACAATAATGTTTAGGAATGCGCGTGCGCAATAAATTCTGACCAACGGTCTCTCTAGGTTGCAAAGGTGATGGTCTACACCATCTATTACTCAGGTGGTGTTGGTCGAACCATAGTTGAATGGGCCTACGTTCGTCGTTCTTGCTGACTTCTTACCGGAAAGACCAATATGTCAGGTGTTTGTAATTTTAGCGTTGGGATAACTGTAAAATGTGGAATTATTGACAAAAGGAAGTGCTTATTCTTGGTTTATTTTCTTTAAAAGAAAAACTGCGAAAAGTAACGTGGCTCATTTGCCTTATGGGATTTACACTAAAATATACGGTGGTTGTGGAAGAATATTCAAAACCATAGAATTCAGTAGCAAATAGCATTTATATCTTGGGCGTCTATATATTGGGATTTACAATAAAATAGGGTGGTGGTCGAAGAATATTGAAAAGCATACAGTATTCATTAGTAGAGGAAAGCCATTTCAATTCTTGGATTGAAGACATGGAGGAGGGATTATCTTCAAAAATCTCATGGCGGTGTGGGCGAAAAATTCATATTGGGGTCAATGTGAGGTGTCCGTGAACATTTCCATCAGTGATATTTTTCATAGGCAGTTCAAGGCGTCTGAAATTTGTCGTCATGTCCGGGGCTGTAGTGGCGTAGCTAGAATTATACTGGGGGAGGCATGGGGGTGCACCAGCCTTCAGTGGTGTGCTTTGGGGGGGGGAACTTTTGTTCATTATCTGACATTCAGCCCCGTTGCCAGACCCCAAAATGCCTCTGAAACTATTTTTCAGAGAGGGGGGAACATTGTGTGGACCCTACCCTACATTATGTGGACTTTTTTTGTGCAGAGGTCCACACTAAGTGGCACGCCTGCACATCCCTGCCCGGGCACACATGCATGTACACTCGGCGGCTTGTGGTACGAAATAGACGGTGTGTTAGTAGTGATTGTAGACCTTTTAATTTTAAAGAATGAAAATTTGTTTTGTAGTAAAAATTAAAAACTTGCATTACGATAGGAATGTGTGGAAATGCATGTACCAATAAATGATGCAGCACTAAAAAGCACTAAAGCCAACAGTTTACGATATAAACTTCCTCGGTACTCTGTGTCGATTTGTTGGAAATTCAGCATGCCACTTCCACGTGCACACAGTGGACGTAAAGAGCGCCATCAGCGTGGAAACAAGCTCAAAAGCCTAGGCCAAGTACCCAGACGTCATATAGTGTCTGTTGCATCATATAAAGTAGCGTCAGACTACTCCCTCGCATTAATTTCAGTGTCACCGGCGATGAGTTACTGCTATGAATCATATGATTTTCCCTTTTTGGTCTATGACATCATTGTGTGTGGCACTGGTAGCAGATGAGGTGTACCAATTTCATTTTCCTGTTTACTGTTAAAGCTCGCCTCTTCTTGATTCACGTGGTCAACAAGGTAAGCGAATGTAGGCCCTAGCCCTGACCGTACTACGTGAGTCGTAATGAAATGAAGACAACGTCCGACCTAAGCTAACCCGTAACCAGGTAACTGCTTCTAAAATTTCAGACTTAGGCCAAGCACAGTAAAATGGCACAGTTTTAATAGCCCTATGTTATGCCTCAACTGTAGCATCAGTCCCAACTACTACTAACTAGGGCCCAATTTCACGGCCCGGTGCTGTTTACCGCAAGCGAAAAATCGGCACTTACCGTAACAGAAAATTCTGCGCTTATGGCGAACGTATTTCACGGGTTAGCGAGGAATATTGGCTTGTGGGCACGTACATCCCGTAACTATGGATTCTGTGTTTAAAGGGTTAGCGCAGAAGTGTTCTGCTTGCATGGTCAGCGCAGAATGGAGATCGTAAGTGCAGAATTCTACAGTAAGCAGCGCTATGAAATTTGGGTCTAGGTCTAGTATGGGGCAGCGTGGACATCCGGGAGTTTCACAAAAATACAGGTAGCAACCACACCGCGCCGATGAAAACAACTGCAACAAGCGTGAGCGTACGTACAGATCAAAGAAACAATTGTATAACCCAATCCTCGGACTGGCTGATGCGTGCGTACCTGGCCAAGGTCGCTGTTTTCAACCTGTCCTTTTGGAAGAATCCCGGATGTCCACACTGCCCCATATACATGTAGGGCCTAGACCTAGTTGGGAACATCCCAACTTGTGAATGTAGTTGGGCCGGCCCAACTAAAGCACAGAGGTCCAGTGTGTGTGTGCCCATGGTGTGTCCAACATGTGCCAAAGTCATATTGTTTATGAATGATATGTCATAGTAATATTATTTTAGATGAATTGTGTCAAACATGAGGTGCATAAACTTGGATAAGGTTGAGAAATTTTGTATGAAATTGGTCAACAATAGTTGGGCCAGCCCAACTGCAGCACTACAGTTGGGAATGCCACAACTCTAGTTGGGACAGATATATTACTAGCAGTGAGTGGCCTACAAGTAGGCCCACTACTATTGTTTTACCTTGTAATACAACTTGTCATAGGCCGAGGCCTCTATTGATACAGTCATCATGACTGACGACATGACATATAATCATGACACTGTCAAATGATACACGTAATGTTAGGCCAAATGCTCAGATGCTGTGCGTAACATAAGGCCTAGTTCAACATCTGTCTGAATCAGTATTAATCCAATAGTCACTCTTGGCTGAGTGTCGCTTCAATAGGAGCTGATCAGCGATTATTTATCTCGATCATGAGACAGTCTTCAATCACAGCATAGTCCAGCGTACTATACGTGTACGGTATTTTTCTACCTCCAGTGGGGGGTTACCCCCAAAACTGTGGGTTCGTCATCCACTGCGGGCTCCCAGGGAGAGTGCAGTGGATGATCCACAGTTCTGCAGGTAAGCTGGGAGTATCAGGTATGTACATGGAGGGCTATTACAGATGTACCTCTACCTTAGTGACTTTGGAAAATTCTGTGGAAGGCAAGTAATGAAGCTTATCACCTAGTAATAGCAATATGTATTGAATCTTTCAAATATGTCAAAACTGCCAGTGAGTGACATCATATTATAAATGGTTGAGCACATGGTATTGTAATCATGTTAATGTGCTGCACCTAATTTCTACATTTAACCACCGGATTTTTCATGGGGGGGGGATTCCTGGCTCTTAAGAATATTTCCAAGGGGAATAAAATCCTGAATTGAATATTGTTTAAATCCCATCTTGTGAATGCAAATCATTGAACTTTGGCAGACTAACTTTAGTATAATGGCAGCCAATCACCAGTTAGGTTGGATGACTATATAGATTTTGCCCCAAAACAGCCAAAAAGTTTCTCATCTCTATATGAATTATTATCTAGTATATCAGTGTGTTAACAAAAAGATTAAATTGAAATGTAGAAGATGTTATCAGTGATGAGAAATGAACTTTGTATTACTTTGTTCAAGACTATTGTTAGGATTCTTATTCTAATCATTGGACTTTAGACCTTGCTTGGTGTGTTGTAGGGCATGACACTTGTCATGAACCCAGATTTTTTTTAGAGGGAAAAATGGTATTATACTCACTCAAAACCAACTATCCTAAATTTGCTCTAACTCAATAAAATTGCAGTACATGTTTGAGTGATTAATGCCAAGGATCGTGTTTAATTTTGTTGGAGTGGAACAGTTTATATTGTTACCAAATTTTTAAGGGCTGGAAAATATTAGATTTTAATGAAATAAACATTCCACGCAAGAATGGACAAACTTAGAAATAATTATCCCAGAAATACAGGATCACTTATTCATTATGTATTACTTACATTCACATGTTGACTTTTCATATTCCTAAACAGTTCAGTTCTGACATATCAAATTCTGTACCAGTTTCAACACTACATTTTCAAATCCCCTCTCCTCTGTTTTCATGTTCAACCTAGTGACTAATGCCTCCTAATGAATATTAACGTGGCACGTAAGGAGAAGCCTCAGGAGCTGCACCTCATCTGTGAGTCTGGATCCAGTCTGGCTTCCCCTACCCCAGACTCAGCCCTCCGCTCACCCACTGCCACCCAGCGGGCATCCCCACCAGAAGCCAGCCCAGTAGGCACCCCTTCTGCCCTCCCTGATGTTATCTTTGCCCCGAAGCTGGAGACTACCCATCTCACCTCTGCCCAGGAACGCCAGCCCCTCCTGAGGCATTCCACCAGGGGCACCATCAAGAGCCTGGACGTGGATGATTTTAACATCTTCAACGACGATGTGGAATTCACAGACTTTGTTAAGAAGGCTGAAGATGCCATATTCCAGGGGATCTACCCAGAGAGAATATCCCAAGGATCTAGTGGAAGTTATTTTGTTAAAAACATGGATAGGGTGAGCTGCAGTATGTTATAGATGCTTCAACTGACATGGTCTTAATATCTGAAAGTTAATACCCTATGGTAGACCCAGAGGCTTTCTTTTTGGTGTGTTAGACACAAGTAACAATTACATGTACATGTACCTTTGGCCAGAGCTTTTTTTATATTGCCATAGGTGAATGGGATTTGAAAACCAAATTGTTACACATTAGGGACATTTTCCCTTTGTAGTGATATGTTGAAATCAAATGCATGCAAATTTCTACTTTTCATCCCAAATTGTAATTCCAAACCCTTGTTATTCTGCACTTTTTATCTTCTTCCAAAATACCTGTCTACGTTAACCTGCAAATGCCGAGGAAAATAACAATTTAAAATAAATCTGAGTAATTCAATTGTTAACACAATTCTTAAATTAATTTGAAAGTAGCTTTATTGTTTAATGAAAATTTTAATTCAAAATATTGAATTATTTAATTTCCAAAACACAGATTTTGTTTTGTTTTGTGTTCCAGAAAATTATTTCTGTATTCAAACCCAAGAGTGAAGAGCCCTATGGTCACCTGAATCCAAAATGGATCAAATGGTTTCAGAGAACTTGTTTTCCTTGTTGCTTTGGACGAAGCTGTCTGCTTCCCAACCAAGGTTACCTGTCTGAGGCAGGGGCATATCTGGTTGATAAGAAACTAGGCCTTAACATCGTGCCAAAGACCAGGGTGAGTCCAGCTATAGAATTTCCTTTGAACCTTTTTTTTTAAATTATCTTTCTCTCTTACGGGGGATTGCATGCAAGACCCACATAATGAGTTGAACTATGATACATGTGTAACCAGCTACAAACTGACCTAGTTAATCACCACAACCCCTTAAGGAGAGATCAGATCCAACTTTCTTTTCAAAAATGTCACAGAAAAGTATGAGCAAGAAAGAATTGTCATACTGATTGAGAATTCTGTCCTTTGATGTGATCGAGCAAACTGAGTCGTTCATCAAATTTTCATTCAACGAAACATCTCAGAATGATTGTCCCAAATCAAATCTTTCATACTTCAACTTACTACGTTCATCCTAAGGTTTTCATGGTTGAGATTTGGATAGACATGAAGTCGACATTGTGTACCTATTGAAGGAATTCAATTCAGTCAATTGGTCTGGGCTGACAAATGACTCATTGTGCTTGATCGCATCTTTCAAATTTATACTAAATCTTACTTATGGTATCACTAGTACAATGCACTGACAAGGACAACCTTTTTTACGGCGTGACCTCACACAATGGATACAGTTGATAGAACTAAATGATTCTGCTGGTAGGTCCAGTTTTCCCTCAGTTTTGTGTAAACACTGAAAGCTAACTCCATACCATGGGAATATGTATACAGGTTGGCAACCACCGAGTTTTCTGTCCCATGAAATCATGTACATTTATGTTGTTACAAGTATGTTTAGAAATAATGTCAGACAAGGAAATATCAGAAATTCTGGTTAATCAAAGACAGCTTGTTATGTTAACGCACAACCAGACATAGTGTAGACAGTAGTAGTTTGATAATCTCTCGACAATATCTGTGCTGCACTGTTGCCAGACTTTTTGGATGCCTATTAAACTTCATATATTTATCTGGGATAATATCATGGCAAGACAGTTGCCATGGTCACATAAGTAGATGAAGGGAAGTGTTGCTTTAGCAACTAATTTCACTCAGGTTTTACCTAGTCATTAGGTTGATTTTAGTAACTCAAGTTCAATTTACGCCGAATTCCAAGTAGTTGAAAATAGCTCATAGAATACCACTCTAATTAGGATATGCACTTTGTATGTTTGAGAACTGGACAAACTACACAAGCTACTGTGATAGTTTAGTTGGTAACCTTTTGTTTGCCATCTGAGATCAGAGTCTGCATTAGCCACGTCTAATATTGTCAGATTTTTTAAAACTCAAAAACCACATGTAAGAATTTAATTGATAAATTTTGTATTTGTTGGACTAGGTGGTGAAACTTGCCAGCGAAACTTTCAATTATTCGCCCATCGATAGAGCAAAGGCAAGGACAAAGAGATTTACATTAGAGAAGTTTGAATCTCTGGGAAGAAGGTTTCATCGAATTGGTTTGCCCCCAAAGGTACATGTATACTGGCACTTTTTGTTTATTTGTTTCATATATATCACTCCCAAAATGTATCACATCGACACCAACAATAATGCTTCACTCATAGTTCCATGCAGATGCATGTACCATCCTTGGTATTTATACGCATAAAATTGAACAAACTTGTCCTCTCCTACAATGTTTTTTATCCTACCAGCATTTTCGCTTCATTCGTGCAGCTGAAATACTCTGTGAAGTATGAAGTCAGGCGGAACCATAAATTCTGCAAAGGGTACAGGACGTCTGCTGCAACTGCTGAAAACAAACCTCTTAATTGAAAACACTTTTGAACAGGTGTTTAGCTTGCTGTACACTGTCCTCCTAATGAAATTCCACTGGACACTTGCAAGGAATGACAAACATTGAAGACTATTTTGCATGGACCTTAATTGCCTTGAGTTACATACAGATAGACAATCCCTTTGATTTACTCTTTGAAGTAAACTTAAGGGGATTTCCTGTTGTCAGTTTTCTCCTGTTATTTCCTGCTATTTTGAGATGTGGCAACTGTTACGTCAGATTTAGTTTGTTGCATAATTTAAGCATTCTAGCATTTGCATTTCAAACAGCTATGGCACCGAATCTTTGATTGTAAACAGTTTTAGGATTATTGAGCTCATGAATAATCCATGAAAGCTATCAACAAGGTGATGAGGTACATTGAAAATAACAATGAAAAGGTGGAGAAAACTGTGTTGAATTGAACACTTAAAATATTTCTTGTTAAAAAAGGACTCAAATCTGATGCAGATTCAATGAACTGGATCATTTAAGTAGAATGCATCTGGTTGGCTGAACAATAGTACTTTTGACCGTTTTATCCAATAGGTGGGTTCCTTTCAACTCTTTGTCAGTGGTTACAAGGATGCTGATTATTGGCTACGGCGCTTTGATACGGAGGCCTTACCTGAGTCTACATCCAGGCAATTCCAGATGCAGTTTGAGCGGCTGGTAGTGCTAGACTACATCATCAGGAACACAGGTCAGGGGTTATAGGTGACAGATCACTAACATGTAGATGTGTTGGTTTCTGGGGATATTATTTTGTCAAGGTTGATATTTGCGTTCATAATTTTGCTAATTGCAGATTGGCAATTGAGTGTGAAGGGTGCAGATAATGAATGAAGTTTATGCTTCATTTTAAATTGCAGTTGGTGAAAAATGGTTTATTGTTTACAGATCGCGGTAATGACAATTGGCTAATCAAATACGACAAGTCGGAAGTGGATGAAAGCGCAGATCTAGAAGAAAGCTCTGATTGGTCGATGGTGAAACCACCTGACATCAAGATTGCTGCCATTGACAATGGTCTAGCATTCCCATTCAAACATCCCGATGAATGGCGAGCATGTAAGTTGGAAATGATTAGGGGGGGTAGTCCAACTCTAATCGAGAGCTCAGCTGCAAGGAATTTTAATTTGTATCGGTTACGTTTCACTTTTGACAAGAAAGGACATTGTTGGGTAACAAGATTGACAATTCTCATTTCAATGGACCTATCGCTATTTGCGAGTTAGCCATGCCCTGTAGACAGTCCTGTGGATATTCATTCGTTGAGTTTTGTATGTCTCAGATTTTAGGTGTCCAACACCCATTTTATTTTGGACAATATTTCACTAGCTGCACTGATGTGATTCCAAAGTAATAGGTCAATTACACAAAACGGAGTTACATTTTTGCCAGCATAATAAGGGCCCTTGATTTGATAGAACTAATTTGGAGAAAGGCACAGTATTGATAGGCTTGTGCAACATCTCGGACAGCAAAATGTCAAACTGATCGTTTTGGCAGTTTGCCAAGGGTTGGAACACAACTTGCTGAAAGGATTTTTTGGAGTCCTTCAAATGATTGAACTAGACTTATGCAATATTCACTTCTGTAAGATTTGATGTGAACCATTGTTTCAGTTTTCATTTTGGGGTTGCAGTGCAGGGTTTCTGAAAGGCACACAAGGAAATAGGAACCAAAATTGCCGGAGGGATTTATTGTCCGCAGAAAGTAAAAGCTCACTGAGAATTGAGAAGATTCAGTTTTGTTATTTCCCATCTTTCAGCATTGTTCATCTTCATTCCTATTAGTATTATGTCATTGTGCTTGCCCTAGATGTGAGCGGCTGCCTGGAAATGCTATTACATGTAAATTGTAGGGTCAGTCAGTTCCCTTGGCTGGGATCATATTTGATTTTGTCAGAATATGATAGGTTTTGGTGGATTCTGGTGTAGTTTTTTTTAATTTTGGAGAATATGTTCTGGTCTGAATTATCTTTAGCAACTAGCCTGAGTTGTGTGTTCTTGAGATGCCCACAATAATGTAACACAATAAGACTTAAAACTAATCCTTCAAATTTTATTCCTTCCAAGCTTATGTGATATCTTATGGAAATGTAGAGAAACTTTGTAATTAGAAAAAAAAAAGATCTCTCAAGCGTATTATTTCTGCCACTAAGGTGTTAAACAAGGATGAACCGAACCAAATGGAAAGAAAAGGGTACTTGACATGCTCTATGGATGAATTCTTCCTAAGTTGATATCTCTTTCTTTCTCACCGTTACCTTAAGACTTGATGAGTTCTTGAAAACCCCTGACCAACATCAATCTCCGATTTCTTGTTTACAAGCAGTCATCAGAGTCTGGTTCATTAAAACTTGCCTCTAACCAGCCAGCTGCATTCCTAGCCCCCACATTCAGATAAACAACTCGAATTTTGCTCGGGGTTAGACTGAATGACGGACAGACATGAAATGACTTATTATCCTGTCATCTGGCATTGGGGATTATATCTCCTAAATCAAATATAATTGAGGGAGGCAGGAACGAGGAGGATTAAGGTCATGCCGGCCTCCCCCCCTGTGGTGAGCGTTGCTCATTTACGGGCTACTATTGAGAGATCAATACAGGCTAGTTATTTCTTAAGAGTCCCTAATCAGCCAAGATGTCATCTCTGTCTAGTTGGAGCTCATCTCAAGGACAAGTGTCTTCAATGAGATCAACAGCTCCTTGCATTTCCCTCTCTGTAGTCAACATTTCTCTCACAAAAACTCAGGATCTTTAGTTGTTCCTTCAAAGGTTTAGAAGACATTGCTTTCATTGATGTGTGTATAGGCTACTGATCACCACCTTGCCAGTTTTGCATCAGCTCATTTCGCAGTGTTTTTGTTAACATTACAGACTACATGAGGATGTCTTAATATATTCCCTAGTGGTAAATTCATCATTGAGCTTCAACCTTGTTCCCCTCATAATTGATATTTGAGATGGAAATATTCCTCAACCTATGACAGTTGTGAGCATTCTCTTTGTTGGGGGGGGTTTGGACCGGCTTTCATCCAAATTCATGAGAACATTAGATCTTTATATCAGGCCAATAATGGCCATGTATATACATTCAATTATAATTGACAAAGAACAAACCTCTAGCTTGCTAGAGTTAAAACTCAAAATTCAATAATTTTTTTAAGACACGGCTGACTCAATTACAAAGTGTTTTCAATTGTTCTCTTATAGATCCCTATCATTGGGCTTGGTTAGGGCAAGCTAAGACCCCATTCTCCTGTGAAGTCAAAGATTCAGTTCTACCCAAACTCACAGACATGAACTTTGTGGAAGAGCTTTGCAAGGAATTGAAGGATCTTTTCTCTGTAAGTATGCATGGTTATCCAGAGAGGAACTTGATCATAGGAAGTAACATTTCTCTAGGGATACAGTTTGACTTTTTCCTAAAAAGTGCTGTGTTTGTTTAGAGATCTTTAGCCTCCCCAAAAAACAACTGAATCAGTCTGAGTCAAACCAGTCGGGAACAAATTGTCAACAAAAGTTGGGCGTTGCAGTGACTATGTTGTTTTTGCATTGACTAAGAAAAATGCAACATGTGACTTGTTTCTGATGATATCTTGCAATTCTCAGATTGACAAAGGATTTGATCGGCACATGTATGAAAAGCAGATGTCTGTGATGAGAGGACAGGTAAATTAAACTACAAGTGTTCCATTTGTTTTGTTTATTCCTTGTATCACTGAGCCACGAACCATGACCCAAGAGATGAAGATACTTGCCAGTTTTAGGCCTGAGAGGAAAACCTAAGTTTAAGGGACTGGCATACCCAACACACATGATGTACTAGGTGGGATTCGAACCAGTTCACTGAAGATGAAAAGCAAAAGTATTTCTGCATCATCCTGATGGTTCTATTAATGTATTTTGAGTGAAACGAAAGGAAAATTGTGAAATACAAAATGAAAAACAAATGAAAGCAACAATTTTCAGAAAAGATAATGATTATTAGCCTGTGAAGTTCTACATTTTCTGCTAAAGATTTCAACATGAAATTGACAATGTCCTGAGAGTGATTTTTTTACTTGTTTGCTCTGGTAGATACTGAATTTGTGTCAAGCCTTGCGTGATGGTAAGAGCCCAGTCCAGTTAGTTCAGATGCCTCTTGTGACTGTTGAGAAAAACAGTAAAGATGGCCACCCAGGCCGGGTCAGACAACACAGTGATTCCTTCACACAGAGCTTTCATCATCGCCATCCTTTCTTCTCTTGGTGCTGACATTACCATGGCAACCCTTCTAATAAAAAGATAAGATTCAACAACAATGAGTATTTTCAGGGATTGTCTAATTTTTTGTGTATTGCCTCAAGATATGCACATGCATTTAGAGAATTTGAATTTAAAATTGACATACACAACTGGCATTAATGATTGTAGCACAGTGTATCGTATTAATAGATATGTACCTGATATAGCATTTTTTAAATCTTAATTCAAGGCGAATACTTGGAAAGTATATTTGAGCTTCACGAAAAAAGATCCCGGCATGAACTAGGTTAGATTCTAACCTCTAACCGCCCACTTACATTTTTTACATGTCCCAACCACTTGACAACTATGCCAACTTGAGAGTGCATATACTGCCTTTGATCACCTCTTGAGGAAGGAATCTTGTGAGGCTTTTTTAAGCATTGCATTAACATTGTTTGCATATCTGGTGCTTCAAGTTACATGATTACGACAAGCATATATACTTTGGTCGATTGTTGAATCAAAGATCCAGTCGTGGTGTTTGTAATTTGTACCATGATAATTGACGTCGATGTCATGTTACCATAATGGTGTTTGATACATTTCTGGTTGCACTTTTTTGCTCATGTTATTACTAGAAATAGGGCTAGAATTTAATTTGTGGTTTTTCGTTGTTTTGCTTTGGTTTTTGTAGCAAATCTTACAGGATGGCATTGTCAATGGATTTTGTTGACAAATGTGTAAATATTATATGTCCCTTGTCATGTTGATTGTGGCATTTGATTGAAGTTAAAGGTGAAAGACACCCTTTTTCAAGAGAGCTGTAATCATTTGAGAACAAGATTCTTTCAGTTTGCAGCTTTTAACAAAGGTTTTGAAGGCAGCAATATTTGAAAGTAAAATATTCTCCGAGTAATTCAGTAATTATGGTTTTGAATGTGCAATACTCAGTTGATTTTAGGTTAAACTTCACATTGAATGTTAATTTCTATTTTATTTTTTTGTCTCCTCACACAGATTGTAGGAAGAGCTTATGCGAACCAAATTGCTTATGAAAAAAAATTGAACAATTAAAACCGTCAGCCGTATGTGTATCATCATTTTTGCCATATGTTCCCTCAAGTATGTGCTTCAAAATTTCATGAAAAAACAAAGGCTTGCAGTAAACATATTAACACCTTTGACGAATAATAAGAAACAAACATTTCTTTTCACAAACGTGGAAAGTTTATATTTGTTTTTTGGATTCCAAGGGTTCTTTTCCTGTTCGGATTGAGACTCTTTGATGTGTGTGAAGTGGATACTTTTTCCACATTTTTTCTCGGAATCTGTTCAGCCATGCTGGAAGTGCTATCTTTCTTTTTTCTTTTTAAATATCCACACTATTTTCTACTGGTCGTAATTCAACCTAACGTTTTAATAGTGGTATCAAAACGTGGCATATTTCAATGTTTTGACTACATGTCGAACCAGTTTGTGCCTCAGTCATCTACTTTGTTGAGCTTCCGTTTGCCTGATTTCTGAGATGTTTCTATCTCCTGTTGAATTTATCAGAGGGGTTCTAGTAAACTGTTCGGATGTGGGCAGAACGGAAGACATATGGATGAATTTTGCAAGTCAAAAAGGGATGAGCGTTGGCCAAAGATCAGTGAAACGAAAGAGAAATAATGGAGTCTGTTCTTTTCAGTTGCTATTCTTTCGTTTAAACCCACAAACGCCTTTAAAACGTAATGTAGACACTAATTGCTTTCCTTCGATGTCTTAAGTTATTTGATCTCAACAGTCTGAGAACAACCAGTTGGCAAGCCAATCAAAGAAATGTTTTGAAATTGGTCAGTCTTTGAATATTTTAACTCGATGACTAATTGCAAGAATATGTCTGTTTTGCTTTGGATTACACTTATGCGAATCATTTTTTATCAGCGTCTAAGTTTAAAGGACACCTCTGAAGTAAACATCACTTCCCCCCTTCTTACCTGTCTAATATTATTCTGAAATAAACTTGAGAGGTAAATAGGTCCAAGAAACCTTGTCAGTGTTGGTTCTGTTTTTCTTTCTTTGTCCTGCAGACAAAGTGAAAAATGCCTGGGGTCTAGTTTTCAGTTGTCGAGAAAAAAATGATGAGCGAAACCACGATTTGTCACAGCTATGAAAAAGGTACTTGTTAATGTTGATCCTGTGACCCGAAATTTACGGACTAATTGCAAGAGATGACAATACATGTAAGCTGGATCTTGCCTATGCAAGAGTTTTTCACGAGGGGCTGAAGAGATGCACCCTCCCGAAAACAGCGGGATTGCTAGTGTGTGACACGAACCCCGACCGCGCCTGAGCGTCAGCGGTACTGGGCTGGCAGGCGCCCGGCTCTGCGTCCCAGGGCCCCCGGTACAATTGTTGGGTTAGGGTCGCTGTAAGAAATGATTTCCTGGAGTGCGGGTTTTGGGGAATGGTCATTGTGTTGCTAAGAGCCAACACAATGAGCTTGTCTCTTGACGCTAATGGTCAACGATATGCGGACAAAATCATCAACGTTTTATCAAGATAAAAGCTAAATTGCGGCAGGGCCAGAACATCGCCAGAAGGAGATCTTGTGCAATAAAACCGAGTCGGCGTATTTTTCCAAATGACACTTATGATTATATTTTGAATATAGATCAGTCGATAGAAGCTCCTTTTTTACGAAGTTTCATTATCTTAAGGAAGCGTTTCGGCAAAAAAAATCTTTGCCGTTTCCACTACCCAGAGCAAACAATTTCGAGAAAATGCCGAACATTTTAAAATTTCTGTTCGCTAAGTTTCTGTCATCCTCCAATGTTCTTTCCCGTAAATCTTAAAATTTTGCTATAAACGAGTTTCGATAAACGAACATTCATTCAAAAATGTGTGTCAACATTTATATTTTGATTTGACTGCCCAGTTTTTCTGTGTTGAAATCACTTTTGATAATTTGAATAACAAGACTTCATCTGTTCTTTCGCACCAAAACTGAAACGTGCACTTCTGTAAGACGAAGCAGACATTCACCTACCATGCTGACGTTGAGGGCGCTGTGGTTGACCAGTCTCCCCCAATTAAGGACTGACATGTTGAAGCAGTGATTAGACATGACAATTGACGGTCATTAAGGGTTCGCAAGTATTGGTCTTTTCTTTGGTTCGTTTATCAATGAAGGAGGGGCAGCCCAAATCATTGAAATAGGATAGAAGGATAATTGACAGTTCTGACTCCTCAGTTATGTACCTGCGGAATTGCCGAAATAAAGTCTTGTTCATCCCTCCCAAACTATTCAAAATGTCACTTTCAACATCCAATTTTATTCTGGTCGGTCAAAGGATATTGCATGCGTTATATTATAAATACGAACAGGTGACTGCAAAAGTTGTCATCGCCTGAAACCATGCGTAGCCCTTTAGATTTTTATAAACCTTTTCCACCTTTGAGTCACATTAAACACTCATGCATCACTTATGTAACTTAAGTTGAAGTCGAAGCATATTCCTCCATGGTCGAAGAAGGTCTTGTTGACACTCCAAAACAAGACTTTGTTCGACTCGTCGTGACACTTGTCAAAAGAGCTGCAGCCGTAAACCTTGAATGACCAGCGTGTTACAGTAGCAAGTTACCACTAATAAGCCCCTAACGGACAGCTACACTATACTGCTACATGTAACCTGGGTTTCAAAATCAGCACGGCACACGAGGAAAAAGAAGAACCACTGAAAGGCCAGCGAGCTAATAAGTTCTTTCCCAGCACACCACCAAATCCATAATTGACAGCCTGTCAATCAAATTGGCAGGGACCCTGACGCGGCCTGAAAGACGTCCCGCGGTGAAGCCCGCCCTCTCAGGGCGAAACAAGTCGGTAGTCAGCGCCGATGGTTGACGAAAATCTTCAGTCCATTATTATTATTTTGATCTATAGTGAAAAAGTTAGTCCATCCGCCCGGTCGACAGCAGACAATATTGGTTCATGCTGCCCATTATTGATCTGGCGACGAAGCAATAACTACCGTCTGGCCAACTCGAGAAACATCGATTGCTTATTTTCAACAGAATCCAATCGCAACTTGATTCCATTCAAGATGGAAATGTGGGCACAGTCATATTGGCCCGCCGTGTACGACTATCACAGTTACGATATTTACGATAAAATGCATCATTACAGGCAAGTAACGTATCAGCAGCTCCCGGTTTACCGAGTTCCACCTGTCTTTCGCACCGCAAAAACCACCCCGACACCTCCAAGCGATTCTCATTCCTCCATCGGGTCTGATGTACGGACAGCATCTCCACACCGTACGGCGGAATTCCCCCGATTGGATGGAAGTTTTGACCGGCAGCGGTGTCGGGTTTCAGCGGTGGACGTGGAATCGGTTGAACGGACGAAAGAGACAAGACAGGTGCGATGTGGCTCACTGGGAGCCGGGGACGGTGGAAAGACTGAAGCGAGCTCGAGGCGAGAATCAACCCCTCATAGGACGGGGAACGATACGCCAGACACTCACTCATTCTGCAGGGTACTGACTTTCCAAGGTACGTTTGAAACTAATTGCTTGAATTGAACTCAGATTTTTTTTAATGATTCAGATTTCCACATTCGAGATTGGGTTGAAATAAAACGTTTGAATGTCATTTTTTGGAATTCTTTAGCGTGGAAAACAAGTTTTTGTGTCCACGCTTTGATCCCAGACATGAAAGTATGGTGCAGTTGTTTATGAGTTTCCATCTTGTTGATTTGTAAGTTTGATTAATTAAATGAATTTGCTACACAAACCTCAAAAAAATTCATTTCAGTGACAAAATAGAAGTTTTGTATACAATAATGAAAGTGTCCAAGTTGACGTCTTCATTTTATAAAAAGTAATTTGTATTCCTTTTAGAAACATAACCTACTGGCATTTTCTTAATATTAAATTCTTGTAATTCGAGGTGTAAACACTGGTAGACGGCACGAGGCATGATGCGACAGTCACAAGTTGTCCAGTCTTAATGAATTCCAATTGTCAAACCTTTGCACAGCGCTTGTTCGAAACCTGCAAATTTGACAAACCTGTAATTTCACAGTCATTAATTTCATGGAATTTTTGCGTGGAATATGCTTATAGGGGAGTTGTCGCACTGCTATTGTGCATTGGGCTCATCAATGAGTGCTGCATTATGTTATGGTAGAATTTCCAGTCCAAATTTGCTATAGCAATGGCATAATCGCTGTGAAACATCTTATTTTTGGTTAATTACACGTGTTAGAATTATTGTATATTATTTCCATTATGAGATTGGCGCGGATAACCAGGAACCGAGGACTGGGGAGTTGCCATGTGACAACTAGTAGACACGATATTTGGAATGTAATACATGGACGATGGAATCTTCTAGATGTGAACATAACAACATGAAATCCATCAGTTTGAAAGGAACGATGTCGAAAAGTTCATCAAATATTAAACAGATTTCACTCTACACACCAATCAACAATAAACTAAGAACTTAAATTCGTCCATCGCCATATATCCACCTTAGCTGCGCTTGATGGATGGCGATCCCTTTGTGTGAATGTAGAGCATTCACCTCTTTTAGCTATCCCTTACGTCACCATACAGCAGTAATCATCTTTTATTTTCATAGCAATCTGCTAAAAGCGTTTTGGACAAGACGCCACGTTGAAACGCTTATTATAAAGTGAAATATAATGGAACTTTATATGTAAGGTATCGTTTTGCCCTTTCCTGTGCATCGCTTTTGTCGTCTTTCATAGTAACAAGCCCACTTTCCCTGCTAAGCGGAGAAAAATGCTAAAAACTTCGAACTTCAAAACTGTACGCCTATAAAAATTCAGTTTGAAATCATTCGATTCTTCACACACATTCGAAACGTTTTTATTTCAGAAAACAGCTCGTATTTGGCAGGAGTTTGAATATTTGTGTTTACAATAAATGTTTTGTGGTTACATAATATAGCCCGTAAATCTTTCATGACATTTTCAAATCGATCAATAAAACAATCAACTCAGGCAAAGAATTCATTAATTAACTTACAAACCAAATTAATCAATTAGGAATTGGGCCATCGGACACGCAAGTGAACGAAATAACGAAGAAACCAAACACAAACGAGAAATCAGACCGAAAAAGATACAAACTATTTATAATTGGGCATTCGTATGGCGTCTTTGGGGAACGCATTGCCTGACACATTGTTTCACACAATCTGCTCTCGATCAAGAAAACGTCATTCTTTTCTTAGTATGTTGGAATCCAAGTTGAAGTTCATCCTAATCTCTCAGGGTGAGTGTAAAATTATGTTGAAACCGGTGGATTTAGCTCTGTTGGGGTTAATAATTGAAAAGGACCCTTATATCTATTATTGTTTACTTATTTATTTCACAGAATCGTAGGTTTTATGTCTTGGCAATCGGCACCATTTCATTCTCCTCTCTCTCCAAAATATGCTTCAAAACATTATGCAATAAACATAGGTTTGTAGTATGCAACGTAACTTGGAAGAATGTTGGCCGTCAAATTACGAACTGCCAACGACTCCAAATGATCAACTCGTCACGTCAACGGTTCTAATTAGGTTTGATCACTAAGACAGGGTCAGCGTGCAGTCTTCATAACAACTTAGCCAAATGAAATGTCATCTCGTGTCACACAGTGCCTAATGATCATTAGCGGAGATCATGTCGATGCTAGGAGAATTGTAGGGGGCACCCCGTGCCCCTCTACACGGGGGTGTAGAGCGGGGGGCGAGTAGGTCTGACGAGACCCATGCTGGTAAACCCCACTCAGTCCCGCTAGATCTTATTGATTCGACAGCTAATTGGAAGAGAACGGTAGCCTAATTGCTGGATTTGAAAGGAACATGACTTGGTCATTTGGCTGGGAGGAGCAGCCGACTAAAATTGACAGTCGAAGAGGGGGACAACAAAAAGTTGAGTAGGGAATGACCGAGGGGGGAATGCCTGAGATTTGGGAGTTCTGTTAGAGGGGGCAATGACTGTTCAGACGTGGAGAGATTGACAATGAGATTAGCGCTTAGAGTGGGAAAGATTAAGATTGAGGAAGTGTCATCTGCCGGAATTGGACATCCCAATACGTCAGTGAAAACATTCAAAGCTAGACATGGGGATATGGTGGGCAGTGGCTTATCCCGCGGGGGTGGGGGAGCAGGGGAAACTTACCCCCACGGATTTATTTTCAACAAGCAATACTTCATAGGTCGGTAGGAAATAAAGTAACCCGTACACTTATTTATCAGATGTTAGTACCAAACCCTTAAAAAAAACACCACAAAATAAAAGCCTGGATTTCGAGATCGTAAGTAGGGCTTTTGGGATTTTTTTCGTGTCGAATGAGCCCAACGCCGCATTCACTTTTGAATTTGCCACTCCACATCAAAAGCTTGATACGTCGCTGGATGGGATGGGAATAATAGGGAATAGGTAGACATGATGTTAATAATACTGTGACGGCAATGGTGACGTTGAGGATCTAATGCATATGCATAATGGCTGCGTTCGTAGCGATGACGACAGTAATAATGGCGTGGAGAATTCAGCTTGTTTGCAGTGGTATAGGCTATATGTGGTACAGTCTCGTCATATTGCCGATTAATCTTCCTGGCTAACTTTTCTTCAGCGTAAAACTTTTAGGAAGTCAAAACTAATATTCCTCTTTCACACCTACAGACCCAAATGGTCGACCCCGCGAGATGGTCTTCCCTAAGGCGTTAGATCTGGATCGTCCCAAGAGAGCACGCACGAGTTTCACGTCGTATCAACTGGAGCAGCTGGAGAAGGAGTTTAAGTGCAACCAGTACATGGTGGGAAGGGATCGAGCTCGACTGGCGACCAACCTCGATTTGACAGAAACTCAGGTATCTTTAAGATGAATGCGTGAAAAAATCAACCAAAAGTCGTCACGAAAAATGAATGCTGATATGTTCTCCTTCTTCAGGCTCAGATAAGACTGGGCGCTATGTATCTGCAACAGAAAGCACGATTCGTTTAACCCTTTTTTCGTTCCTTTGTTTTCTGCAGGTCAAAGTTTGGTTTCAGAACCGCCGGACCAAGTTCAAGAGAGAACAGTGCAAAGCAGCGGAGTTCAAAGAGAAGAACGCCGAGAGCATTGCTGCTTGTAACATTCTGAAATTGCTGCAGAGCCAACAAGGAGATACGGCAACAGTGCCCTCTGTCGGATCTGTCAGTCCAATTCGAAACCGCCTGATGACGTCATGGTGACATACGCAATGAAGTCAGAAATCTTTTGCGACAGCTTCGTGCATCAGCAAAGGTGGCCTCCCGAACGAAAAACGGGCTGCTATTGCATCAAAGAAGCATTGTGTACATGTAATGAGTTACTGCTCGACTGACTCTAAAAGAAACGGATTAGCAGGGACTTGGGGCAAGAAAGTTCTTTATCACTTGAGAAGGGCCCGGTTCAGTTTGACGTGTGAGATCTTCGTCGATTTTCTGTCTGCGTTATGATGGTTGGAGACTTAAGGAAAGTGAGAGCTCAGGTTGCAGAATTGATGGATAAATTGAACCGATCAAAGATCCTTTGTTTGACCTTTTGACAGAAAAAAAGATATGAACAATGAATTATTGAACAAGTGATCGAGGTTATTTTATAAAAGGAAAAGGTACTAGAGAGTTTTTGCCTGAAGTTGTTCCAAAAATGTTATTGGTACATGTTTTTATTTGAACTGTCGGTTGTGGGATGCAGGCGACGTACGTACGAGTAAATTTATTGAAGTAAAATCCCTACTTATTTTTTTTGTCATTTGATATCGGCCATTGTTAAAGACAATTATTCGTTAATCGTTTGATAATTTCTTTCAATGGCGTAGTAAAAAAATCATCATTTTCTGCACGATTCAGATATTTTGTGATAAAGTAAATAAAGTCTTTGAATGAGACCTGCCATTAGTCACAAAGATTTGCTCAGAGGCGACGGTAACTTAGACAGGTAAATAAAAAATGATCATTGCGCTTCAACCCTTCACTACAATTGACCCTTGACCATCCCCGTACTCTACCCTCTCCGGTTCACATCCCCAGCCCGGTGTTCCAGTGATCTCCCGAAAAAGTTGTCTCTGAAAAAGGTTGTAATACTCTGAGTGTAAAAAAGACTGAAAATCTAAAGCCACTATTTTTCACATTTACAGCCGTAATTTACTAGTACACTGCGTCTGGACAAAAATATTTATGTACACATTGCGAAAACCTGTATAGCGCCCCCAATAGCTGTACTACAGCATAACACAAGTTGGCACCTGAACGTCTTCCCTTATGTTTCGGTACTCAGAGGTGCTCCGGTACCAAATTAAACCTTTCTTTATGTTTTTTTTAAGAAACGTCGACTGCGTCATATGCGTGTATGTGTTTCGAAGATCCGGGTTTAGTTCGTTACATGGTGAATATCATGCATGTTGGTCAGTAGTTTCATGCGGAAGGTAGGCAAGAATGAAGTTGGTTTTAACTCACTGTTTTCTGTCAGTGACCGTGAAAATCAAGCTAGGCCTAATCTAGCCCAACAAATTGCATGACTAGGGCTGTAGCCTGTACTGTAGTACATACATGACATAGTCAGGTAGTGAGATAGTGGCTCTCTTTTACAATCTGTCTCTTATCTATCGCCACCACAGCGACAGATAAAAGAGACAGATTGTAAAAGAAAGCCACTACAGCCCTATTTGTGGGGCTAGGCCTAATCATGCCATTGCCAATGGGGCAATGAGCGCACGCGCCTGCCCTGACCTGCTGACCTGGCTGGGTGGTAGCTTAGCCCCACAAATACTTGGCCTAGGGCTGTATACACCCGGTACCGTAAACAGGGCCTGACGTATACTCCTCCGTTGTATACTGGGCCCTGTCCCGATTCATATGGATTTCTTTCGAAAAAGTTATCCGGGGGCATAACTAAACATCCGCTCCATTTTATGAGCTGAAATTGCACTGGTATGCTCACTACTTACAGTGTAAACCATCCGCTAGGTTGCTAATTGTAGAAAACTTGCCTTTTCCTCATTTGAGGGAAAAAGTTGCCATTACTTACACCAGCGTATTCCTCAGAGTTTGGACTTTTATATGGGCACCCTAAAGCTTACCCAACTTGTATATTTTTCGATGTATGGCGCCTTGAAAACTGGGCCTGTGATATTTCTATGCTGACCATGGGCAGCGCCATTTTGAAAAACGAAAGCAGCGCAGTTAAAATGTATCTTCAGACACCTTTGACCATTTCGGAAGTGACATATGGGAACCCAGCAATGGATACCCGAGGGTAGGGTGGCATTAAAAATAACTTAAAGAGATAGACGGTTGACAATGACTATCACGGTGAAGGAATATTTTCACATTTTGAAAAATGACATCTTTTATTAAAAAAAAACAAACTTACAGAAACATGCAGAATTTAGACAAAGTTTTTAGTTCTTCAAGACATTCAATATCACTTAAAATGCAAAATTTTATTTTTGCATATGGTGTGGCCAGATTACATGCCAAACAGGTTGCAAGATGGCCCGTATCTTTGCCATTTCGGACATCCATGTTGATCACTTCGTTAACAAGGAATGGATACAAGGACTGGATCATGAGAAATATACCAACGATGTGCTTCTGCTAGCAGGGGATGTCACAGACTCACTAACACTCCTCAAGTCTACATTAGAGTCACTCAAGACAAAGTTTAAGGAGGTCTTCTACGTTCCAGGTTTGTTCAGTAAACTAATATGTTCATTCTCTTTCGTGAGCATTTCTTAAGTCTGATAAGTCCATTTTTTGGCACCCAACTTCATATAGACAAAATGATTGTAGTTAATGAACCTTCCAATTAATGTTTCAACCCACCCACACCCCTCGCCCACCATCAACTTCCAAGCTAGTACTGATTTCTACTACTAACTGATTTATAAGCTAGTATCCTCAGTAATGACATGTTGCTACAGTTGTAGTATTTATCTGGTATTTAATAAGATTCTTTAAGAACTCCAGTAACCAAATGCAGAGAATGCAGGAAGTCAGCACTGTTTTGGGGTGACAACATATCCTCTTTCATAAGGTCCCCAAAAGTCCTTGTTTTATAGGTGGAAAGGCTTGCGGTACCGTCGTCAGGAGACTCAGCACTAGCACGCAGTCCAAAACGTTGAGTATCTTCTTGGTTCTTTACAGAACCACACATACTCATAAGAGATAAATTCCTTCGCATGGTGCTACCGCAAGCCTTTCCACCTATTGCTGTCTTTCACCATGAATAGCCTGAAATTCCACAAGTCCTTGTTTTATGTTGGCTCCAGTAGCGGAGTGCAAAACTTTCCAGAAAACCACTTGGTAGACGACATAATGATACTCACATAGGTGTTCATTTTATTTACCAGGCAACCATGAACTTTGGATCAGGGATAAATCTAGCTCAGAGACATCTGTTGGTAAATTTAACAGCATAATAAAAATGTGCAAAACATTAAGTGTGCACACTGAACCTCGGCAAGTAGAGACATCTGACGGAGAATGTGTGTGGATTGTACCATTGTTTTCATGGTATGCTACCCCAGAGGAGGATAGGCAAGATTCCTTGTATGTCTCAGGTCCGAGTGAGGACCCTTCAACTTTGACCCTCTGGATGGACAATCACATGTGCAAGTGGCCTGATTCCATAGGAAGTCGCTCCAAGTTTTTTGGAAAGTTGAATGAGGATCGTGTCTGTGCTTACGATGCACCAGTAATATCATTCAGCCACTTCCTGCCTCGGATGGAGTTGATCCAAGCTGAAGCAGAAGATGAACATTGTGTTGGTGAGGAGAGGAGAATGCTGGGCCTCCAGCCCGAGATGCCCAAGCGTCAAGGAGCGATGGCTGGTTTCAATTTCACGCGCTATGCCGGCTGCAAAACTCTGGAGAGACAGATACGCATAATAGGCTCACAGGTGCATGTGTATGGTCACCAGCATCGGAACAGGGATCGGTTGATTGATGGTGTACGCTATGTCTCACACTGCTTGGGATACAAGAAAGAACGAGATGAAGGCTTGACCTATGGGATCACTCACTGGAAGGGACCTAAGCAAGTGTGGCCCAAGGCTGACTGAATGCCATCCCAGGCATTTATCAAATTTGAGTTTCCACAATCATGACAAAAATCTTTCATCACCTAACTCAAGTTCGTTACTGCAGTAGCCAAATTTTATGGAAGTATGATACATGTTATTTCCGTGAGCAAAACAGAATTAAAGTGTGTCAATGCACCTGTGTCTTTGCTTAAGTGTAGGATATTTTCAAGTACACAATTTACAATTCTCCTGTTTTACTTCGGACAGTTATATACCATGGTTTCTTTTATTGGAGTGGGCCGTTGGAGCATAAGGGAACATTTGCTTGTTTTTAATATGAAAATAAGAATATCTGTATTAATTAATTAACTTCAAGGTTTTGGGTGGGATCACTTCATCGATTGCATCATGAACTGCTATATTGTGGATAGCTGTCATATTGTGTATAAAGTCTATGGATGGTACCTCACTTCATGGTGAAACCGAGGGCAGTTTCCACAAATGTTTCGATCGACAACATAAATATGAAAGTACTCGAGTACAATTTTCCAATATAATTTCAGAATAAGTGGTTTTATGAATGTCACCAGTTTTGTCAGTCGAGCTTATTACATTTCAAACATTGTGGTGAAATTAAATCTTTTAAGCTTTTATTAGGGTAATTGAAATTCATTGTTGATAATTGTTTTGGTAACGTTTATAGATAAATTTTGTAAATAAAATATAAAGAAAAATAATTATAAGCATAAAATAAATCCCGGCGCGTGCACATTCTCGTCAATCGATGGCGCCCTTTGTGACGACCGCATTTCCCCCGCGATTCCCTGGAGGATCGATTCACACGCTACACGTATTCGATCTTTGCCACGCTTTTCTCGATCGCGTGTGACTGCACGTGTTCAGCATATGGCGGATGATGAAATCGCACGATGCTTGACCCCCGGGAAACAAACTAGACTGTGCCCCTTTTGTGGTTTGTCGCCAGGGATTCGGTGCATTCATATCTTACCTATCACGTGTAACAATGTCGCAAAATTTCTTGCTCAATAGAAAATAAAGATAAATACTAATATATGCAAGCATTACGTAAAATATGAAAGCATGTGACTCAACGAGCTGGTATGATTTTTTCAGGACTTTGTAAAATTTTTAAGGTCCCCCTTTTTGTCAGAAATGGACCCGAAACCAACTTCTGCCCAGTACCCAAGTACTGCCTTCATAGGCTAATTAACAGAACTGGCAAAATTTGTCTCAAGAAATATTACATAAAATAACGTTACCAAAACAGGAAGAATAATACTGGCAGTAACGATACAGGCCTACGTACAATCTTTGTGTGCCATGTTCATAGCAATTTAGTTATTTCTTCGTGAAAAAAAATAAATAAAAAAGCTCATTAAAAAGAACGTCCTTCAAATCGATCAAGCGATTCATACATGTAATTTCATCGCCATACGGCTTGTCATACATAACAACCTTCCATGCGGCGTCTATAATCCAAAATATTCCGCCGAATTATCTTCTCGCGTAATGCATCGAATGACACGGCCAGCAACATGTACCGCAGCTTTCCCGAAACGCAGCGAGCGAGCGAGCGAATAGCCAGCGGGGACGTGCCAACCGAGCCAAGCTATCCCGGATCGTTGTCGTCCAATCGCCAGTATCTCACCGGCCCTCACTGTTGACGTCAGTCCTCATTCACCTGTTCCGGGAAACGGCAAGCTTCCCTTACCAGTGAGTTGACCCGAACTCGCTTTGGCCGTTATGAAATCTTGAACCCCGGCCAATGTTTACTTTGTCATCCGGGGACTTGAAATAGTTGGCAATGACGTACCTCGGGGTGATTTGCATAATTGCTAGGCCGCTGGGGTGGGGGAATTTGATACTGGTGATGTCAGGTGGCTGGTTGGCAGAGGATGAGGAGGAGGATTGCCATGCACTGGTCGGTATGCCGAGCCAATTTGCTGTGTGGTTCAGCGGGAAGAGGAGTCAAGTAAATACACAAGTCAAAATAACATCGATCATTATCCATCAAATCATAGAGCAAATGGTATTGACAAAGGAATTGGATGAGAGATATGGATTGTGAATTTTATTCAAAGGATACAGACGTGTGGTGTCATTCTTGAAGTTGAAGGCTAACGAAAGGAGTAGTCAACTCGATGTCATGTAGATAAGATCTTTCAACTAAGTGACCAAAAGCTTAATGGTAGCCCTTCAAGTGTTCATGGCTTCTGATCTTAGTCCCAGACAGGCTACGGCTAAGAATGATTCTCAAACGGAGTTAAACCGCTTGGACGTTTTTTGTGGGTCATTGAATGAGGGCATTGCTTGGGAGATGAGTTCCACAAGTTCTGGTAAAATCAGTCGGAATGTCCTCATCGGTGTCAGCGCATTGACTCGAGCACCTCCCCTAAATTTCTAACTATATGTATTGTGCAGAGTCCTTCAAGTTCGATTGCCGACAGGAATTTCTTTCAATGGCGAACTCAAGTTTACACATAATATACGTGTGAGGACATGACCAGTGCAGATTTTGAATGGCGGTGCAGAAAGTCTTAGAACGTATATGTACATCCTGGGGGGTAGAACACTACCACTCCGCGTCATTTTTATCAGCAACGGTTCAGTTAATCCCAATGTACTCGACCATGTATGATAAAGGACAGTCTGGTTCTGCTCAAAGGAAGTTGGTGTCGTATGACCACAACTTCACGCGATTCTGTAAACAGGGGTCACATCTCACATGATGGAGCTGTGTGTTTAAAGCTCCATGCATTACCACATCCATGGCAAAGTACCAGACCACAGACTCGACTGAAGGTTCGATGAGGTTCGAATTCAGACAATCCGTTTTACGGATGCGGTTTGGAATACGGCGAATCTCGGTACAATGTATCATGAAATGTTCACGGGTCACGGAACTCACGTAGTCATGCCTGTTTGTGTACATGCGCTGGAGATGTGACAAACGAGCTTTTTGGGTCAAACTTTCATCATTAGCTCTCACAACTGATGTCACTGGTGTATGTAAAAGACAATGGTCGTAATGTTTTCATAGCTCGAAACACTTGCCATGCATTCCTGCATGCGCGGCGGGCCTGAGCGATTTCTCACCAAGATACAAAGTTGGAGGGGACTCGATGGAAGGGACTGATGAACGCCCTCGTGTGATATCGTAGAAATCCTTGAGCCCGTCGGTTGTCTTGTACGGAAAAAAAGGACATTGAAATATGCCAAGGCAATAGAGAAAAAATCTCAAAATACAACACACTCAATTTGTTCCTTTGCAAAAATGATCTTTTTAATCGTAAAGTCTTCTAGATATAATTTGAGGATTTCGCTGAGCAGTGAATAAAATAATGGCGCCTGATTTGGTTTTATCTTTGGGAATTGTACCAGTGTTGTGCTGGGATCGAAGCGTAGGGCCTAATGATTGCTGCAACCGATTTGGTTCGCTCGAAAATACATGCATATCGATCAATTATTTATAACCCCAAACAGGCTACTGCCTGGTTCGAGCATGTATCCCAGCCGCACGCCCCGGCCTCTCGGCACAGCCTGGCTCGTCCTCTCTAGAATTTAGCAACAAGTGCCACACTAAGCCTTTGAGCGGTCCCAAATCCATACTTTATGGAAATAGTTCTTATGAATAATTGGAGCGGTAACTTCTGCTGTTTTATTATTTCAGAGGGTGCCATGCACGTTGGGGGGATGGAAACCTGATTACATATTGAATGAATGAATGAATTGGCGGGCACCATGCATGCGTCGAGTACATGCTCGTATGCGCATTACGTAACGAAGGCCTGTTGTATAGGCAAATTATACGTGCGAGGTTTACCAAAGTGAATAATTATTTTACTGTGCAGTACATGAATCGCATTACTCTGTTTACGGATTATTTTATCATATATCCTGAATACCTAAGATACTTTAGCCATTCCTTTTGGTCGAAAAGCATAGAGGGGTGTTTACAAGAAAGAGGTTACAGAATCGTTTCGAAATTTGTCTTTGTTGGAATTTGTTTTGACTTTTTGACTCAAAAGATATTTACAAATGAAATAATGTGTTTGGCTGGTCTTACGCGTTCGTTTAGACCGTGCCTCGTTTGTCAGTTCTTGACAAAAATACATTCTCGAGACACTTTGACTGCATGCGTGCCGTAATTTTTTTTAGCTGACCATTCCTGCATTCCACTGCAGAGAGTCTCGTTACGAGCGTGACAAGTCGTTCATTGGTATACACTAAGCCGTGCACGCATATGATTTTATGTTGGCCTGCAATTTTCTCCTTGGTTGACATCTATTCTCCTGGAGATGAATGCGCCGTGGACTAAAGGGTGCCGACCTGGTCTCCATCTCATAATGTATGTGTACTTTGTGACTCGGTCGTCATTTTTTATTGCATGATCGAGCTGCTTAATGAAAAAAATTGGCGCACCGTGTCCTTGGAGCTTGTAAGTACCATTATACGGGGGCTTGGGTTGATGTATCTTCCCCGTGTCATGCTACCCGGAGACGGTACTTTTTGTCCGCCAGAGATCAGCTGATGGTAACGACCTTGAATGCAAGTGTGGACTCGGGGGATGCAGCATAACTCTGGAGGACGAATTTCGCAGCTGTGGATCCGAGGAGTGAAGAAGATGATGCAGGGAGATATGGAAGATGGGAAGGAGGTGCAGGAGCTAGTGGTGGATGGTAGGATGCAAGAGATATGTTTAAGATATATGTGAGGTCTGGGAATGAGGAAAAGAAAAATGCTTGAATGTGCTTCAAACTGGTAGAGAGTGAACACTTGAGATAAATGAAACAAAAATATGAAAATAAGGAAGCCCGTGAGCATTTGTACTGTGAAAGAAGTCCAGGTTACGGTGTGTGGTGTGCAGACTAGGAATCAGCTTACCTTTAAAAAATTCCAATGATGAAATCAACTGCCCTCTCCTTGAGATCACTTGCGATATTTAAAGATTTTTTTTTTAGATTTTAGAGTAGATCGATCGATCTAGCTCTTTGAGTGAACAAAGCGGACCAATGAAGAAAACTATATCTGTTATGTCGCAGGCACAGCTTTCAATGTAACTTGCAGGATAAATATTTACTTTTATATTGATCACAAGTAAAATATCGATTACAGAATGAAAAATTGTTTTATATTATTATTTTATTTATTATTTCAGGGAAATACTGTGTAGCCAACCGTTACAAATTGACTGCGAATGAAATCAACTTTGTCACCTTTAGTTTATGCACGTGGACAAGGAAAACGAGATTTCAGGAAAGATGGATGAGACTTGTGACAACCCAAATTGACCTGCTCGAATCGGCGATTTCCTAGTGTTTGTCGTTTCGAAAGCTCTCTTTGAGGTTATAAAACCCGTTACAGCGTCCATTCCTTCGGTCAGTTTGCGTGTGAAGCAAGGCTGTGTGATTTTCTACACTTGTGTTCATAGACCAATTTCTTCTCGATATATCGACGCTGTAATCCCCCTGAAGGCCGTTCATATTTACCAAGTCGCTGATCGATATACTCTATTTTACTTTTACTCCAAGAAGTCACGATTACACTTGTTTGTGTCTCTGTGCGATGGTGACTTTAATGTATGGAGAAAAGAATGTCTGCCTAACATTTTTTTTAATGAAAAAGTGATTTCGTACACCACAAATTCTAAGATTTTATTAGTTGCTTTGAAATAGATGTCGTGCAGGTTCGTGATATACATATGTTTAACTCTCACGTTCAGTATTTTATCTCTGAAAGCTTCCATTAGGATTGTACACATACTGACGTCAATAAGCATCCATCTACACACATCCTTTTCCACAACTCGCTATTATGGGAAAATGACTCGCAAATGAGAATGCCACACGTTTTATTAATGAAGGGTCGACAATAATTTGTTATTTCTTTTATGTAATTAAACATGAAAGTTCACACAAGACAGAATACATCTGTGGTGATCATATCGATACCAACCACTAATCGATATTATGGTTACTTTCACGTTCAATTACACAGCAGACCTGGACACCTGTTTGAAACAATAGCATATCCGGTTACACGGAAACGGTTCAACGTCTGAGTGAACTTGGCGAGTCTAATAATTAGTATTAGTGACATTATATATGGCATTATGTGTTGGAGAGTAGTAAATTTATGAATGATTTATCTCGCTTCCATGTCGGAGTATTTCCCTGGGAATTGTTTTACTGAAAACGGTAATTCGGGGGTTGAGTTGGCGCATGGTCGGGGATACAATAAATGCAGTTCAGCGCGTGGTTTTAGTTTTTAAAAAATCTAACTTTTTCGAGATAATAGGTCTTGCAGTGTCATTTTCAGTTTTAAAAAAAGGTCAAAAATGAAGTTGCAAATGAATGTTACTTGCTACATTGAAATGATGAGTGTAAAATAAACGTGAGTGGATAATCTTTATGAAAGTAGCTTGAATAAAAAAGAAGAAATTGTTTTCCACCTTTGAGAGTTTCGAAAAGTTTTAATTGTCAGGGTCTTGTCTACAACACTTTCGTCTCACACAGGCTCTACCGTGGCCCTCCAAGGCACTTGGAAACCATCCTTATCCGAAAAAAAATGTTATTTAAACAACACTTATCAACGTACGCCTAACATCAGCATATTTCACAATAACTTTGCCGGGGTTCAGCTCCATTTTTTGCGAAGCAGACCTTGGAGTCATCGGCAAATAAAAAATCGTACCTGACACATACGCACGGTCGACATAACGTTGATGTCCAGATCGCGTGCGAGGCTTAAAAACTGGTCGGGTTCAGCGTGCGAGCATAGCGAGAAATCGCGAGCACGTTGCAGTTTGTTGATGTTTTGGAGCGAACAGCTGGGCGTGGCTGTACCCACGTGTGTTTCACATGTCATTCCTCTAAGCACAACAAAGAGATGATTGGCCAGCTAAAAATAGTCAGCGGTTACTTGGCTTTGCCGACCAATGGAATAGGAGAGTTTCGGCACGTGATGATTTGTTTGCCTTTTGACCTCCAATGTCATATCAACGTGCGCTCCAGGCGCACTCGCACACGTACACGAGTGGAAAAACAGAACGCGACAATCGTCTGATCACAGAACGCACGTACATGAGCGAACACAATTTCTTCCAGTTTTTTTAGCTTCCAAATCTTGGAATTTTACTTTCATTCATCATGGCAGCGGTGGCTATGACGAATATAACGCAATTACTTCAAGCTGCAGAATTCTTGGAGAGGAGAGAAAGAGGTGAGTGGTAAAAATTATTTTATCTTTTCGTTTGATTTAAACTTTGCTCGACGTCGAATTTTTGAAATTGACAGATGTCACGTGCGCCATTTTGAGACGCAGCTTTTTAATTTTTTCCTCAAATTTAAAAAATCGACGTATTTTACTGTAATGCCGATACCAAAAATTGATTTAGTTATTCACATTTGTTTCGACAGAGCACGGGTATGCATCTACAATGCCATACAATCCAGAATCTACGAGAAGAAAACTCAAAGTAAAGAGGCTTCATTCGAACAGGTAGGCTTAAGTTACCATTTCACAAGACGGCCATGTCGTTTTCCTTCAAAAGCCTTTTTTGGGTTCCTGCCATAGCCTCACACAGGTTGAATATGAAGCCATCTTATATCGGGTCCAAAAATGGATTCAAATGTAATATACAGTAAAAGAGCTCTAATTAAGAGGGAAGCTTAAGTTTGCCTTTTGATTTGTTTCAAAACAGTTCAATAAGACCCAGGCCTGCCTAGCCTGGAGAAACCATTTTCTAATGTCCATGTATGCTGTAGATATAGAACCATGGTCCATAGGTTTTTTGCCCAAATTGTTCATTTGAGTTGGCTGATTAGTACCAAATCTAAGAAGGCTGACCTTTAAAATGCCAAGAAAGGACAGTATTAAATTTACGTCGTAAGTAAACATAAAAACTAGAAACACAAACAATTACATTGTAACTTCCTAATTGAGAAACTAATCGTTTGAGTCCATTTTATATGAGCAGTGTTTTTGTGGTGTTACAGATATCAATGTCCTTATATTCACACTTAAAATTTAAGGGTGTCCATGGATCCTAAAGAGCTGTATTTTATACTTTAATTTTGATTTATCTTGTGTGATTTACAGTATGAAAGACATGCTAATTTAATGAGATGAGTAACATCATGTATTCAGTACTATATCCTGACTAAAAATTTGATTCGAGATAATTGGTGAAATTTTCCTGGTCATAATTCTGTATTACTGTTTCTTTAAACCATTAAATAGGTTCGAGGGAAACTATCATAATTTGACTGGCAGTTTCCAGTTCTCTCAGTTTTTTAAATGCACAACAGTACATTTTGTGTATAGGCCTATAACACGACACCCCATTAATTAATTATGTTCCATTATCAATAAAACAATGACACTTCCTGAAGTTTTACAACTAGCTTGATTGCCACATGAACCCAAGCAAACACCACTTTGTATCTTCACAAACCCAAGTCCTCTGAAAATGAGCTTAAACAACATATTTCTATGTCCTTTTCATTTTCAGTCGGTCCTCACACAATGAACTAGAGAAGAATAGGTGAGTGCATGTATAAATGTGTCACGTCCACATGTTTACCTCATATCCTGCATATACAGTACACCCAACCTGACCACAAATTATAACGCAGTCCATGGACCCCCATACGTTCACAGCTGTGTTTGTGTACAGTCAAGAAAGCCCATACAACCGTTGGTATGTTGTTGGCCTTCCCTCCATTTTTCTTATGAATTATGCATGAGCATTTTTTCTGCCTCATTACTCATGCGTAGTGGTATGGATGATGTCAAAGGGGCTTGTCCTTATGGATTTCTCAATGTGTTTTCTGTGGGCGCTGGTAGGCCCCATTCCTGGTACCTGATTTTATTGAAATGTGTATTGTTGAAGGCAGATTTTCCCCTTACATTTGTAATGCAGGAACATTTTCTGCTGATTCAACAGTAAGACCAAAATAGTCATGGCATACATGACGTCTGGAAAAGTTTATTGGTCAAAACAATTGACATTGATTTAGTGGTTTCATTTTTTGGGGGGGGGGTTGTATTTAAACCATTGATGTTTTCAAAATTTCCGTTGGGCCAATTTACAAGCCATACCACACTGTTGCTCGGCAAATTTATTGGTTAGCCTAAACAAATGTAGCAATAATTGTCTAGTCCCTAACGGCCCAATGTATTTTCATTTGATGTAACAATAAAGATAAATTGTCTTTTGAAAGAGTGTAGATTTTCCAACTTTGACTTGGTGAATATCTACCTTTTTCACCAACATGAAAAGTGAGCTTTTCATAGAACAAAAAAATTGTTTTAAGGATAATGAAATTGAATATGACCTTGACTAAATTGAAATATAGCTTGATTTACTTTGAAAAAAAATTATTTCAAAGCTCCAAAAAAGTTAATTGAAGTAGGAACTGTTTTCCAGTGTAATTAATGTGTTTATATTTAGCTTGTTTGCACAGTTCTGAACAGTTATTGCCTTGTCAATGCATGTACATGTATTGTCAATGCATGTACACGTATTCCGTGATCTAATTCTGGAAATTCCACATTATACAAAATGTGTTCCAGTCGTTTGCCTTTCGTTTTTATTTATATTTGGATGTGCAACACAGTGTAAATTTCCCGAGTTGTGCAATCACACCAACATGGGTATGACGTAGAAGAAATTCCTTGATGGTGGTTTTTCACAAGCGACCACAACTCTGGTCTCTTGTTCAGCAAGTACATTATTATTTTCCACCCTACATAAGTCAAGTTGAGTCACATGTTCCAACTTGTTTTGGTGTCAAAAAGAAGTGCCTGTGTTCCTTTTGTATCTGATTTCACCTAGCCCACTTCCAGACCTGCAAAGGTACCCAGTGCCCGGCCTTGTGTGGGTGGAGAGTCTATTCTATTCAAATTGATTGGGAGTTCACCTCTGGATCTGCATCTCCCCCAAATAGTTTGTTGGTTTTGGCAAGATGCCATGTTAGTAGCAGGTTATTTGTTTACCCTAGTCATGCTCAGTTCAGGAATGGGCTTTTGAGAGCTAATCAGCGGACTTTCCAAGATACAGGATTTTTTTGAGCAGGTTTGGCTCACTTGCAAAACAGAAAGGACAAGTGTCTTAGGCGCCTAGTGAAGCTAATCCAGTTTATAACTCCATCCAATTCTTATGCAGCAACACTTGCTGAAGCGGATTACTAGCCCAGGACAGCGTTTGGCTGACTGCCAAGTCCCTGTATTGATCCACCAACTCACTGGGCAAGGATAAAACTGAATGGGGTTCTGGGCCAGGGTACATGTACATTTTAAATGGTAGTCCCCTTACTTTTTAATGCCATTCATCATGATAAGCCCTTCTGACAAACTGAGCCTGGTATTCACCTCCACATCCCCTCCAGTCCCGAACCCACATTCCGTATATCCATCTTCAGAGCTGTATTACTCTTCAGTGCTATGCCATGACTAATCTGCAAATCTTTCGGAGTACATGGAGTCTTGTGGAACAATTACCTTTACTAAGTGGTTTCGCATCGGTTACATTTTGGAATTTTCCATTGGTTTTCCCCTGCATTTTACCAAGGTTTAATTGTTTCGTTTAAACTGCAGTCACTTCGTGTCTGACACTCCTTTTGGTTTCCCATTGTGGAGAAGTTCCAACTCATATGGACAAATTCTTGATTTTCTGGCTAATCTGTGCATGTACATGTAATCATTTCTTTCTCATAGCAAAGAAGATCCCAGTACATGGAGATATTCCCCCATTTTCAGTTCCCAAAGTGGATTGTAAAAGAACTTTGATCCTGATTTCATTTTTACAATGACTTCAGGAAATACTTGGTAGGCCAATACAGTTTGGTACGTGTTTACTCCGAATTGGGAAGTCCATGGCAATCCAGATAGCTTATGCTGTAATATTACAGTTACACACACAGGTTGACCTGCAGGGTACAATTCAGTCCCCCACTCAAAAGCATTACACCCAGCCTTCCATTGTCCCATGGAGTTGTTTACCAAAGCAAGCCAGCACTTGCAGGCCTAGTACAATGCCTCAGTGATGCTTGTTTTGGAGTGAACTCCCAGGATTCAAGTGATCTTTGACCCCCCCTCAGCCTGAGACTGTTTGCATGAACCCTGTGTATTGGAAACCTTGAGTGGAAAAGAAATGGGAAATTTTTTTGGGTTGCCCTGATATCAATGAGTAAAAATAGCAACATACAGTACCATTGCGTAGGCATGGTTGTCTCTTCATTGTTATCTCACAGGGTTTATCTGAAAATCTGTATTACACAGATTTTTGCACAAAATAAGCAAACCTTGTCAGTGGTTGTAAAAAACTATGACTAATGCCCTGTGAAGGTGCTTGATTGAGATTTATTTTGAAACCAGACAGATGTTCCAGTAAGGTTGATAGCAGTAAAAACTGCTACTAGATAAAGGGATTGGAGTTTAGACACCTCATGCCATGAAAATCAGGATTAGTTTTGTTGGAGTAAAAGTGATATTGTCAAACTGTTGGTCGCCTGGCTGAATTATTAATCAAATTGATTGCATTTATGAAATAGGCAAGCATCTGTTGGCTTTACTTGTTTATTTGACTGATTTTTATTGATCAGTAGATCCAAGTTACCAATGAATTATGGTCTGTTGAGTCCATCAGTTTATATGTCAATTTAAACAAATATTTATACACTAAAATACTGAAAATAAGTGTGACTTTAAGATCTTGTTATTGTTACTGAATTTATTTTCTCATGTCTTGCCCATTCACTTCTGTGCCAAGAGCTTGAGGAAAACTGAGATACTCAAATAATTGGTCATGATTGTCCCCTTTAAGACGGGAACACAGCTGTTTCCTTTTCAGCCAAGGTGAATGCAGAAGTGGAGAGGTTGCACAATAATTGAACCCAGCAAGCAGAACCCGAGGCCACTTTCATTGAGACCAAGCTGTACCTAAAGCTAAGGCCATTTAAGGGGAAGGTTACCTGTCGGTTGAGTTTCATATATCCCACCTGTTGGGCGTTATAAATCTTAGCCACTGTTCAATTCACAGCGCAATGATGTGTGGTTGTATTTGTTGTGATGGTTAGGCCTCACCGTTCCATATGATGAAGAGGCAGTAGGTTGTCAAGTTGTGATACACTGTAGATGTATGCTGAATTATCTGATAAGTTTTGACTTACAAGTGATGCTTGTAATACCATGTTGGTTTCATTGATGTAGGGTTTGGAGATTGAAAGTGTTTTTTTGGTGGGAGGGTCTTCAGGCCAGCTGGCTAACTAACTTGGTAGTATAGTGTTTGATATACCAGTACTGTACATGAGTCATGTCATATGATACTTTGTATATGTACATGATGCACAGGTTGCATGTGACCTAGTTGGAAGTTGTCCTGGGAATATGGAAAGAAAATGCCTTTGTGTTGAATTATCGTTTCAGGGCTTGATTCATGTTACTGCTTGACCTCATGAAGGACACCTGTCTGTATATTGGGGCAGCAACTGGGCATCGTTAGAACTCACATCTTCACACTTAGCAATGTTAAGTGGTACTCAAGTGATAAAGCAAGTGACAAGTTGGAAACATTTAACCGTGAAGATTTGAAAGATTGCTAACTATGATGATATCATTATAAGACATCAATCTCATAAATTTTCACGCAGAACAGAGACAAAATCTGTTTATTACAACATCCCCTTTGTTTCCAACAAGTTTGTTGCACCTGAAGTGATCTAGATTTGAAAGGGAAAAAATGGAAACCCAAAGACGGTGCTGCATTAAATACTGCCAGATCCTGGTTAAGCCTTATTTCAAATTTCCTCTTACAGTCACAGACAGAAAAAGTCTCGGTTGTTTCCAGTTAAGAAGGCCCCTGGCCAGGCATTTATTGGTGCACTCTGTCTGTGCTTCGCTGGACTGTATACTCAAGTACATGTACATGTAGGCCTACTCAAAACTGCATGACAGCATTTGGTCACATATGGACATGCGTGTTCAAACGGTACAGATGTTGAGAACATGTGCAGGTACTGAGCCGAAGAGTTGAAAGGCACCCCCTCCCATGCGTTTCTTCTAGTGTTCCTAATGGTATTTATTAACTCAGCTGAAAGACAGGAGTTGAGCTTGACTTTTGTATGCCTTGTAGTGGATTTATCACAGGAAAAAAAATATGCACCATTAATTTTTGTGACATATGCAAATGTGTTTGAGTACCTACAGGGGATGTTGGTGACAACACAACCAGCTGATATGACCTTGGAATATGTGTCAGGGACTGGATTCAATTCATTGCCGTTATAATTTTGTTTCTGATAATCTGCCATGTTTACTACAAATGTATGTTCTATGAAAGCACAGATCTCTGCGTTTGAAAGATGTATGAGAAAGAAAAAGGTGTACAAAATCATAAATGGGCTCCATTGTGGGAAAAAAAAAGGTTATGTGGATTAGGTCAGGCTATGTCAGGTAAGGTTAGGTCACACCCTCCAATTTCATGATTGCTTCACTTCAGAATAAAAGTTATCCTTTATAAAGGGGTCGCAGCAAGAAAAGTTTTATGCTGTTTGTCAAAATGAATATGGAGAAACCTTCATTTGCCATTTTGCCAACTACTGTAGTTAGACTAAGAAATCTGAACACAGTGAAACCTGATGAATTTGACTTGATTGGATGGCTGTGGCTCCTGCCTCAACCCTGCGCCAAAAAAATAGCGTTTTGTGATTGTAATTTTTTTGAGGGGAAAAATTCCCGTCTACACTGATGTACATGTACATGCAGATGAAAATTATAGTCCCGTGCTCAAGACGGGCATGTCCTGGCGTGTTGGGGCTTGTTTCTTTGGGTGTGCTGTATGTGTGAAGATGTGTTGTATTAGACTAGTCCATGGGATGTGCAGGTACTATGTGTACAAGTACTTAGCTTTGATAGGTGTGGTCGGATGGAATTTGTTGTACTATGTCCTTTTATCTCAGGACAATATTGAAATTGATGGCATCCCCTGGGAAAAAAATGGCACAGTTGAAAACTTGTGGTGGACATGTCGGTACCAACAATCAGTGCTTTTTAATTCGTTGACAAGAAATTTTGTTTTTCTTACACTGACTGTAGATCAGATCTGGTTTTTTTTTATTTTCATCGTATTTTCAAACAAACATCATGAATTTTTAAAAAGATTTTTCTCAGTTCTTTTAAATCAGTTGACCACCAGTATGGCATTTCTTATTGAGTATCACCCCCCCCCCAAAAAAAAACTTGTTGAATTTGGGCCTGTCGTAACATGAGGAAAATTATTTTCATTTAAATGAATGGACCCAAAATAGCTAGGGCAGGGTGCAAAATAGACCACAAAAGTGTGTAGACATTGTAGGTGTTTTTGCAGTTGTGGTAAACCACAGAAATGCAACACTCTGTCAATAAAGTAGAGTAGGCTGAACTTGTTGAGTCATGTCTGTCCCCATAACCCTTGTTAAGAGGTTGCACGATGTGGAGCTATTCAAAACTGGTGTTACAAATGTAAGAATTTCAGGGCTTTACATCTGTTTATACATGCGCTGATAAAGGCTCTATGCTCACATTTCTGCCTATGAAAGAAACAGTGGAGAAAGTCCATTTTCCCCCAAGACAATGTTGACGGATTGCTCTGCTGAAAGATACAGGTTCCAGTGATGTAAGCTTTGACCCCTTTACATGTCAGCTGTCATAGTTGCCCTGGGTTCTTTGTTGACATAATGTGTACTTAGTTTTGCAAACAACATTATCTTGCACAGTAATACCCAGGCATGAGCCAGGCATAGTTTGTGTTGTATGGTCCTGTCTGAACAAGTCATTAGGAATTCTTCTTTGTCTGAATCCCTGAAATTGCTTGCCTTAACAAGTTGTGACAGGTTAAAACTGTGGCCAGGGGATTAGGGAAATAAACCAGATGTGACAGAATAAGGGTGTTAACTGAGCTTTGCCCAATCAATCAAGGTTCTTTAAACCCCCTCAAAAATGTTAAGACATAAAACTCGGCCATTCCTTTGAGAGAAAACAAAATCCTGTGTGTATTTTCCTGAGATATGCTATTTGAAGGGTTGGGGGAACCTAAGAGCTTTTATACCAGTGGTAATATCAGAGAGAGAGGGGGAGAGCCAGCTTGTAAAAGTTTGAATATTAAAAAAAGCTCAATAATTACGATAATCTGGTACAGCTTTTGAGCAGTGATCATTGCTTTATCCTGTAGTCCTTAGTCCTTTCGTTTGCAGCAGGAAATTGCTCTTCCAAAAATTTGCTCTTCAGGATATGGGGATTCTTCCTTCAAAGAACTTGTTACTGACATTGTTTAATAACTGATTCTTCCTTGCTGTTTGATCTGCAGGAGAGCGCACTTGCGAAACTGCCTTGAAAGGCTAAAAGAAATAGTACCTCTGACAACAGAGTCCGCACGCCACACTACATTGGGGTTACTAACTAATGCCAAGGACTTCATCGCAGTAAGTCTTCATAAATTCAATTTTTCATCCCCCAGTTATGGGCCACACTGCTTTTGTTGTGATAGAAACCTTTGTTATGGATTGTTGGCTGTAGAGATATGCCCTTCCTTGGCCCAAGAGCACACACTGTGTGTTCTGCATAAATTTGGGTTTGTTCACTGCCCAAGGAGTTATTTTAATGCACTCAGCATTCAAAACAAATATATGTGAGGGTCAGGCTGGTTAAAGAATTGACCTTCCTCCTGGTAAAAAAAAAAAAAACTGGCCCCAATTACAACAAATGGACAGAACCCAAAGGGGAATTCTGAGATTCATTTGAAAGGTCTTTACTGTCAGCCCTCCCTCAAGTCGTCTTCCCTAGTTACACGGGCTGTGGGTGCATTTTAGAATGTCAGGCATTTGACAGTGGCCCCAAGTTACCTTCCCCTGCGGTGCCAGAGCTCAGATTGTTTACAGTCAGTCAGCTGATACCAGGGGAAGCTAACTGAAAGAACTTTTAGGGTCATTGAATGACCCAGGAACGTTTTCTCAATTCTAATTTTAGACTGGCAGTGAAATTGATAAACAGATTCTTAGTTTGAGCATCACATGCATTCATTTGTAATCCAGCGATGCATGTATTTGTATAACCAGGCCACATTCTATATGCATATAATTTGATATTTGATATTTTTGATTTATTTTCTATATTACCGGGATCGTCCACAATTTTATTTATTCATTGAGATGAAATTAAGCAAATTTGGTTTATATTTGCTCTGTATATCTGTCTATGGAGTATAGTTTATGAATCCCAAAGTTAAAGTTAATGCTGAAACATCTCAGTGCTAGTGGTAATTAAATATGAAGAAAACAGATCTTTGCTAGAACAAACTTAAAGTTAAAGGAATTCATAGGGAATTTCAAAGCAACATCGTAAATTTGTCCAGGAATTCTAAACTGGCAAATCATGCTTGTCTTTAAAGTTTCCCGGCAGCTTAAAAGAAGTCACCAACTCATTTTGAATCGAAATTTTCTTTCAAGGTGGGGGAAGGAACTTAGTTGCATGACTGCAAAAGCAATTTTCCAAGAATTATCATCATCTCTCTTTTTTTCTGATGGTTTTCCCACAGAGTCTTGAGAGGGAGGAAAGCAAGTATAAGTTACACAAAGAGAAACTCGCCAGGGAACAAAGATTCTTGAAGAGGAGATTGGAACAGCTCCGGTTAGGCAGACACAAGATCAGACAAGACAGTACAGGCAGTTCCTCATTAATGTCAGACGATTCAGAAAAAGGTAGGAAATGTAAAGTCGTAACATTTGTCAGTGAGAAATTTGAAACAAAATTCTTGTTTTGTTTTGGCCGTAGTTAAAGAAAACATGTTGGAGAGACAACTTTTATGAAAATAAACATGAGAAAAGGAATTGGTTGGGATTTAGATCAATAAAAAACAACCATGGGGAATGCTGTAACAAACATAAAGGCCACAGTAATGGTGTAATTAAATGCAGGAATGGTTTCGTTCCTGGCTTTCATTACCATACAATATCAAGACTATGTAGCACACTGCCATTGGTGTATGCTTTGAACAACACAATGCCCTGCTGCTTTCCCCAACTAATTGCATTCCAAGGATGGGCATGTAAATATGCTCAGTGCTGAGCAGATGGTGGTGTAAGCTACATGTACACCAGCGTACGATGCCCGGGACACAGGTTTTGTGGGTCGCTGACATGCTACGAAAACAAAGTTGGAGCCCCACATTATGTAATATTATATAGCGAAAACACTATCAGTGCTTACATGCAGGCAATAAGGAAACACCCATGGATAATCAGTCCACCTACATGTATGAGGGTTAGAATGGAACCTACCCTTTGACTTCATGGTGATTATGGCTGTCCAGCTTGAAATTATTGTCCATTGATGGTCAGCAGTACTTCAGGCCAATCTGATCAGATAACCAGTCACAGGCCCAGGCTGAATTTCTGGCTCTTGGCATTGCCAAGTGACAGCTTATGCTTATGTGACCACACTACTTTGAACTGCAATTTATGGCTAGCTAGATGGAGGGTGAATTTCATGCTGATGTTTTATTGTCTAAAGCTGTGCAGTACTTGCTCATATTGGCCTGTAGTATTTGTGCTGGTCGTGAACTTGATACTAAAGAAAAAGCAGGCTTTCAGTGAATGAATAAAAGTTATGTTGTGAAAGTGAAACAGAAATCCTTTCCTGGCAATTGAGGTCATGAAATAAAATATTTGGTATAAATGATTGACATATCAGCAGTCATGTGATGAAAATGCTTTCATGATAAATCACTTTATTGTGCATGAGTAAAATCAAATCCATTTCAGTAATAAACCCAAACTAAATTTTGAACAGCCCAATAAAGGTGACCACAAAAGTGCTTTCTCACTGCTTTTTGACATTGCAAAAATGTTGCATTTGAAAATCTGCATTCCACAGTGTCCTTGGTGCCACCTGCTTATATTGACAAACAAATAATAAACACTTTTGCATCATGTAAAGTAATGATTGCTAATGGTCGTGTTGTAAAAGCTGCCCACGTTGTATTTTTTCCCCAAAGTGCATGACCTGTGTAATGTTGAGTGGGAGCCTGTTATATTAAAAGGAAAGGTTGTGCATGAGTCAACCCAACTACCATTTGACCGTTGTAATTAGGGATTGGAAAAAAATCTTTGGTCACAAAGTACATGTGTCATTCTAAAAAAATCAGGCATGAGGAGAGATGAAAATCTATTGTAAACTGAACAGTTTTAGCTGCTGGCTTGTAATAGCTAATAAATGACGACATTGAAGGATGACAAGTTGGTTCCATCCATGATGTGACATTCATGAGCTGCGTTCACATCATCCGGTCCATAAAAACTCAAGGCTGGGAGCCGTATAATCTTGCCAAACAAGACCATGTGATGAGCCACCGACATGTAAACACACGGTTTTCAAGGGGAAAGTGCAAAGTTCGTGTATTACTTGGCATGTTTCCGAATGTGGTCCAGGTCCCTGGATATATTTAGACTTGCAGTCAGCCAAACAGGAACTGGGTGGAAATTGACTCAACACTGTCTCTCTTGGATAGCCACAGTATGCCCCCTTTTTTCCTGAAGCACAATTTATAACTTTGCACTGATCCCTCATATCCCTCCCTGTGTGATTCATCCAGGACAGTTCGGTTGTCCTTGCAAAGATGCCACCATCATACACCTGAGGTTTAGTGCATGTGCTGTCCTTTACACATAGACCTGTGTAAATCAACACGGGTCATGTAAACCCAAGGAGGCATTGTTGCTGCACAGCCACAGAGTGTGCATTAAGTCAAGGTCAACAAACTTTGAAACAGTCCATGTGGTTCTTGTGTAGATGTAATCTATGTTTTGATGTGTGCTTTACATGTGCAATCAATAATCTACCAGAAACTATTCCCATTAATTAATGTCATGGGCCATATGTTACCTTGTACACATGAAGTGGGTGCCGCTATCTCTGACATAAAACACCTTGCTTAGTTTCTTCAGCATTTTTCAGTGTTAATTCTGAGTGTTGCTTTCATTTGATAAAATCTACATGTAAGATAGATCATTGATCACACAACTTGAGAAAGAATGTCTTTTGACCCACAGCATGCTGTTGTAACATCATGTAGTGAATTTTTTCAATGATTTTTTTTTTCACTCTGCAGATGAAGTCGATGTCACTGGTTACAACAGTGATAGTGACTTGAGCAGTTCATCTGAAATGACAGGGAGTGACGGTGGCCTTGCAGTGAGTACCAAGGAAATCATCATTGTGGAACAAACTCTCTGAGAAGCTTCAGTTTTGTGAATATTCAGCCAGTGAGGTCAAGACAATGAATATTCATGTTGTGGTCACAGACTCTATCAAATGAACATTCACTAAGTGACCAGGATCATGAATATTCATGTAATAGCAGCCTATTACAGAAAGTCATGCATAGGTGTATGGTGCAAACCCCCTCTGAGCTGATGAGCCCCATGAATAGTCATCAACCAGTGAGATCACATTCCTGGATATTTATATGGTGATCAGATTTGAATGTTCATGTTTGGCAGCCATATTAAGAGAGTGTTGGATGTGGGTGTATGGTTTTACTGTGAAGTACAGAGCAAGCATTGAGACAGGTAAACAAATTTTCACCTCTACTAGAAATTAAGCTGTGTTATTTATGTATTTATTCTATTTATGCATTTTCGTAATTAATTGCTTCATAATGACTGTTAGTGTTAGAAAATTAGCCGCTTACATAAAATTAATTTCATCCTCAGAGGACACAAATCCATACAGAATTTAAATCTTCCTGAACTGACAGTCTGATGAGAAAGTACAAAAAGGGCATCAAAACAAGAGAAAATGACCAAATTTTTCCCACATTTTCCACACAGCAGCCTCGCTATTTATTTATGAGCCCAGAGGACTAACATTAAATTGCCACCACGTCACACAAAGCGTCCACAGCATGTGATGGTGGTGTCACATGTTCAGATGCTGGACTTGATAATGAATCTGTCCACTTGTGACTGGGACCGAAGAGAGCATGCTCAGAACTGCTCCCTGTGCCATGCCTGAAAAGACCTTTGTAACAACTGCAGCGTGTAATGGGTTGAGATGACATTGTCACTTGTGTGTACAGGTGATGGCAGATACCCTTATTTGCACACACCTTACATGTAGATGTCATGACATGATGTTTGGGGAAAGGGGTGGTATTACAGGTGTAAGATTAGAACTGCAAGGTCCCGTAGTGCAATCTGAAAGAGATTTGCTCAGCATTCACTTCCACCATGCTGCCAAATTTGGCAGACAAGGTCGACACAGAAATAAAGAAACTGATCAGTTTATTTCCTTGGAACTGAGTTGTGACCTCAAGGTAACTTTGTGTGGGGTACATGCTGTTTGTGGTGTTAACCAGTCTCATAAAGATGAATACCGTGACCAGGAAACAATGAATGTGGAAATGATGTTGGCATGTAGCCAAAGTGACTCTCTCCCTTACTGCGCACACATGGCGTTCTTGGCAGAAATTCAAGGTGGACAGATGCCAATAACATTTTTTCAAGATTTTTTTTTTAAATACAAGCAATGTTTTTTTTTTAATACATGCTGTGTAGGCCTGTGTAGGCAAATAACATAATATAGCTGTGTAGCATACCAGCTCCAAGGCTGACATGCACTGAACGACTTTGTCCAATCCTATTCATTATTCACTCTCTTTCACACAACACCCATCCCAGTTTAGTCAATGAAAAACAGACAATCCACAGCACTGGGTCAGTGCCCTTTTGTCTGTCCCCATGGTCAGTCTATGGAGGTAGTTCCATGGTCATTCTAAGGGAGTGTATCCATTGTGCCCTGGTGTCATCTTGCTTCAGGGTTGTAGAGTTATTATGAAAACCATAGAAACTGTCAACTTTCCTTGAATGCTAGTACAGATAAGATACTATCTTGTTTTTCAGCCAAGGAAACCGACAGTCTGAAAAAAAGAAACCTGGGTCACGATGTCTTGTGTTTAATCTTATTGTAGCTTTGATGTGCCTCTTTTGTAATACTTTCTCACCAGATTGGCAAATTAAACACACCTGAACCTTTATTTTTAATTCATGAATGTAACGAGTTGGGCTTAAAAGCTCTAAACCTCAGAGTGAATTTGAATCATATGATAGCTTTAAAAGTTCTTACTTTAAAAGATTTTATTTGGTTTACATGAATGTATTAATTTTATTATTTTTTTGTGCTTCAGTTTTTACTTGTATAATCTTGAACCATTCCACTTTCTGAGATTGTACCAGATTGCTTGCCCTGTCGGAAACTCCAAACCAAGGGGAATGGAGATTCAAATTTTGTCGCTACGACCGATTGAAATGACTTCTCCAAAAGCTTGCATTTACCCGTGGTACAAGACATGTACACATGGCATAGAAATGCTGCTTCTTGCAGTATTAAAAGGGTGACTGTTATTGATGTCCGTGGATTCTAGATGCGAGTGCGCATTAGAGCCTCCTGGCAGGTTTAATCAGGTAATGCCCATGCAGAATCATGCACTCCTCCACTCGGGCTGTGCAATTTCTACTGACCAGCTTGACCAGTGCCGTGTATTAGTCTCGATATCCATGGCATGATGGGCGTCAAGTTGCAGCTGCTAGAATATGGCACCTCACCGCTGGTCAAAATCTCATTGATTTTAGTGCGCTGCTCCGGATCTTTGTTGTGGTTGAGTCAAAAAAGACACTTTATTATTACATTGGGAATGGGATTATTACTGACTGTCATTACAGTGATACACTGTGGATTGAAAATTAGCAGAAATGCAAAGGACAGAATAAAACCCTCAATAATTGATTTTGGTATTTACAAATGGCAAAATCATCAGGAATTTACATATACATGGCATTGTGATGGCCTGTGCACACAATTTGATCCTGTCCGCCAGTAACAATCAATTTCATCGTCACTGCATCTCCCCTTGGGCAGAGAGAATTTAAGGGGGAGGGTTACCTGTGATGCTTGCTCTGTGTTTTATCAGTAGATTGTACCAGAAATCAACAAAGACCTCAGTGTGTTCCTCGTGCGTAGCCCAAAAATGCTGCATTAATACGTCTTTGTTAAAAAGACTTACAGGCACACACAGTTGATTTTGTTTCCTTAAACATAGGGAGAAAAACCCTTTAAATTTATCTTTTTTTTTTGTTTTTTTGTGTTTTTTTTGCGCCAGTCCATTTGCCAAAACAGGTAGGGACCGTACTCTCTGTACATTGTGATATTTACTGGTCTTTGAAGTTCCCCTTCGATAGATGATTTTTGCTGTTCTGAGTAGGGAGGCAGTTCATAGAAATAAGGTCATGATTTGTTGATTGGTTGGTGTGTGTAAATGCTCTTATAAGCCTAGATGTGTTGCGAATGGCAGGAATTCCTCAAATCTTTGATTCAAGCTTTTGAATTACATGTAACCGCCTATTTTTTTATTATTCTGAAAGTCAGTATTTATTTTAAAAGGCATGCATGTTCTTACATAATTATGATTTGTACTGCACATAAAATAGGAGCACAGAAAGGGAGTATTTTTTCACATTATTTAATATCACCTCCGTTTTTTTTGTTTTTTTTACATGTATTACCTGTGCACTTGAAGGTACCTCTTTTGTGAAAATGATATCTCAAAATGACCAAACAATTTTAAGGAGTGGTTGTGCCTATTCAATCGTGCGCACTGAATATAGCATGATTTGTAGCGGGCATGCATGTGATGGATATATAACGTGAGCTTGAGACGGTCATATTGGATACATAAAAACACGGTCAGTTGTTGAGCCATCAGTATGAGTCATCTAAGATTTACTGGCCATCTTGCTGGATCAGAGTACTGTCCTGTGCTGGCTCCCCAACCATGCATTGATTCACACAAGCTGCCCCGGAGGAAATGCACCAGTTATGTGAAAGACTTGCCAAGCGCAAACCACTGCCCATCAGATTTGAAGAACGTGACAGAGTACCGGGTAGTGACAATACACTTCTTCAGCATGTTTGCCAGTAACCAGATTGTGCTAAGCTAAACTGTTGTGGTAGTCAAAATGCCCACAGAATTGGCCTAGCCTGGAATTGGTGCCTGAAATCCAAGGTTTAGACAGCTTCATTGATGAAAACCCTTCTTTAATAAACTGGCCATTAGCAGATTCCTATAGCAACTGATGCCTTTAAACAAACATAACATCCTTACAGTTTTTCGTTTGAAAGAAATAATATAATATTTTAGTTACGTTGACTGCATCTTCAAAGCAAGTCTTATTATAAGACGCAAAGGAAACTTCATCATAATAAGTGCAGTGCAGAGAATACTTCAGTTTCGTGGCATTAGATTTTTTCTTCTCAACCATTTAAGTTTTTAAAATCATACCCAAAAGGAAACTGCAATGTAATTTCAACATGAATGTCCATCATTCGTTACATTTTTTCTTAGATGTTCAGTTGGCTTATATTAAGAACAAATCTCCAAAGAAATACTTCAGACCATGGGCCCTTTTTTAAGTGGCATCTTTATGGTTGTCAAGTTACCTGTATTTAATTGAAAGAAGATAACCCCAAAAAAGAAGGAAACAAATTTTTTCTTCATATCCTCTGTGACCATGGGTCAAAACATTACATCCGATCACAAAAAAGAAATTTTATTAAGGAATTGAGGCCCAAGTCAAGTTATGTGTTTCAGGACTTCCTCTTTTTGAGAGCAATGGAGTTAAGGGTAAACGTGCTGTCACTACAATGACAGAATAAATCAATACTGCTGGACTCCACAGCGCATGGACATAAGTGTCCATATTGTATTGTTACTTGATGATGCACGGTCACTGATGGTCGGTGTACAGAGCGGTCAGTGCAGACAGCATCCGAATGGCCTTGCTGGACTGACCATGCACTGACCAGCAGGAAGTTGAAGAGGATTCATTTTGACCTCCTGGCCAGCTCAAGGTGACCTCTGCCCACTCATTCATTCATTCATGGGGCTGGCTGGCGTCCAAGTTCTGTAGAAAGAACAGGAAAAGTAGAGGTCAAGGGCTGTGAGGGACATGTCATTAAATCCTTCATTCCTGTGAGGTAAAATTCTCTGATGATGAGAAGACATGGCTGTGTTTACATCAAGAAAATGTTGATTCAGTCTCAGTCGTGCTAATCCTAGAGTTTCAACATCATGGAACACACACGACTTTTTTCCACCAAAATGTTCCTTTTTGAGGGAACTGGTAGTGAAAATATTTGACAAATTTAACTTGAAGTCCTGCTATATCAGGCTAAAGATACGAGCATTGAGAAAAAGTAATTCACTGTGAAGTCCTTGGGGTTTTGAGCCTTATTTTGATTCCAGACATTTAATTAAATAAAGAGAAGGGCAAGATTGACAAGGGATTTAATGTTGGAAATTGCTAGTACATAACCACTGACCCAGAATGCAGACAATTATATTCCACACACAGAATAAATTATTTAAAGGGGACAAAAATTGCCCATGATTTTGATTTGGTTGGTGCTAAAGAAAGAATCGCATGTGAAATTATTTTCTCTGTCTTTTTAAATATTTTTTGTGCTTATTTTGGGGGTTTTGTTTTACAGGCTATGCTGTTAACAATCTTCAGCTATTTGTAATTTATAATTTATTCGCATGTTTATAAACTTAACTTAATCCTAAAGTATGGATCTACGAGTATGATGGTAAGATTAGAGAAAAGGTTTTATGTAGTGTTGTGTTTAACTTGATTGTATTTACCTTAGTGGCTTCAGTTTTGTTTTAAAATCCTAGGTTTTAGATTGGAATAATTAATATATTGAGGAAGAACAGCTCCCTGATTGTGATTAAAAGATGAACTGGATTTCTATGTTATTCATATATTTCCTACAAAAAGGAAAAAGAGAACTGGTTGAGTGATTTACATGACTGATTTGAAGAAAGCAATGAAATTACAAAAAAAATGGCTGCCTCCATTAAATGTACTTTTGATATGAGACGCAAGTTGCTGTGTTTTGACAGAGCAGGATGTTTGGAGATGTAAAGTTCATTTACAATGTTGATCTAACACGAGGGGAACTTTTTAGAAAATGGTTTGTTCTTTGAAAAAAAAATGAAAATAAAAAAAACTGTGTCGTGTCTGACAAAAATTTTGTAGATTGTAGATACACTTGGAGAGATATGATACAATATTATGTACATAAGAGAATGACTGAACTCCTGAAATGATAGTTCATACAAAACGTATGGTCTCTCCTTGTACTGAAAATAAAAGTTCTATTTCAAGAAGATAAACAACAGTGCTTTGTAATTTACTTGTATTTTGTTCTTGTTTGTTCAAATCCCTTTTTTAGTCTTTCCAATGGAACTGAAAAGGCTGGCAGTACATGAGAATTCACAGATGTGTGAGGTTTGCTACAGTAATACAATGAACATTATGTCCATGGCATCAAGCAATTGATTGATTCTTGTATTAGCAATGGCTGAGTGAATTTTAGTGGATTTTATTTTCAACAATACATGACCACTTGCTTTCTACCCGACCATTGTGGGGCAGGGTCCTCTATATACGAGCTGCACCCACACAATACAAGCAAGACTCAAACTGTTCTGTTGACTGAGTTTAATTTATATTAATGACACCTTCATTTTGATAGCTATGTAATTCAGTTAGAAATAATCTTGCGTGCTAGCGCTGATAAAATGAAGGGTTAGGTGTGAAATGTTTTGCCCAACTCCAACTACGACACCCAGGTGTGGAATTTTTCTTCAAGGGTTATTAGACACACTTCTGTGAAACAAGGCCTTTTGTCTCATTACTTCAATGCCATCTGCTAAGTTCACTTTCTGTAAGATAAAGGTTGCCAATAAGCACTCCTATGAAAGGTGCTGTTGCTCTATGTATGTGTGCCAGAAGGCTAAGTTGTGATGAACCATCTATGCCATGATAGATGTTATTGATTTCCTCTTCACAAAAAGACGCTACAAACACAGCTCCGTTGTAGTGTGTGCTAAAGTGTTGTCACAACGTGTCACTTTTCTGTTTTAAGCCTTGGAGTTAGACGGTGCCTGGTTCGAATCCAGGTAGCTAATGTATATTTGCATATTGGTAGCCCATATCAAGCCTGAAAGGAGGATACTGGGGTACATCCCGCCATATTTACAATTATTTAAGAAAAGCAGGTTGACTCTGTATGAAGGAAAGGTTCTAATAACTTTGGCATTGATGATGGTTCGTAGTAGAAATGTTCCTGTCTTGATTCACGTCATGGTGGAGCATATAACGAATTTATCATCACAAGCAAAAAGCAAACTAATACAAGAACTGAGAGCTTGGAATGTGTAGAGGGATATAAATGCGAGCATTGCTCAGGATTTCACAGTGTTTTATGACATTTACCACAAAGTAGAATCTATTCAAGAACCAGGGGACAAGGTCATGTTTTTAAAAATATTACCTCATTACTGGTGGTCTCCTGTCCAGCTGTGCATGACCTTTCACTTGTTAATTTGCTGTAATTCATGATCCAATTCAGTCCAATTTTATTTTGGGCTTCAAATCTTACCAGCATTTGGGTTTGCATTATGGCCCATTTGCTGGGTTGTTTTGTGACACGCTTGAGGTAACTGCCATTTCTTTGCTGTCTTTAAAAGAGAGTTTAGCTGTTTCAAGACTTAGTCTTCTAAGTTTAGGCTTTTTTCTGCCTGTGATCATACCCCCCCCTTGGTATTGTAAGAAAAAAAAAACATACAAAAGCATTTCTTATATGGATACTGAATTCTGAAATATATCTGAATAATTACAATTATTAGAAAGGAAATAACTCCTTCAGTTGAACAGTGTGAAATCATATTCCTAATGACTCGACTGCAGAGCTTGCTCATTAAATGATGAGAGCTAATTGTAATTGAAGAAGGTGTTACTTAACACGACCCTAAAGTATTGGATCATGTTGCTTGCATTCCCTCCTGTCATGATTACATAACCAGTTTTCCAAGCTTTGCAAAATATATCACTGTTGCATTTTGCAGAAACTCAAAGTAAAATACCCTTTTAGTTTGAAAACACCCATACCTAGTAAGGGTCCTATTCTTGAAAACAGGGAATATTTATTAAAAAACTTTAAAGAGACCATAATTTTGAAATCATTTCATCAAATGACATGTGGGAGTGACATTAACTGCATGTTTCACTGCCCCTTAAGGTATCTTTTGAGGGCTTGTTTCGCCCACTCAGGATAATTTGATCCATCTAACATTCAGCCAATTACTTGTGATTTCCAAGTTTTAATGTTAAGCATGAGTTGCAGTCAGTGAATAGATACTATTGAGATAAAAAATTTCTCTTAGTTATGCTTGCCGTGAATGTCTGTTCGACCTTTGGCAGACTGGATTTCTTGTGAATACAGCAATGGTATTTTCACTCACATTTCTTGGTTACTTCCATTGAATTCATACTAGAGGGCATAAATCATCATTTGCTATGTCTAATATAAATTTCTGGCATTAAGTCTGGCCAGAATAAAGCAAAAACTGCATTTGTGAGGTTTTATACAAGAAAAATATTTCCTCACTGCACTGAAGACAAAGTAAATACATGTATATGTAACTACGCATTCCATGGGGAAAGACGCAGTCTAAAATTATCCACCAAGGGTCTAGGCATGGTTTCACTATTAAAACAAACAAGTTAGAAAGTGCAAGCAGCTTTTTTTTATTCATCAAACTGATGCTCACTCTGAAGTCAATTCCTTTTAAGTGCCTCAATTATAATCCAAGGTCAAATACAAGAAGGAAATATCAACTTTAACCCAAAACCCTCCCAAATTACCAATAAGGAAAACAACAGTGCTAATTACTTGGCCGGGCGTATGCACTATCATGCCAAGTTCCTAATGCTCAAGCACAATTAAATTTTCCACAGAGCTGGTCGAATTTTCCCCTGCCCTGGTGGGCTATTATGCTGCATTTGACCAGCGGACCATTATCTGTTTATTAAGAGGCCTGGGGGTTGTATGACGGTACAGGCAATTATTACAACATTTATTATTCATCTTCAAGCTTGGTGATCGACTAGCTCTTTGCTAACCACACAAATAACGAGAAGTCTTCCAGGAGTAAGTTAATATTCCTCTGTGGAGCGACCCTACGCGTTTATTGTCAATCCATTGTAATTAACTCGCTCCAACATTAAGCTGCTCTCGTTGAGTTACAGACTTGGAAAAACCAATGAGGTGTGTGCACATGTGTGCCTTGTGCATTAGGAATCCTTGCTGATCAACGATAGCATCCGTGCAAAAAGGGTGTTCTCTTAAATACACTCTGAAACACAGTAATAAACCCACATTGGTTTGGTAGAATCCAAACACAGCAAATGCCATGTATTGGTGCATGTAGACGGTAACAATGGAAACTGTCACACTCAATTTGTATATCAAAGCTACATTCTTTCTGGTGCCTTTTTATAACATTCTTTACTATTTCCAATAGCTACAAACTATCACTCATTAGAACTGAATTGATCCTACTTTAAAAAAACTGACTTGTCCCATGTAGACTTGATCATGACAAACACCCTTCTTAACGCCAGCAAACAGTTTAGGCTACTGGACAGTCCAAACACCTGGAAAGGCAACAAAATGCTGTGCAAAAACAGGTTACCAGCCAAAATGTCAAGCAGTGTATACTGCCTGTGGCTGGTACTCCGCACATCGATTTGCTGAGCAATATTACCTGCTTAGCAGATCTGCGGTATCTGAGGGGAGGTGAGGCATCCTAGCATGCAGCCAGAGGGCGAGGTCAAATACCTGCTCAGATGAACAGGGCATAAACCAGGCAAGACACTAAATGTGGAAGTCATCAATGATCTATGCTGAGGATTCCATTAGAGGCCTAGTTAGGGGATGGAGAGGGGTGGGGGAACTAGCATTATAATGGACTACAGGTATGGAATGAGGGTTGTGAGTTACAAACATTGGGATGTAATGATATGTGGATTGTTACTGGTAATGGGGAAGGGTGATGATGGATAATTGAACTAATAAACCAGGAAGACACTGTGGAGTGCGGTCGGAAGCATAATATACATATTCATAGGTATGATGAAATACATATACATATTCATAGGTATGATGAAATACATATACATATTCATAGGTATGATGAAATACAGGCCTTGCGGGGTAGCCAAGCACATATCGGTCAAAAGGAGAACAGATGTAAGTGAAATGGTCCTGGAGACAATAGCTAGTTAAATCCTGTTTTGATTGAATAAATGCATGAATTCAACCATGAGCCCAAAAAGATCGACCAAAATGAAGCTGTTTTTTACTTAGTTCTGATGAATACAAAACATACGCGTAGTTCTTTCCCCCTCCAGAATAATAAATAATAATTTATGATGCAGAAGAATAGCAATTTTGTAAATCTACAATCAAAATCTTTCAACAGAATTTTTTCACACTAAGCTAGTTGGTTTTCTTCTAAAATTATGAAATTTGAGAGATTATTTAGAGGTCCGGAAAAGAGACTTGGAAATATTTCTAGGACACAGCAAGAGGAATACTGGAGACAGGACCGAATCTAGCAGGACTGATGTAGTCCATCGATGCTATATTTATAATTTCCTCAGGCCACTTGCAAATTATTCATTCAGAATACAAACTAAAACGTGACCACACTCATTTGTACAGGCCAGGCATTACTTTTAATTGATCCCCCAATAAGATTGATGTCTGCAGGTAATCAGGCTCCAAGGACATTGTCTACAAATATCAGAGTAGGTGTGTGAGCCCAGACAATAGAGAGCAGACAACTGTCCAGCTCTTGTAAGGTCACCCAGAGATAAGATTGTAGGCTTGGGCTCGCCAGAGAACAAACAATCCCTGATGTTTATTGCATGAAAGCTATTGACTCTATTTCGGGAATGCTTTTAGATAAATCATGTTTTCCAAGCAGCATGTCACGAGCAAACCTGAATTTTGTTGACATGAGATGGAATGAGTCTTTCTGGTGAAGGCTGCATATTTTTTGGAAGTTTACTAGTATCTTATCAGTTATTACTGCTATCATCTCTTGTCCTTAAATCAGCTGATTTCTACTTTTAGAATAATATTTATTACTTCATGTCTAATGCTAGAAGAATACCTTTGACTTTCAAACTTTCCATGGAGGCCAATTCACCCAACCATTTGAAGAACAAAATAGACTTCCTCCAAAACTCTCAGTACTTTGCCCACTTTTGTTTTCAAACATCAGGTTTTTGGGAGTGGAAGGTTTCACTATTTGTGTCAAAGTACGGTTTAGAGCCCAACAATTAGGGTAAACTCCAGCATTATAAACTGTTCATGAGTTGCCTGTATGACAGTGTCTCGGAATTAAGATGAAACTGTGCTTAAAACTTGCAATCCATTTTGATCTGACCATTAATGGCACTTAATTGTACACCTTTGACTTGCATTGTAAATCTCAGGGCCTCTGTGGAAAGCAGTGCTTTGCTCTGATCAGAGTTTAAAAGATGACAAGTCATTAAAAGAGCTGCAAAAAACACTTCTGAGAAGCTGCATAAACATCTACAAATAACTATACCAACAATCTATAATAAAAAGATCAGGAAAGGATCATTTCTTGGCAGTCACAAAAGTGATTCACACTTGTTACAGGGTGATCAGACTTTCTTGGTTTGATTCAGGAATACGTACATTATCACTACTTACATGGCTTGACCGTTTTTTTTATGAATTGGTGAGCAGATCAGGGTCCTTGATGTGTGCCTTGAGATACTTCATCATGGAAAACGTCCGCACCCTTCTTTTCCCTAACAAAATTGAAATTTAAGATAATACCGTAAATATTGGCCAAATGCAAGTATGTGCATTTTCGCAAAATTCTGTTCAAATATTGGCAAAACCACTGAATACTTATCTTATGGTCTGATACAGGACAACTTTCTGTTTGATTTTCTAGAATATTTTTATTTTTTATTTTCTCAGTGCAGGGACCTGAGAGTGGTAAAATCAGAGACAAAATTCACTGGTTCCAAAGTGCAATGTATCAAATTCAATTAATCATCAATGGGCACCAGGTAAGTAGTACACCCACCCTCCATGCAAGCTCTCTGTGCTGAATTACTCCCATTTTTATTTGAAGCTTAAAATTCACATGGGATCAATTGCTAGCCCTTCTGACTGTCGAAAAAAATCAATTCCTCCTCAGCTGAGGAATTGATTCAATTTGGCCCTCTGATTTCTGGGAGGACAGTGTAGCTGGAGAATTACATTTACGTTTTGTGTCGAAAAAAATGACAAAATAAGCCACACTACTTGGCAATGCCTGACAAATCAGACACTCTTGAGGTCAGATCATAAGTAACAAGGCTTCGGTGGAGAGCACTGTCCAAGTTTGACAATATAAGATACCAAGTCAGTGGGAAGAATTTGGAACGTCTACTGTCACGGTGAAGCTTCAAAAGGACCGCTCACAAAGACTGACTCTATGTATCAGAAAATACTCCAGGAAGTCCTTGGAATTTAGGAAAACCAAACAATTAACTCAATCGAGCACAAGGGAAGCAAACACAGGGCATTTTAACAATCACAATAATTAGCAATCATCCATTATATCATAAGCTAGAACGGGATACCATAGTTGAATGCACAGAGAAAGTTGAATGACCTAGAGTTCACAGGAATGCGTGGGCCGAGATTGCGAGGTCTGCGGGTGGTGAAGCACTGATATTGATTTGAATGTATTCTGTTTCTGTATTGTAGCCTTTCTTAATGTGACAACACTTCCTTTGGTTCAAGCTAATCATAGAGCTAGGGACTCAACTGACTGACAGTAGGGATTACGTGAATGGGGTAGGGGGGATTTGGGCTGGTACTAGGGTACTGGCTGGGGGTGTGTATGATGGTGTTTGTACTCGGATATACAGACTGCTGCAGAGCAACCCATCAAGGGTTGGGTGATGTGCTGGCCATCTCAGAAAATGTTGATTGTGGAGTATTTTCTGCTTTGAGCCCTTGGTATCTTGGTGGGCCTTTTTAGTTCTTGCTTATTGCGAGGGACCTTGGGGTTTGGTGACTTGGGAAGGCTGATGAGGACCTTGGCATAGAGCCTCCAGGGTTCATTCGATCCCCCCCCATCTCAAGGATGGACTCTCGTTTTCCATCCATTTTCTTCTGATGGTTGGTCACCTCAAGCATGTCAGCTGGGGGTCTTTCTTTATTCTGACAGGTAGCACCTCGTCACTTTGCAAGTGCATAAGTTTAACACAAGAGCCCTTATCACAATATGTTATAAAGATCAATAAGGTATTGATGACTTTCTTTACGAGCAATTTGACTAGCAATCACAAGAGGGCGCTTCCATGAGTTCCCCACCCTCAAAGTAATACCAGTGGCAAAGCTTGTGTCACAAAACTCTTTCCTCTACCGGTGTTGTTTATGTTAAAAGAAAGGAGAGGTATTGCTAGAACTTGTACCCCCTTCCCCAAACCCCATTACAAGCATCGCCCCCTCACCCACACCACAGGTTGTTATACACTTTGAGCGGAAGCACCCCCTCATTGATTGAAAAGAGCCATGTTGGTGGGGAGTGTTCATTTGGCTGGTAGCGTGCATTTCATAGTCGTATGTGAACCAGCAAAGTGTAGTTCCCGAGGAACTGCTCTCTCTCTCTTGGTCCAGATCTCTCTCTCTTGGTCCAGATCTCTCTCTCTTGGTCCAGATCTCTCTCTCTTGGTCCAGATCTCTCTCTCTTGGTCCAGATCTCTCTCTCTTGGTCCAGATCTCTCTCTCTTGGTCCAGATCTCTCTCTCTCTTGGTCCAGATCTCTCTCTCTTGGTCCAGATCAGGGCTCTTTGTAAGTGCCTTCTTATGCCTATATTCATCAGACGGTCATAACTCCGATTTTTGCAACTATTTTGTCATACATTTCAGTGAGAATTTCATTTCTTGGGTGACCGCCAGACAATTTATTCATGCCTTTCCTTTGTCATTTAATGATTTCCTACTGCAAATGATTGTTTTCCAGAACAAGAGATAGTGGTAGGCTCAGAGATCTCGTTACTTTTTTGTACTACCTGCAAATCCTATAAAACTGGTCAAGGTTGAACTCAACTCTCTGAAAACCTGGCAGCACTGTAATGGCAGATTGTTGTTGCTATTGTTCGTTCATGCGTGCTAGGCAGAGTAATAAGATCTCGGTAGCTGTTCAATGCTACCACTGAAACACAAATATTTATTGCCTCTTGTCGGGGTTTTGTTTGGAGAATTTCTGACACATGACTGACATTTCTACCAATACCTACCAGCACACCTGGTAGTTTGAAAATATACTGAGGTTGTACACGTGGGATCTCTGTATGTTAATCTCCTTGTTTGAAACATCAATTTCCCCATCAATATGATTTGCTCAAAGCCTGTTCAGATTTTCTCTAGGTACTCTGTTTTTTATACATTCCAACAGACAGATCCAATGAATATTGATGTAGAGTAACTAGCCCAGACACCGAGTACTGCCTTGGAGCAGATTGCAATGTTTAATCAGCATAAAGTCATAAGTTGTGGATGTCAACCAAACCACATTATTATCCACTTCCTGCCGGGGATTCCAAATCCGGACACGTATGCTTTACATGCGTGGCCGGGGTCTCTGAACTCGGATAAAGGGAACAGGGCCTTGTAACAAAAGACTGTACTTGGAACAAAAGACCAGGCTGCTGGGCATTACCAATATTTTTCACTCTCAATAGTGGAGATAATCCAGCCTTGTTTTGAAACAGTATACCAGGGTTTGGGGCATTTAGAGTGAGCGGATTACCACCTGGGACAAAAGCTCTCCACCACTGCAGCGCTGAGCCACACAGCACTGCTGCATGCTAGTTTGGCCCCTATTGAAAAGAGGTCAGCAGTGCACTGAGCCAGGTTCGTGAACAAAAGAAAGTTACATAACAGCGCACAATCTGGGCTCTTTTTACAAGGCTGCAGGCCTGGCTGAAATACTCAGGCGTCAATAGATTTTGTCTGTCAGGCTAGAGGAACCACCAGACAGTCCTTCACGTGTTTGTAAGTGTCCAGTAAATGAAGATAGAAATTTTTAAAGAATTTTGAAAACAGAAAAAAAAAGATAAATATTCCGGCCCTGCATCATCAACATTGATAACTGCCCCGGCAGGAAGTTGTTATAGTCAAGAGACAGGCATCAATCTAACCTAAGCTCCCCCAACTCTCAGCCACCAAAAGGTTTTCTGACAATATAAGAATACTGCTAGAATAGATGTAATCTGTGCTGAGGGTTTTGACAACTTACCAAATACCTTCATGAGTTGATCATCACAGATGTGGTACTGTTTGTTGGCAGGGTCCTGAAAATCAACAAAGTCAAGTATGATTTTCCAGGATGTGTCACCTGAATAAGCCATCAGTATTAAGCTATCAATTCAGGTATTTCACTCCGCACACATACCTCCGTTGACACATTTTCAGAGTAGTCTGTCCAAGCACACCTTCCTTCACTCCCAAAAATTAAAGCTTAAGAAAAGGTACTTAGTTCTGAAAATGTTTTGTCATTCAACTCACACTGAGGTTCCGCTCTTTAATGATCTGCCACATTCTCTGTACAACTTTTGCCCTTGGCATCTGCAGATGAAAAAATCAGGAAAAATGCAAATCAATTCAACGTTCATTTGTACAACCCGTCGAGAACATTGATGAATTTTAACAAATTGTGTGCTTAAGTCCTTATAAGGCGGCGTCCAAAATTCAAAACGTTTGTATTCCTTTACAAAAGGCTCTGTTGAGACCTGAGAAACATTCCTGCAGGAAATGAGTAGTGTTTGTTTCCTGGTCCTAGGTGAATTATCTTGTGCATGCATAGGTAAATATCTCCAAATCTGAGCACCCTGTATCCCAAGGTTTTCCCTGTAGGAGGAAGGTTTGCTCCTAATTTGACCAGGTTGTAAGTCCATGGGGTCATTCCTATTACAATGTCCTCCACTGCCTGACACAAATTTCCTGGTTTGATAAAACTCTGCATTTTTCGAAGCCAAACGGCTGATCCTTGCAGTTTCTTATAATTGCAAGTTTTGGCTTCATCCTACAGTTGGAATTAATCTTGCCAGTTCTACAAATCTTACCGTATTCACTCCCATGATATCTGCTAACTCATGTGACAGAACCATCTCCTTCTGGTACAAGCCTGGTGAAAATAAGAGATGTAGCTTTTCAGTGTTTTATGTCTGTCACTATTTTTCCAATGGCTTCAAGAGGAGGATGACTTACTGTCTTTCTTTGTTGGTGTCTTTCTTGATTCCTTTTTCCTCGGACCTTTCACCTGCTTTCTTCTCGTTCTTGACCGAGATTCACCCTGCAGTTTCCGAGCAAGTTCCTCATCTTTAGACATTGTCTCTGTCTCCTCATCAGACAAATCTGTCTTTGATTTCTTGCCTTTCGTGGTGTTTGTGGCATGTTGTTTTCGCTGTAGAAATGTAAAAATGTTTTTTGTCAAGAGCACTACATATTGGTTCAGCTTGTTAACATCTGTCATTGACTGGTCAGTATCAACTGCTAAATCAGTAGCTTAGCTCAGGAAAACAATAAAATGCATTGCGAGTACAAAATTGAAAAACAAAACAGTACATCTTAAGGAGCTAGGCAAGGCAAACTTGTCTTTACTGTGGTTTTCTACAGGCATACAACTTGGACTTTGACAAAAAAGCGTGGAAAACTCCAATCTTTACAAGACTATGTACAATGTTTATCAATTTTCAATGGCATGAGTATGAAGTGAACAATGAGGAAATCCGCTGATCGGAGGAGACGTTGCATGCCTGTGTCTACCATTTTATAACATAAGTGTTTGTTACCAAACTAGTAGAATACCTTTTGTGGCTGTGAGTTCAATGTGACAGGATTGTCACTGTCAACTTCATCTTCGTCATCTTCATCTGGTGAATTCTGGGATTCTTCGTTCTGACTCTCAGACACCAAGAGGCCCATCACGATGTCATCAATTTCTTTCTTCCTAGTCATTGCAAACAGAATTTGATACAAACATAACCAACCTTCATCCAAAAAAATGGACTTTTGTTTTTGTGAACAAAGTAAACAGATGAAAGAGATTCTTTCCCAATTTCTCAGTGTCCTCTGTGGTCATTCTGATTTCTGAAAATAGGTTCTAGGATCTCAAATCAAATTGGTTGCCCTAGAAGCAATAACCTCTGACCTTTTGGACAAGTCTGTCTTGAATTCTTGCTCCAACTGTTCTCTGATCTTCTTGGAAGACAGCAGGGTCAAGTCTGACCCACGCACAATCTCTACAAAAGAAAATATGCAGGCTGAATTCTTTGCTGTAAAGATGGAAAATGTTCTGTTATCACTTTCCTTGATATTTTGAAAATATGTCATATGGGGTAAAGATAAACTGAAATAATACTATAAAATGAATTATCTAAATATCAAAACAACAAATCTGAATCTTTCCATATAGCTAGTGGGAGACTTCTTAGAATGCTCGATGTCAGTAAGCATAAATTATTCTTCTCATTTTCCTCATGTTCAAAATGACACAAATGACAGAAAAGACCTGTGTTTGCTGTCACCGAGCACCTCAGAAGTTTCCCATAGTTACATATAAAAATAAATTCTAAATCACAAGTTGAAATGGGATTTGAAGAGTTTTTCAACAAAATCTTTTTTTTAAGTTTTTGAATTTACCTTTTATTCTTCCTCTGAATATTTCACTCATGTCTTCAGTAAATAGTCACCTTGCAGCCAACCCAGAAAACACAAAAGAAAACAATTAGACCTGTTGAAGGAAGAAAAGAACAGGTGTTTGGGTAAGGAAAGGATCAACGGAGCAGGAGTACCCAGTTAGTACTGGACCCAGGAGTACCCAGTTAGTACTGGACCCAGGAGTACCCAGTTAGTACTGGACCCAGGAGTACCCAGTTAGTACTGGACCCAGGAGTACCCAGTTAGTACTGGACCTCGTGTTATATAAGCCAAATTTTTATCGTCTTGATATTCCTGGCATGCATGGGCTAGCAATGACGGTTTGGCACACCTAATCTTACATTCCTGGTAACATTTCTGATGGAGTAATTTCAATTGTCAAGACTTACGCATCTTGTTTTCCCATCATCAAAATTTTTTTTGCTACAACATGCTCAGCCATGTTTATCCAATGTTAAGACAACAATCTGACTGACTCTGCTATTTCAAAATTTGAGTCGGATCAATATATCCAGATATCAGGCATGTTGTCAGGACAATGACATTTGTTTCTCAAGACTAAAAGCAAAAGAAAAGTGAAACAAAAAATGCTTTCGGCTGAATGTGCTTAATCTAAAGCCTGAACGTCTTCCAAAATTCTGGAAAGATGGCACATTTTGATTTGGACATGTTGGAACAGGGAGACGGTTGGAAACATCTTGTCTGAGCCTACTTTGAAGTTCTACCCCCTATGTTGAACAAGCATGTCCATGATGACAAGAGAAGTACTTTTACTGACGTGTATTTTCGTCTCAAATTTCTTTAGGAACAAAACGATCACAGGTCGATAGACACGTAATCTCCCTCCCTTGACGCTAGAACAAACAGCATCGTATACTTCATAAAATGAAAAATAACTTAAAAAAAATGGGAGACGGCCAATTTTCACCAAACCAAAATGCGTACTATTTCTTCCAACATGGCTCCCCTACCTTAATAAATTGTCTACCTTTTTACAACATTTTGCAGGTCTCGGTACTAGACTTTACCACAAAAAGTGAACTAGAGAGGGCGCTTTTTACTTGCCCCATACACATGCATCCAATATCGATGATCTGGTAATCTGCTGATATCGCCGAGTCACGTCAGGTTAGAAAAAATGGCAATAAGCAAGATTGACGAAGACTGGCCTAAATTTCAGCTGAAAGGGTCACGATTTAATCAGGTGAGGGCCTCCTGTGTTTGTTTTACTATGTCTTGAGGAAGCCAGACTGAAAGGAAGATAAAATGAGGTGCCGTGTGCGAAGCGATTTGAAAACACAGGCAGTGCAGTGCCCCTGGCTAGATCGGATATAATTTTGCAGGCCGCGTCACGTTCCTTGCTGTTTGGGTGGACCGGGGGTCAATTTGGCGCAGTTGTGGGTACCAGTGCCGGGAACTTCTGGGGGGGGGTCAAGCGAAATGAGACTAAGGGAAAAATTCAGTAATCAGATGCCTTAATGTTGGTTATGTATCGTAAAGTGTAGCACAGCAGAAGAAAGTTACCATCCCAGGTAGTTTACCTTGACATTGGAAATCTGCCTGGTTCCATCGTCATATGTCTGCAATGACTTGTCATCATAGGGTGTAATAACACAATGTATATGTACATAATGGAGAAAAGTAACATTATCGTGCTGCATTCTATTTGAAGATAAAAAGCAACATAACTAAACTCCCTGAATAGGACGATCCTGCAATTTCCAGTGTTGTTCGCTCTGTTCATGTCCCTTTTTCATGGGCAAGTTTTAAATATAAGAAGTACTACAAGGTTCATTTGCCTACCTGGAAAGCCTTAGTCATACAGGCCCATACATGTAATGTGCGTATTGAAATCCATTTCTTTGTTTACTCTTTCAGGAAACTTTCAGGGGCAGATATCGTCACTTTTTAGATGTCACAGATCCAAGAACCCTGTTTGTGTCTAAGGTAATTTTTGTTTTTCGTTTTATAATATTTGATGTGTGGTAAGGGCAGTTTACTTCGTTGCCTTTAAAAGAGTTTGTAACAATTTTGTTTTTTTCCTTCTCCCACTTCTTAACCATTGTAGAAACAACTAGATGATGCCGTCAAATTATTGGACCACTTTAAGAATGGGACATTACCGGAAGGAATCACCAACAAACAACTCTGGGAGGCACAGAAGCTGAAACAGGTGTGGGTCTTTTATCAGCTGCTGTGTTTAAAATAATGCAACTACTTCAAATCCTAAAACAGCCAAGCCATCATTCATAATAAGAT